AGCCTCCAAATCGAATTGGCGCCATGTTGCCTCTCGGTTCATCATGGCCTACCTCACCCACTCTCTTACAATACCACTTGATGTGCTGCATCTACGATCGCACCTACGCACATCCCTATTCCATCCACTTGTGTTACTTAGTAACTACAAATCACCGGTGATCACCTACTTCACACCTTGAATCGCCACACTACTTGCCAGGTGTTACCCAGCAGTCTATTCTCACAGAAGACAACGGAACGCTGTCGTCTGTGGTATTTTAAATGTAACATAATGGTATCAAGTTTATTGGTAAATACGTCCTTGTTTACTTTATTGTATTCAATGCTGATGATACAACTTAGAATTGACATTTTATATCCTTTTCGTGAATGACTTATAAATGCGCAGTTAGTTGCTAGACCAACACTGTTATTCAGCACATATAACAAACCTTGAAATATAATTGTAATCTCAGTGCTTTAAACGAAAAATCCAAGCGTTTAGGTTAATAGCACTTCACCTAACCACGTATACAATTAATATTTCTGAGGCCATATCAATAACTCGAATGCATGACTATTAATCGAGATAATTAACCTATTTCATTAGGCAGCATTTTGCTAGATATATTGTTCAATTCATGTTGCAGTAAGCCTCTAGGCTTATTAGGCCGTTTTGGTTAGTCCAACCATCACCGTCGTGGTCCATTATATTTGCTTTTCTATCCAAATTATTGGACTCGGGGTTTCCCATATGCTGCGGCTATGTTATACACAATGTCTTATGCTTACCTTGATGTACGTGAGGACCAAGTCCTTCTGTTCTTCGTAACTCATCTCCCCTATTGTTCTGCGTTCTCGTTTGCGTGATTCATTCGCAAACACATCTTGAGTCCCGGGATTGTTAACTGCGTGCCATTGTATCACTATGCCAATTTCCATGACTTACATATAATCATAGGGGTTGGTTGCGTAGTCTTGCGAATGGCTCCACCGCGCGAAGGCTCAGCATTCGCACGCAATACTGGGCAGTTTTTGACGAAAATGGGATTTCGGGAAGTCGCTTTCATGGTCGAAAGTTTCTCGTCCAATTTCGCTTTCCGCGCCTCTAACGCTCTCAAATGTTCTATCTTTGAAACGTCGGTTTTCACCAATTCGGTTAGAAGTTCAATTTCGTGGGATATTCGTTGTATCGCAGCTATAAGTTGGCCACGCCCTCCTTGGAATTCTCCATCTTCCATAGATTCCTTGAATAATTTGCGTTCGAGAATTATACGTACATCCTCATCAGTGAAAGTAAACTACAATAGCATTGCGAACATTGGGGAATAATCTTACGTTTCTCAGATTCGCCGCAGCACGCTCTAGATCGCAGACTATCGATTCACCTCCAAACTTAACTTCATCTTGTGTAATTGGAGCGCTACATATTTCATTTAATCCCACTCTGCTGATTGCATCGGAACGACGGTCTGTCAATATCCGTCCCATTAAGTTGTAGCCAGCTTTACCAAGAAATTCTTGAATCTGGTGATCACAATCGTTACCCATGTTGCTACCATATACAGGGTATTCCTTGGTTTTAACTAGGCGTTCTACCTTGAATATTGCATGGGAGTTCACCAGACTAGGGTATTGTGAACCAACAGAGTCCGGCGTCGTGCCTGTCTTAACCAGGATCTTTGCAACGGTTCCTGCAAGGTAGTTTGAGCAGTTAGGATGTTCCAATATATGCAAAGCTCTCGTTTTGGAGATACGCGCTTTGTTGAGCAATGTCACAGGCACCTGTGCCACCTGCTCGACCTCATCTTCGAACAGTGTGCTTGTTACATTTGCTGAAACATCATCATTATACATGAAATCATTCCCTATGTTATTATCAGGTAGCCTATCGGGCGTGTCTTCCAGTATCATTCCTTCTTCCACTTCAACTGGCTTTTCCTTTGGTCGCTCGATTGGCGCTGCCTTGTTGAGCAGATTTTCACGCTGGCGCTTCCTAACCTTCTCTGCATGCTTCTCCGCAAGCATCATTTCCCTCTGGAAATCCGTCATATTGTTATTTTCATCGCTAGATAGCGATGAGTCAGATGATACATCATCACCTCCACCGGTGTTTCGTGCAGCTTTAAGGACCATTTTGCCAACTATAAACGATACACATACAGCATAAGACTGCAGAAGTTAATTAATAATAGACTGAAAGTGGCCCCGCAGTAGAATCCTGATGAGATGCCAGCGAACGTTGCGATTACTGGGTTGGGACTACGCAGGCTCCAGAAGATGGTAAAATAAACCACAGATTCACAGAATACTTATTAATAATATACGTCACAGTTTAATCTTGGTATTTCGACGTCGTCTCTCGCGTCCTCGGTACGGTTACTCACGCGAGGGTGTCACCAGACACATATCATTTTATTAATATTACAACGAGCTACAGGGCGTAGCATATTGAGTTTATTAGCCTCCGTTTGGTGCGTGGGTCACACCATTTTCGGAGACCGCCTTTAACCCCCTCTCAGGTATCAGGATTATGCGGATCCCTTTCAGTCTAAGTATCTCGCACAATAACCACATTCTACTCTTCAAGTGTACCCATTGCCCGTCACCTGTGTAAAATGAATAATAGTCACGTTAGAACCTACAGTAGCAGTCCTGTGATTTCAATATTTGCACCGCTGTACCAAGGTTTGGGCAGAAGAAATCGACGACCAGATTGTCAATTTTATAGTACTCCTCGAATGACTCACCGCTGAAATGTCTAGTAAGCCAATCTTTCAGTGCCTGGTGGCTCTTCCCCGTAGTAGCCCTGGGTAGTTTCACCGTCTGTTCGAGCAACTCAATATGGCTTCCTAAAACAGGAGCGTGCTTTATCACTCCACCCAGACCGTCAGGGACATCAGTTGACACCGGCTTCATAAGTTCGGTGTAAGCTGCGTGGAAATCTGGTCGTTTGTATCTCTGGTACTCCAGCAGTTCCATGAGTGGAGTTGTAGGTTTCCGCAGGCAAAATTCAAACAGAGGCTGCGAAAGCTTCGATGAACAGTCCCCATGACCCGTGAACTCTATAAACTGCAGAATAGTTGCAGCAGATTCTGGGTCATCCAATCGTTCGGGACAGTGGCATACACGGTCCAGTATAACATCTGCCAATTCTGAACATACCACGCGAGATTCAGTCAGCGACTTGAGCACTTCAGCAAGCTCGTAAAAGCTGACACTACTATTGTACTTCACCCTTTTCAGTATCGACGTTTGAATTAGACCGAATATAGGGATCATTTGAGCCAATTCCAGTTCCATCTTGGTAAGGCAATCCAACAATTTAATTAGCCCTCTAAGCGGTATAGCATCTGCAACAGATTCACTTTGACCGATATAAAGCACGTCAGAATCTTTCTTACGCCGTCTGGTGGTAGGCATCGACCCTTGCGCACCATCCTCCGGAGGGAGTAAACCGTTACTGCCAAATCTCGTTAACATGTCATCAACACCCCCGAACTGTTTGAAATCCGCGCCATGTTCCTCAGCAATCTGCAATTTGAGATGCGGAAATAAGAGCGCAAATCCTGTCTCTAATACATTGAGGTTGACACGCTGCATACGTAGCGACACGTAAAGATGCAAACACTCTATGATGGCCAAACAATCGGTTTTGTTTTTCTCTAAAATATCATAAACTAGTGGTACCAGGTATTTCCGGTGCCGATGTGCCGCAATTTGTGCTAGGCACTTGAAACCATGCAACATATCTGTACCGGTGCTTTCTGCTAGTTTAGCATGTGCAGCTTTTGATAACAACCTTGATACATCTATAGAAGAGCTCGTTATATGAAGCGTATTACAGCACGATAGTAGTTTCAAGAACGTTCTCCCGCTGATGGCCCCTATCATGTCCTTGTTGATTGTTTTAAGCAACAGCTTTCTGACGACACCGCTCTGCTTGAACATAAGTGAAATAGCAAGAGAGTGTGTGATCATGTCATCGAACGACATATGTTCAATTTTATTTTCAAACTCCCTTCTGAGCATGGAGTTTAGCATTTGACACTCCTCGCTGTATATGTTGGTCGAGATATTCGGTGTAGTGAGTAGGTACATGTGTTTCAAGAATGGCAACAACAATAGTAGCGTACTCTTTTCTTCATGTGACATCAAATTGTAGGTGTAAATGAACGCTTCCATTGTTACTTTGTAGAGCTCGTCATCAACATAAGCACACCTATACATGAACTGAAGAAGATTCAACATCGCAGCTGGTTCCAAGGTAAATATACGACTCTTAACTTCGTTCATGTATAGAGAGGTGATTTCTTCCAGTTGTTTTTCGTCCGGAGATTTCTGGTGCAAGATAGAAAGCACGGATAATGTCACTGCCAGAGCATCAATGTCTATACCTTCAACAAGAGCTTGAAATAGCAGTTGTAACGCCACGTTACAAACTTCATCGGTATTCTCGGTAGCTCCAGTGTTCTCCAAAAGCAGTAGAAGATTGTTGCAGTGGTCAAGGCACAAATTAACCGTATTTGGCAGTAAACGTAGAGCGTTGATAAGTTTGAGCAGTACATCGTAGATGGCCGGTGACTCCAGGGCCACAACGAAGTTGAGTGCCATGGTCAAAGCCTCCTTAGATATCAGATTTCGGTGCGTCACGGTCATGCCAACCACATACCTCACGAACGCATTATCCATTATGTATGTGTGTTTGAACTCTCTTGTGCATCTTCGTATTAGTGGAAGCATCTGATCTAGAATGTTTAAAGTTCGCATCATGTATTGTCCCGTTTCTTCTTTTGAAGCATTTTGTGGACACCTTTTTAAATCCGCAAGAGTATCGAGTTTGTTGGATAGAGTGAGGTTGGCCTCGGTATCAACATATTGTCTCACATCCTTGACGTCCTCCATCCATTTCAAGTTTTCTTCCAAGCGTTGTACTCCACGCCTAGCACGATAGCCTTCTGTTGTGTTCCTTATAACACGCTGAGTGACCCCCGAGTGTGCATACCGTGATGTAACTAGTAGACAGGCCCTTGTCTGGCGTGCCGCTAGGCACCATCGATTTAGTAATAGCATTTTGAATTCCAGCGGATAGTAAAACTTAAGTCATCATCGCATCCATTTTATATAGTTATCCGATGGATATATAAAATGTAAGGAAAGATACCTCCACGACTGTATGCCAGAGACCTTGGCAGTACCGGAGTTCGCAGATGAATTCAACAGTTATTGACTCTTAAAAAAGACCATTTAATGGTAATACGCTTAGTTTTAGCGTATATAGGTTTATGATTAATATTTTAGCGATCTGCAAGATCCCCTGCTCAGTGCCGTTCGTACTTGAAACATATCCAATGCGCCATCAGTTGTTGTTCAATAGCTTCTATAGCCTTTTGGTTTGAGAGCGTTTTAACGAATGTATCGTCGAGAAGTAGTTCTAGAATACGAATACAATAGGGGTACTTAACGTATTTGACATATTGCGGTCGTCTGAAATACTGTAGGTATACTATGTATGCACGGAATCTCTTATCTTCGAAATAACCTGCTTTTGCAAGAAAGTGTAGATAATGCGGGTTTGCTAGACACTGTACAAACTCCAGTTCTGCTTCAAATCTAATTTGGTCATCGTTTTCCGCTATACCAAGTGTGTAGGTCTAGAATTGTTACCTACCGTCTATCATAGCCGAAGTCTTGATATAGTCCGGCGCAGCCGGCTCGGCAGTAGATTTGTCCATAGGTCCGCCGCAACCTATGAGAATTGTGGATGACTTCCGGCCTGTATTAAAGCTGCTGGTGGGGACGCATCCCTTCCAGATTCCACTTAAAAATTAAATACTATTTCACATTTTAATCTAAGTTTAGTTCTTTAAGATTGTTTTGGGTGGCTTTAGCGTTAGCGTATCAGCGTTTCTGCTGGTTAGATGTCCATTGTTGCCTACGATGGCTCAGGTAAGTATGTTTTCTATGTGAATGTGTATGGCTAAGAGTCTATTATACATGTATTTTCAGATGATTGAGGTAATACTGAACGACCGTTTGGGTCGTAAGATTAGGGTGAAGTGTAATAGTGACGACACAATTTTGGACTTGAAAAAACTAGTGGCTGCTCAAACTGGTATGTCTCTCTCTCTATCATTTATATATAGTTCTTAGGTACCCGTTACGATAAGATTAGAATCCAGAAGTGGTATACGATTTATAAGGACCATATAACACTTGAGGATTATGAGATCAAGGACGGTATGGGTCTTGAACTTTTCTACAACTAAGTATTTTTATCAGTGCTGGAGGCCGCACATTATATTCGAATTAGTTCCATCTAATGAGAGACTTATAGCGCTGCAGCGCTGAAAATTCCTAGCGGCGAAAAAGCGTATCGCTAGGCTGTTGCTTTACACAAATATTAAGATTATAGACCATTTTTTTGTAAATTAGCTTTTTTCATTTAAGGTTTTATGTTTGGAGTGCCGTGCAGAGGAGGTCAGTAGTGGACGGCGAGTCACCTAATCACCTGATCTATACTTGACGAAATCATTACACATTGTTTTTTAAGTGTATTTATTGTGATATTCATTGATTAAAAAGTGTTATTTTAATCGGTGCAGGCCGTGTATACCTGCCCAAAATATCTTAGACATGCTTCGAAAGAAACACCTCCATCGCCATCGTGATTTCACCTTTCTACGTGTGCGAGACAGCTATATCACCGTTCAGCACGCATAAGCGTTGCTGTGTGTATGGTGATGGCGTCGCTAGACGATCACCCCCAAGGACTATATAACCGACATTGAAGCCTAGGGTCGTTTGGTTACGCCGCTTCACCACCCTTTTATCGCAATCGCAAGATGTGTACTGTCATGTCCAGGCGTACACAGAAGATATTAGCGTCAGTGGGAACATTATCAGCCATCACCATACCAGCGGTACTATTCTTATCTTGCCAGTTGCGGTATATTGTTGACAAATTGAGTTATGGACCACCGACAGTAATACTGAGTGTATACGCCGCATTGGTTGTGGAATTCCTATTTGTAAGTACAAGTAACCCCGGATTTCTAGACAAGAAACTTTTCCCGGGACATGCTTTCAACCACTTAACCGGATCGTATAGACGTGTAGCACCTCAAAGGTTTCTAGAGGTACCTATTAATGGACAGATCGTCAGGGCGAAGTACTGCGTGACTTGCCATATTTATAGACCTCCCAGAACGGTACATTGCTCGAGTTGTGGAGGGTGCGTGCTACGATACGACCACCATTGCCCCTATGTAGGTAACTGCATAGGCTTCAACAACTATCGCAAGTTCTCCCTTTTTGTAGTTACATGTTGTTTGTATTATTTTCTCATATTTGCTTCTGGTATTTATCATTTTATTGGCTTCTTCCCAGAGCTCTGGCTGTCATTCGAAGCACATCCAGCCACATCGGCATGTACGGTCATTTCAATAGTTATATCTTTACTGGTACTGTGGCTTGTTACCGGTCTTTGTTGTTTCCACGTGGTTGTAGTTGTCAAAGGTCAGAGCACATACGATCGCATTAAGGGAAATTATCCCGGCTTCAATCCGTTCTACCGCGGATGCAGAATGAGTATGCGAGATCTGCTGTGCACAAAATCACGCATATCGACATTTGGGAACCCCTGTAGCCCCAGCTACAGCGTTAAGACCTTGTTCCAACCAGGGGCGATGTTCACCTCCCAAGAGCAGCAAGAGGAGTTTAGGCGTCAGAACGAATCCTTTCACGACTCACACAACCCCGACGTGCTGAACACACACGAAAAAAACACTCTGAAGTATATAAAGACATTCGGCCAAACGGATCAATCCTCTGTGTTTCCATTAAGCCAAGATCATACGGCGTATAGCTCACATGGCGAGGAACTACGCCTATTCTCAGAAACAAGCAGGTAATATGATAGTAAAAATTGTACGTTTCATATCCATGCTAGTTGTGTTTCGAAGTTGCAGGTGACACCCCCAAGGGACTCCAGTAGTCAACATAATAATGTAGCAAATATCTTTTAACTTCAACCACGACATGTCTGTACACAAAAGTTGCGAATGGGCACAGCCGCTTACACCTATCTACACGTTATTTGCAGCTGGCTCCTTAGATTTTGCTGCCTCTGCTTCGTCACGCATTTCTTGTAGGTCCGGACGTACCTGTACCCTGTGCAACAGTGGAAGTTCCATTTGAAGCAGTATATTTTGTCGTGCAAGCCTTTCATTTGTGTTTCCTTGAGAATCCACTTGGTATGAGATTTCGTTGGTTTCCGAATCATTAAGTTTGAATGCGGTTGGCAGCAGAGGAAAATGCTTATGTGCGAATGGTGGTCTGGCCGCAACTATTTTCTGATACGCCTCATCCGACTTAAGCGAATATGTGTCACGCGTTGCACTAGTAAGGAAATAGTCCAAATCAATAACACCATCGTCCTTGGATGCTGTGACCACTTGGGTAGGTTTCGACATACTATTGTATACTGCATAACCTTCACCAGAATTGGAACCCTCTGTCGCCTCATTGGTGTTGTTGATCTCCGATAAATGTGACGATGCATTTACCATGCATTCGAAATATAAAGCGCTAGGCTGAGAGAGTACGGCCGGTTGAATCAGTGAGCTGTGGGATAGTGCAACCACCTGTTTGGGTAACTGTTTAGCGACGGAAACCACCTTTTCCTTGAATATCATATTGTACAAATCGGAGTTCATTGACTCCAGTGCACTAACAAGGTCCACGAAGTTGCTACTATCACATCCTCGTGTACGACTAAGCATAGCGGCCTTGCGACCGATCCGTCGTATTTCTTGTGAGACAAAATTGGCAAGCAACTCCAATGAGTAGCAGTCCATACGTCTAATACCATGGGAATAAGCGATCCACGCTACGCATTTTTGTAACCATTCTTCATAGTATTCGCCGCGATCTGTTTCCAGAGGCTCCTGGTAAACTACGTTGGAGCTGCGCGCTGATCTATGCGATTGTGCTAGCGAGATGATAACGCTGTCTCGGTTAACCTTGAAGGCGCTTTCGGATTCCCCTTCCGCGAATGATGGCTCGCCTTCTGTCTCCATTGTTCCCAACGGTGTGTCCGAAACAGGTCAGGGTACCAGTTTCGGGAACAAGTTCCTTTCGTAGGGCTGATAACGGCACCTATACCCTATGATTATTCAACGGTGTGCAGCTATACGACCCGCGCAGTCTGAAAGTTGACCAGAGTCGTACCGTGCTACCCACTACGCGGGAGCTTGACAAGTAGCGAGGTATAACCCTGCCTTTGGGCAAGTTGCTTAGTTACTTTCGCTACAAATATAAATATAAACCAATGTGCACAACGAAGTTTGTGTTAGGCGCCACTTGGAATGTTATAACTGCGCTCACGTTGGCATATTGACTGCCAGACCTTCCCGCTGCGGGAAGTATCATTGATTCTCGAGATTCCACAATATCAACGGAACGCGCTGCCTATAAGGAGTGTAATAACGTGTAATTGGCGCCAGTGCGCTCCTTATACCTTCTATAGGCAATCGGAGCCCAGTGGCATCTCTCGCTAGGGTGCGATACTTAGCGTTGTTGCACACTGAAGCAACCTTATCGTTCACAAAATGGACAACGAACCCTCCGATTTCGACTACTATGACATACTGAATGTCACTAGGGATAGTTCTGTTGAGGAAATAAAGGCGAGCTATCATAAGCTGATCCGCCAATGGCACCCAGACAAGAATTTGATGCCATTCTCTGAGCAACCGGAACCCCAATCGCCATCATATCGCAATGCAGAATCGTTTGATGTTCCTCAGGAGCTTCAGCGTGACTCCGCTTTTAATAAGATACAGTTGGCATACTCTGTGTTGTCTGACCCAGATCAGCGCCGGGTGTATGGTGAGTTTATGACATCAACGTTTATTATTATCCAGATAACTACGGAAGTGAAGGAGTAATGCTGAAGAAAGTACTCAGACAGCAACTCGATCAGGAGCGCGTAGAATGGGACGCTATACCTGAATCGATTGAAGATGAAGATACGGTACGGAAATCTCTAGAACTGCGGAAAGCAGCTGACGAAATTGAGATCGAGCGACGCATAAACTTTATATTACAACAACGTCGTTTGGACAAGTTCCGTGAATTACCTGTGCAAGTAATAAGCCAATTTACATTTTCTGGTGTTACCCATTTCTTCGATGATGAGATCGCCAATTTCGTTCGGCGTCGACTCTTCCAGATTAGGGATACCAGTATTTTAAACTCTTTAGAAGTGCGATTGAGCAAACGGACACGTTTAGGCTACTCTTACAACAGCTCCGTAGCTCGTGGGACATTCGGTAAATCGAGGTCAGGGGTATACTTGTCATCTGAGTTAACTGATTCAGTCGAGTCGACCGTAAGTGTTGACTGGGGTGAATATATGAGTTATCGTTATGGTTGGTTATCCTTAAAGAAAAAGTTTTCCGATCACTTTTGGGCCAGTTCGGTCTTCGGTCTTAACCGTCAGCTAACACCCATGATGCGTTGCGTGGTGCACAAGAGTTGGGGTGATAATCACGCTGTGGAGATCACGGCCCTACCAGACTATGTATTAACGTACGGATACAACAGAGTGCTGCCGCATGACCTGAAGTTGAACCTTCAGGCCGCCTTGTCGCCGGATGATGTGGGTACGCTTTTACGAGTAAAGGCTCTGTCTAATACGGGAGCTGTGGTTGGCACAAGATGCAGATACTCGATGCTAGGAGGGCTCTACTTGGAAGGTTACATACGCCAGAAATTTTATAGTGAGTTGCTTGCCAAGGTTAAATTCGAGTGCCGACTGCGTTATGACCATAACGCAATTTTTATTATCTTCAAACTGGTATTGAACAACACTAGATTCGATCTGCCCATTGAACTCTATAGAGGTAATACGGATCGATGTGTGTTTTTGGGTACTACAGCAGCATGCTCTCTCTTGTTACTGCCAGCCATGTGGGATATGGCCGTGAAATTTCTGTCGCCTGAGGAGAAAAAGATACAATACGGATCTGAACGTCAGACATTGCGTAGCAGCTTTTATTCCCAGTTCCCAACGTTTTCGTATCTTGGCTTAGTGAATGATTACAGTAAACGGCATGAAAGGTACGTATCGGAGCAGACTAAGTCCATTGCTTTGTTGGACCGTTCCTCTCAGTGGTCCGAGGACGCTCTTGAAGCCATTGTTACTCGTGAGCTTCGTTTCGCACGCCAGGAAGGTTTGGCACTCTTCAACGCAGCTAAGAGCTGTTACCAACGTGAGGATGAATCCGATGGTCTGTGCATACTCTTCGCAGTTTACGGGCACCCTGAGTCCCTGAACACACTGTCAAAGTTTGTAACCATGGATCTATTCGACGATCTTAGTGGTATAGTCGATAGATCAGACCCTGTGTCTCCAATATCGTCAACTGGCCGTCGTTTTGTCTTTGGAGCTGTTACAGTAGAGTCCCTCCTCAGGCAAAATGACCAACTACGTCTACAGAGACTATTCGAACGTTATGTACTCGACGTGACCAATGTGCTTATGTCTCGTGTGACGGATTCCCGCCTAACCCTGTCCATTGGCGGCAAAGGGCAGCTCATCGGTTTTGCTGACCCCTGCTCAAATCTTGTAAACATTGAGTCTGAGCTATTTGTTTGGTAAGTGTACGTGTAGAATGATTATACATACACTCAGCTATCGTTACAAGAGAAAGACTTATGCAATAAGGTTCAGAGACGCAGACCCTGTTCTACTTCCCGAGGGCTGCTCAATGTAGGCAACCTAGTTTACTGCTTTAAAAAATTTTCGTCTGTGTCAGACTCAATATTCTTTGTGTGTTACATGTTATTCTCTGCACTTTCGCATATGCCGATGAGTGTATCAATTCCCTTGAGCATGCTCGACGGTCCGGGCAGCTGCATCCATTTATCAGAGTAATAGTGTTGCCTACCACCGGGTACGGCGAATGCTTGATACTTTCTACGTGTGTGAAGTCTACCCACTTCACTTTACACTTAGATGGGTCTGCCTGATCGTATGTTATCAGGATAGACGTCGCAGAGAACGAGAGAAAATCCTGTAGCTTCACCCAGTCACGCACCTTCACGAGCGTGTCAATCAGACAGCGACGGACGGCCGGTACAGTTGCCAGCGCCCTGCAGTTGATATTAGAGTGTTTATACCACAACATACTTGTGTAGAACGTCGAGTGTATCGTCCCTTTTGAGGAGCTTTGCCTGTACTGCCGATACCTCTAGCGGTACGTCCTGTGTTTAGGTGACATTTTCATCCTCTATAATATGCTCACCTGAGAGTCTATGCATATTGAGCATATTCTAAATCCTAATTCGTCCTCTGTAGTTTGTTTGGCGACCATTTTTTGTCGCCACGATTTGAGGAGCGAATGAAGTTCCCTAGGTGCCATGCTAGTAAAAGGCTCTCCAAGGCCTAAGTCTGTCGCTGTGATATTCTGCAGATGTTATATATATATATATAATATAAAATAGCTTACATAAAGTCTTTTGGTTCCGATTGACCTAGATTGGTGTGTCATTTTAAGTTTTTGCCATTTCTTGACACATGCAATGCGTTTCGCGGAGCTCAGTCCAGTTTGTTGTACTGAAGAGAATGTCTATGTTATATGGTCTGTGTTACCATTATCCAGAGTATTGTGCATCCCAAGTTTAATGTCTATAACAGCTGGATTTTGGTATCCGTGTAGTAGATTTTCCAGTTTGATAGCATTAAAAACGTTTTTGGAGGTATCCAGGTTTTCCATAACTTCATAGTATCTTATATCTACAACAATGTGTATATTTTAACCTTTATCTTACTATTGCTACGTCCTTCTGCACCCTCATTTTGGGCTGCGACATGTTTTTGTTGGACGATTTTTACTAGTCCTTCAAATTGCGGTAGAACCTTGTGGCGTGCGAGTTCATCTGGTTGTTTAGCAGTTTCCCTCAGGCAAGTATAACTCCTTGAGTTGACCGTAAGTTCTTTATTATTGACAACGCAATAGAAAGCCGCTTCCGATGTTGTATACTCTGGTATGATTTTGTAGACATATCTATGAGCCTTATCGGATAGCATGAGCGTTGTACCGCTCAGCTTCTTTTGTTGTCGGTCAAAAGGTTCCAATTCATGGTCGTCCATGCTCTTTGAAAGCTGCTTCATTCTTTCGTGGCGTGCACATCTTCTGTTGAGCGTGTACACCCTAAAAATCACAAAGTTGGAAGCCGAGATAGGCGTTATACTACCACAAATTGTAGCTACAATTCTCAGGTTGCATGTGATAATAGAATATGTTTTTCTGACGGCTGTAGAATCGTTACCTGCCCGCGTGCCTGCCGCAAGTATGCTGTGGGAGCGATAGTATTTAGTATATGCAGACGTTGTCTTCCGTGATGGACCAACAAGAGTGTATGCGTCTAGCGGTACAGTTAATCTTTCAACTTTTTGAATACCGTATGTAGGCTGAGTATGCCGTGGAAAGTTATGTGCGTGATGGCATGATAGTTGGCCTTGGTACTGGCCGTACGGCTAGTCACGCAGTACGTCACCTGGCCAGGTTGATTGACAGTGGTAGATTACGTAACGTGATCGGTGTAGCCACTAGCAAGGCCACACAAAGCCTGGTGGGTGTTGACACTCATTACCTTGAGTTGATATTAGATCTCGGAACTTGGGATTCCATTTAGAGATATCAACGAATCGTCAAGAATCGATGTTGCCCTTGATGGAGCTGATGCTTTCGATACTGATCTTAACCTGATCAAGGGTGGTGGTGGAGCACTTTTCCGTGAGAAGTTGGTAGAATTAGCTGCGGATAAGCTAGTTATTGTAAGCTCAAATAAAGCATATATCATCTGTTTCAGGTAGTTGACTCGAGCAAAAAAGCGGCAAGTCATCTTTTGGAAGCATATCGCGTACCTGTGGAGATTGTGAAGTTTGGTCACGCTGCAACTATACGTCGAATATTGGAACGAGTAGGTCATTTAGTCCGCAACTGGAGCCAACGCTGCAATGGAGATGGGTCGCTGTATGAAACAGATGACCTAAATGTCATTATTGACGTTGAATTTGCTCCATCTGACCCCGCGCGTCTTGACGCGGAGCTTTGTTCGGTAATTTAAAGTATATTATACATCTGTATAATTTGCACCAGGTACACGGCGTCGTATGTACAGGGCTTTTCCTGGGAATGGCTTCTGCGGTTGTAATCGCTCACCCCGAAGGCAATGTGGAGGTAATGTCAGCCCCGCCTTCCACGGAGCACCTCACCTGATTTGCACTATTTGGGCATCACTTGTATGTGTTTAATAATTAACACCTGTGACTCCGCCCCGTATGGTCGAGTCGTGGGTGTTTGGTGTGTATCATGGCTAAGCCACCCCAATCCGATCCTGTTGTTCCCTCCTTCTATGGCGAATGGCGAATTATTGATGAACATGAGTTCATGAGTCCCACTGCGGCTGCTATGCGCACAGAGTCTGAATATTCTCAGGCTTTCGTAGTAACGGATGATACTGGTATATTACATACGGAGTTGCGCGATCTGAGGTCATCAATAGCTTCACCTAATAATGACATCGCCGAACGACTAGGAGAGATCAATAGAGAGACTTCCGGTATGTTTAAGGTGTAATCTGTTGTTTTTATTGCATTTCAGAACAACTGGACAAGGCACGCCGCAAGTTTCTAGCAATAGAGTCTACTTGGCAAAAGAACAATTTTCAACGATACCTTGATGCAGATCGGGAGACTCCTGGACAACATTTGAGCCATGTAGACCGCAAGTTGGCACAAGCTGTGCGTGAAGTAGTAGAGATGAAACGTGATGCGGAGACGGCTTTGATGGAGCTTACCAAATCAGTGGCCAGTGTAGATTCTCTGATAGGGAAAACTAATCGACTTAAACGCAGCACTTGTACATTCAGACAACAAGCTTATGCTGAGAAGAAGTATGGAACGTGGTCCTTTAAGCTACAGCTTTTTATCGCAGCCATTGTCTCTTTCGCGGGGTACACCTTGATCAGGTACTTTGCGTGGTAGAGGCGCATGTGCGTAACTCCATGAGCGGGATAGCCGGTACCACATTAATACGTATTACAACTATTATCTCTATAATTACGTGTAATGTTTTGCATTTTATACCGCAATTTTAACCGCAGAATCTGTAGTTAAAGTGCGTCGATGGAAACGAATGGTCACAGCATATCTTAAAACCAAGATTGTGACTTGTCTATTTCAAGTTACAGCGTATTTTTATGTTAGTGTGTATTTATCTGTAGTGATTCTACGTTATATAGCATAGTTGGAATCCTAGTTCAAGACACACATCAGAGATAATCGGCAGCGATGCCGTCGATCTCGGAGCTACGTAGCCGCTTGGCTAAAGCACAGGCTAAAACTACGGTCTCTCGTCTTAGTAGCTCGCAGTGTATCGATATATTGCTCAAAGTATGTCAAAAACGAAACATCACACTGGTACCCACCCTTAACGGTGAGGAGTTGCTGACGCTGAAACAGTTGGAACTTGAAGTTGTAACCGCTATAGAGTCTCGTGGAGGCCGTGTCGCTGTTTCTCAACTTTCATCGTCTTTGGGGATACAGCAGAACTATGTGGAGTGCACAGTGGAGAAGCTGCTAAAAGAACATCCTGACCAATATACACGCCTTCAAGATACCTTGATCACTAAAGGGTATACGGTTTGGCTCATGGAAATAGCAAGTCGCCGTCTCCAAGAATGTGGTGTATTGGATATATGTGATTTCGCCAGTGAGTTCGAGCTACCCTTCGACCTGCTGAAGATGCTCATATCGCAATCACATCTTATTGATGGACGTATGAACGGCAATTTACTAGAGTCACGCGGATACGAAGCTTGCAAAGAGCGTTGTGTCATGGCTGCATTAGCTGCGACAACTGTACCAACATCTACTCTGCACCTGGCCACAGTAACACGGCTAGATGTGAACCTTGTTAAAGATACAATAACGAGACTGGTAAAGATAGGTAAAGTTAGCGGTGAGCTGAAAAGTGGCGTTTATACTCCTAAAGTTTTTGCCGACCATCGTCATGCTTCTCTGACGACGTTCTACAGTGCTAACGGCTATATTGAGAAATCAAAAGTAACCGATGTACTCAAATCCGCTAAGGATCTACCCGCTAAATTGTTCCCTGATGCTATCGTTCTAGAGACAGTATACCTTAATCGCAAATCCTTGGAACCCATCTCCGTACTTGTGAACGAGGCAGTAGCAAATGGTAGCTGGCGTGATGTAGGTATCATGCTACCATCTGATTTGACATCCGCAGACGTAGCTGCTTTGATGGATAACATTAAAGGTGCAAACAAAAACGGTTATATCGTATGTGGCCTATATGTCTCAACAGTCTTTGAAGAGTCTCTTGTTAAATACGTAGTTGAGGTTTTGAAAGAACGTTTGGGACCGCAACCACTACTGGACATGGCGTCAAAGGATCTATCTAAACTGCAGGACGATGTTAGCAGTCTTTTGGAAGGTGATGCAGATCCCATTTTTACGGAGTGCTGGTCTATCGCATCTTCAGAATTCTATCTCCGTCTGGAGCCGTCGCTGATTTCAGCGATACGCAAGTCATGTGTTATGGATCGACCATCTTCATCGAAGGGTGTATTGGATGTAAATGCTGCTACGGAACAACTTAAAGACCACCACATGAAGTTTGACAGCACCTTAAAGGTGATGGAGAAACTATGCGGTGATCAGGTGGATAATACCCACCTGATAATGAAGACAGTAGCTAAGGAGCTGCTTCCTGTGGATTGTCACATGCTGTTACAGTTATACAGCTCTAAAAACCTTATCATTATACCAGGTGATGACGGAGTTGTCGGTCCTAACAACCGTGCTGCTGTTGTGGAATCCATAACTGACAAGGAGGTTCAGGAGTATTTCCGCAACTACCTGGATGCTATCAAACAAAAGGACGTACTGAAGGGTATTGAAGCATCACGATCGTTGAAGGCTGCAATGTACATCACCTGCGTCGCCAAGAAGGAAAGAAAACGCTTCCTAGCAGCACAATCGACCTATTACGAGCAACAATTGGCAGGTTTAAACTGCGACGATGCTATCAAAGCGGCACACTGTACATTGACCTTGGGCCTACTACGTAAAGGACACTATGCGTTTTTGGTGGATAAGGACTGGTGTTTACGTGGCTGCATAGATAGTTTGGCGGAACTAGTCGGGGACGATGCGCTCTTGAAGGCGGTGCGTCGGTGTTTAGAATCACCAGGTAAGCGCAACTTTAATATAGCAATGTATATATATATTAGCAGGGCCTAGTGCGGTTGAGGATTGTCAAAAATTAATGAAATAAAGAGTCTCTTTTGTCTACTTTATTAAACATTTGTTAGTTATTTTAAGTCCCATAAAGCGCATTTCGCAAAATATATTGCATAACATATGGTGGCAAAGTGCCTACCTCGTCGCATTTTACATGTTCTGCGAGCTGTTGTCGCACTAGTGTTGATGATGCATTCGACGTTTTCATGATTCGGCTCTTGCGCTGCAAAAGCTCTGATAGCAATTCATACTGTTTCAAGTTGTCCATATCCTCTTTACGGATAGGGTATCCCTCCCTATCGGCGATAAGAAATCTTGTAATTTCTACGAATTCTTTGCCAAATGGCCATGACAACAGCTGCGGTAGTATGTCTGATCCGATGAAGAAGTAGAATTCATAATCTGGATATTTCCCCTTGAAATACTTCATAGTAAAGTAACTGTCGATGTAGTGTCCTAAGTTAACTTCGTATGGACAGACCTTGATCTTTGGGTGTTGCACTCCTAACTCGCCAACGACCATACGGCACTGCTCCAGACGGCTTTCGTCAGAAGCTTTGAAAGATTTATCTGTCCGCCGACCACTGGGGAGTACCCATATCTCGTCAAAGAACTCGGTTTCTATACATTGTCGTAGCATCAAAATGTGTGCCACCGTGATCGGGTCGAAAGTCCCAGCGAAAAGAAGCACCCGTGGTGCCATTAAAACTGATGACTTCAATGCTGGTCAGGCCGTGCTGAGCTCTAACGCCGTGGCCCACCGGCGGAAGGGCGAAGAGTGGGTGATTCCTCCCACTCTGTGCTTGTTGGTGTTGCCTTCGTATGCATCCACCAATGGATGCGAATTACTGCCAATAATACAGATAATGTGTGGACTTCACTACCTATGCCACAGTAACAAAGTTGTGGCGGACCTCTAACATCGCACTATTGTCGTGGTACAAGATGCCCGATCTATATTTCATATACAGACCGTCATTTATACACAGCCATAACCTTGCACATCTACTAGATTCCGACGTCCAATTTTTTTTCTCAATACATTTCCAACAACGGAGATCAATCCCGCACCGATGGTAACGAACAAATATCACACAAATTACGTCATATCTATCTTCTTTCACATGTATGTGTGGGTTTCCACGCCACTGAAGTATATTGTACAGGCGTGGCATGCGACGGTTACTCGCCCACAGTTGAGCTGCAGCCACGGAGAACGCGCCGTGTTGCGTAGAAATCACCATACGTCTCTCGAATCACATAAATATCTCACCACAATTATACTCTACCTGCCTAATATCGCGGCTCGGCCCGCGGTCGCATCGATAGAGTCGCGTAGAACCGGCACTTCTGTCAGCATGTCATACGAAAGGGTTATATCAACGATTTTGATATGGACATGGGTATTATCATGGTGTTTATCATCGAAATAACCAGGGTCCTCTTAGCTCAGTTGGTTAGAGCGCTAGACTCTTAATCTAGTGGTCGGGGGTTCGAGCCCCCCAGGGGACTTTCTTTTTTCATAACATAATCTGGTTATTCCACAACATTAAAACACTGTTTAAACGGAACCAAAGACTGATTAACACTCTTTTGAAACTCAAAATCAAATACGAAACCGTCACTTCCCCCTCCTGAAGCACGTCTCGGCTACCATGGGAGCCACACTAATGAGACACAACCACGCATATAATCTAGCATTCTAACATTTATCGGAGAGTTTCTGCTCACTAGTTATGTTAACATTGAAGATAATACAGATATGGTCACAGCGTTGTTGGAACTAACAAAATTCTTGTCGTTCCTCACAAATCTTGCCCTTGGAATTATTAGCCCAAACAAAATAGTATGTCAGGGCCACATACACAGTATTCTACCAAACTAATTGCAGCATACTCGATATTAGCACAGCATACACGATAATTAAAGCGTTGCTGGAGAAAAAAACAAGTCACCAAGATCACCGGGGGTACTTGATGTTACATAGCGTTGCCAAGGTTGTAAAGGTTGTCAACCACTTCCTCATACTTCTTAGTGGCTTTATGACGGCGAAGCTTGTTAGTAGTTGTCAACATGTCGTTACCAATAGAGAAAGGCTCCATCTCGATGTATATATGCTTACAACGCTCAAAACCTTTAACACCCGCTTCATCGTATGCCTTGTTCATCTGCTCCATCACGGAATTTTTGAACTCCGGAAGTTGACTGATCTCCTGCAGCGATTTCAACGATTGCTTGTGGTCTGTAGCCCAATATTGCATCTCGGTCTCGTCTGGGACCACTATGGCAACGGGGTATACTTCAGTAGACTTGCCGGTGACAAATGCTTGACTAATAAGAGGACAACCAATAAGCACAGATTCTAACTTTTCAGGTGAAATGTATTCTCCTTGGACAAGCTTAAATATGTTCTTCCTACGGTCGATAATTTTGATGGCACCATTCGGAAGGAGCTCAGCAATATCACCGGTTAGCAACCATCCATCCTTGAAAGCTTCAGCTGTAGCTTCGGGGTTCCTGAAGTAACCACAGGTCACATGGCTGCCTCGGAACATAAGTTCACCCCTGGGATTCGGGTCATTGGCAGAGTACCCAAAATCAGGTAAAGACTTAAGCCTGAATTCAAGAGTCGGGATAATACCACCCACATGTGTCGTATCAGTCTCACCGCTCCTATTCAAAACGGCACCAGCAGCTGTCTCGGTAAGACCGTAACCAGATATCAACTCGGTACCGAATATAGCTCTTACTCTGTCATAAGTAAGCGGCGATAGTGGTGCGGAACCGGTCATCATCCACTGGACGTTACCACCAAAAAGTGCAGGGAACCTTTTGAATACAATTTTGTCCCACAGAGGATGCTTGCAGTTACCTGTATTCCTGATACGGTTCATTTTAGCGTTCAAGGCGGTGTTGAACAGCCATCGGATAATCCAGGGTTTCCTTGCTACATTGGAGAATACCTTGTCATGGATCCTGAAGAAAAGCCTCGGTACACTAACGAATACCGTTGGCTTAAGTGTTTCAAGGTCGTCCAAGATGTTGCGTACATCACCACTGTATAGACCAATCTTGCCACCAATGAAGAGCGATGAATTGATATACAAACGCTCATACATGTGGGCAAGTGGAAGATAGCTGAGGTAGCACTTCACTGCATCGACAGACACACCATTAAGCTCGCCCACCGTTTGGTTGACAACAGCAATGAGGGAGGCCATTTGGCCCTGAGTTAGAATAACACCCTTGGGTATTCCAGAAGTACCAGATGTGTATGATATGGTATTCACCATTTCAGGCTTTGCTGGGTTAAATGGCGCCAGCGAAGCATCGCCTTTAGCAAGCACATCAGAAAACAGACACACGTCCACCATACAATCTCCCGTAGACACCGTATCAGTACCCGTAATTATAATATTTCGTATGGTGTGTGATTTTGCTTTTGGCAATACTCGAACGATTTTCTGCGCGCAGGTAAAATCACAGACGATGACATTTATATCAGACTTCTCCAAAATGTGTATGATCGATTCTTCTCCAATAGTGTCGTATATCGGCACAATAGTAAACCCAAAGGCATTAGCAGTCTGCTCGCAGATTAACCATTCAAAACAGTTCGATGCGTATATACCGATCATCATTGCTTCCACAGGTTCGGGTGCGTGCACCTCTACCTTTTGTATCCCATTTAGTGTAAGAAGGCCACTGCCAAATCGCTGCACAATAGCCTCAGTCTCACGGTATGAGGTGAAAACATAGTCCCCAAGGGTACCATCCTCTTTCCTAACCCTAGTACCCAAGCAAGGGGCATCGGGATCAAGACTTAAGCCATGTTGGAATACATCCCATCTACAAATGTGTTAGATAGTTTTAGTAGCACCTTACCCTGTGGTTATCTTGCCGTCTAGTACATCCTTATAGGAAAGAAGCTTTTCCATATACTTAGGTGACCGGTAAACAGGGGTGTATCCTTCTTCCTCAGTGCCTGGTACCGGCAATGAGTATATATGCTTTGTTGTGCCTCCCATAATTACAGATTTTGTATTTCTGATGTCTCTGCGGGCTGATGCGAGGCAAATATCTTGCACATACTGTACCGTCGGTTACCGTACAGTTGATCGATGTGTCGAATAATTATATTGTTATATTCGTGTAGTTCTTGTTTAACGGCTCTACTGCCGTTAGTTTTGCAAACTGAAGCTATGCGGGGCTTTGAATCCACCTCTGTCCAAACCCCATCCGAAGAAAAACAACGTGGCGACGCTAAGAGGCACGCACAGCATATCGAAGGTTATCGTGACATTAAGTGTACAAAATTATGGTTATTGAATTAGGGAATCCCAGTCAAGAGAAAATCGCGGCGAATGTCTACGGACGATATATTGACAGAGTACGCTGGAGCACGAACTCCCACAATATCCTTACAAGGACGCCTATACAATAGCAGCATCAATAAGAGAATGTATAAATATGCCCTAAGTGTTTAAAGTTTGACCCTGGTCCGCACATAGTCGTGCTATTCTGACTGGCGTCGGTATGATCGTTTTACCAACTTAAATTGCCACTTCGAACGGCTACATATAAGGACGTTTATATGTAAGCACAGATTCCACGAGTTGGATAACAAGAAGGTCCTTACTTTTAGTCCCTGGAACCAAATCCCCAATAGAGCAACACACACCTAGTAGCGCCCACTAGTATATCGTTTTAGAAATCGATATATGCCAGTAACTATGGATTCCATCGATTCCGGTAATTCCTGTTCTTCAGGCTCTGAGCTTGAGGACACCTGGGATGGAGAAGGTGTAGCCCGTAGCCTTTTTGATGACTTCGTCTCGCCATTTGCATCAGAGGTTTACAGACACATGTCTTCCAACTTCGGTTTCGACCACACAGTACTGGGAAAAGGTACACTTCACCGGGTAGCGCTGGTAACCTACCTGGAACGTGAAAAAGCAAAAGGCACCGATGTATTAGCTGCTTATAGACGAGTGTGTAGTGACCCATCTATAGTATTGGACAGATTTGAAGAGTATATCAACCCACCGTTTGAAAACGAAAAACTCATATGGGACTTCATGGAATCTAGCGATGACGAAGGTGACGAGGAACTGCTAAAAGGACATTTGTACCTTGAAAGAGGCACCAAAACATCACAAGCTCGTCAAAAACAGCTCTTACAGGGTATGTAACCAAGTAATAACTGATCATAAGTCTATAGATGAAGAATACTTTAAATCTTACAAGGGACTGGAGATCCACAGGGAAATGGTAAATGACCATGTACGGACATCGGCATATGAATCATTCATACGGTTAAATCAAACACTATTCAAAAACAAAGTGGTCCTTGATGTCGGTTCCGGATCAGGAATATTGTCACTTTTCGCGGCCAGAGCGGGAGCAAAGCTGGTATGTTTCGGGGCATAGAAGTGACAGATATCAGGTTGTCGGCATTGACAATTGTGAGAATATGGTGAAGATGTCCGAGGAACACGCTTGGGTTAATGGATTAACTAATGTAAGGTTTCTACACGGGAAAGTGGAGGATTCAGACCTAGTATATGTGAATGGTACTGTCTGCTTTAAACGTGACTGCGAGGGAAATTTCCCATACGAGACCTTCAAATGTGATATTCTCATATCGGAGTGGATGGGATATGGACTACTCTATGAGAACATGCTCCCCTCAGTTCTTTTCGCCAGAGACAAGTACCTGACAAAGGAAGGGGTCATGGTACCGAGCAAGGTGAAATTGGGGGTCAGTGTAACTATCACAATGACACATGTTTTACAGTTCTTCGCTTTAGATATGCATGATAAGCTTCTATCAAAACTAAAAGAATGGGAACAACCAAAATATGGTTTGATCCTCAACGGGCTACGATATGATGCTGCCGAGTTACTGAAAAATCCTACAGTAGAGGTCACGGACCCATCATCTATAGTCAGCGACGCCAATGGCATATGTCTCATAGACCTCAAACATCTGAAACAGTCTGATATCGCCAATGCACATGAATTTGAGGTGAGAACAGATAGGTGAACCTCAAATGCTGACCAGGTCAAGGTGCACGAGGGGAAGAAATGTTCATCCCTGGCTCTCTATTTCGATTGCATATTTGAACCAAGGCTAACAGCAACTGCAAATGTGCCTGCAGTGATCAACTTGAAGTCAACAACTTTTCGAGGATTGGATTCTTACCGAGAACATCTACCCGGGATTGACAAAACCACGATGTTATGCACATCACCAGAGTACAAAGGTTCGGAAGATGAGAGCGGAGTGATAGTGATAATGACAACAAGACCGGACTATAAGGCAACGCATTGGAAACAGGTATTGCTACATCTTGTGGTTGGTTTTATGTGTGCTCTGTTCTAACAGTTGCAGGATCATGATGACGCACCCGTACAAATCGAAGGTATAGTTCTAACTATGGGCAATTAACAACGTTTGTAGGTACATTTGAAGGTCGTGTATCGCTTATTAACAACTCTGCAAACAACAGGTGGCTCGATATTCTGCTGCAGCCAAGCGGCTTGGAATCGCTGAGCGACTGCTACTATAAATTGATTTGAGTGGCGTGACTATCCGCACCACCCATTTACAAGTGTAAAAAAATATCTTAATAGCCACTTTATAAGGGGAATCTGTTTTTCCTGCTGCTCGTAGCGTCGTAGCTGAGGGGGGTGACAATGTGTTGATCGATCGTGTGGGCAGCACCCCTGGGAATGGACACATACTAGCACAAATATTGCATATGTGATATTACAAATATTTGTAGAGCGAAAATGGCGTCCGAGGAGCCTGTTACTGACAACTTGCTCTTGATGCTCGCTGATCAGTGCAGCGGCATCGAGGAGATGTTCGATATCTTCTTCGATTTCTTAGGTCGTCGTAGCGCCTTCTTTAAGCCTCACGATGGCAGCGATTTGAACCAGCATCTCGAAAATTGTGTTAAAATGGTATCACGCCACTGCCGTAAAATTGGAGCTTTAATCATGGAGGCTAAACGCAAGGAGTGGGAAGCCCAAGAAAAAGAAGCTGAAGCCAAACGTCAAGCTGCCATGGCAAGGGAAGCAGCAAAAAATGCACCGACCATGATAGATGCAACTTCAGGGGATGCCGATGAGGTAATCGACGTACCACGACATCAAGAACCCGAAGAAGAAGTCGAGGAAAAGGAACCTAAGAATATTCTGGGAGCTGGACGACCCATTGGTAACGGTGGCCGTAACAAATGGTAAGTCACATAGATTCAGCGTTGAGTTGAACAAATGACTTATAGGTACGTATGGACCCAAACTCTAGCTGGAGTAGATCTATCGGCAAAAGTACCACCAGGAACCACAAGCAAGAGCATCAAGGTCGATATATCCACAAACAAGTTGCATGTTTACTGCAAAGGAGAATTGCTTTTCGGTGGTGACCTATATGAGTCCATTAAAAGTGAAGATTGCTACTGGACCTTGCTAGATGGAAAAACACTGCAAATCAACATGGAGAAACGTAACCAGGTGCAATGGTGGCCATGTGTTATCAAGGGACACCCCGAAATCGATGTGAGGAAGATTATGCCAGAAAACTCGAAGCTAAGCGAACTTGACCCCGAGACACGTGTAACAGTGGAAAAGATGATGTTGGACCAGAAACATCATGGTGAAAGCTCCGCTACTAGCGCCCTTATGTCACAATTGGAAGCTCTGCAAAGGTTCAAGGAGGCTCACCCAGAATTGGACTTTTCAAACGCAAACATGAATTAATCCAGCTAGAACAATCTTAAAGTTCAATCTTTGTAATGCGTGTTTAAAATTAATGTCTATCAATGTTTTCTAAAACGTTTGAAACACTCTCGGTTAGGGTCCATAAAGGTCTCAAGAACCTCATCTGTAACTTTCTCACGACGCATCTATACACGATTTTTATACTGAAACTTGCACCATACCTTGTAGTCATTCACGATTCCACACACCACTTCCACTAAAGTGTCCTTGACAGCAGACGACATAATCTCCCCTGCCTTGTATTTGGTGGCGATATCTTGGAGTTTCGCTTCGTCGTCGAGGAGAAACGTCAGATAATGGTATGACACGTCGACATCTAGGTTCGCACCCAACCTGCGGTGCTCTTCAGCAGTATCACGACCGCCTATAAAACATGCATTGGGACGGTGTTTGACCTACCGCTGAAAGCGTACTTGTGGATCTTGCTACGTATCATTTCCGGAGTATCGGTGACGAATATCGCAGAACCCTCAATGCTGGAACTCATCTTCTGCGTGACTCCAAGCAACGAGGGGATGAATTTGGAATGTATCGATATAGGTTTGAGGTATCCGAGCCTAGGAGCAAGGTCACGAGTCATCCTGAAAAAGGGATCCTGGTCAATGCCCTGAGGGACAAGACAGAGCATATCGCTTCGGTGACCGAATAGCTTTGGGTACGCTTGGCAAAAAGCAGCAGCACCCTCTATTGCAGGGTAAGCTATACTACCAATGTTGGACGATAGGTTGAAACCGAAGATGCCTTTTACTTGGTTAAATGTAGTCTTCTTCTGCATCTTAAGCGATATACCGTAGAGGTCACTAATGTAGTCGGTGTTACGGTATATGAACGTCAGATTGGAATCAAATCCACAAGATATGATATCACGTGCATTCTCTCGAGCCATATGCCTGACAGCATCATACTCTAGCTCTTCCCTGAATAGGAATTTTTCGTCGTCAGACATCATGATCACGACAGGCGCCTGGAAGACTTCCTGCAGCCACCTCGTGAACAAGAATGGAACCAGATGACCTAGGTGCAAGGCACCAGTGGACGGCCCCCTTCCTGTGTATATGAAGAAAGGGAGTCCCTGTTCGTAGGCATCGAGCAACTGATCAAGTCCACGGTGTGAGAAGAAGAGGCCACGCCTTAGATACGGGTGAACCGGCCTTTTGATAAGTCGTTCCATACGATCAAGCTGTTCTTTGGTAATCTTTTGGCATCCAAACTCTCGAATCAATTTCTCATAGTCTATCTCATTGGCTGTGTTTGCGGCATTTGTGTTACGCTCCAGACCGAAGAGCTCAACAAAACTATCGTTCTGCAAATCCACCTCGCCGGGAGGCAATACCATAAACTTGGGTGGGCACTCATCCGGAGTTATGATTGTTTCTGCCTCCGTCAGTATGTCCGGTGTGTCGGATGTTGGCTGTACCACGAAACTAATGAGTAGAGTTTGACTATCTCCTTTGTAGGTCAACTTCTCAATATCAATCTGACCGACTTGTCCAGTTGTTCTTACAACAGCCTTGGTACTGGCATTAATATTCCATTCTTCTAGAGCAACTAGACGTAATCTGCAACATTCTATGTTAAACAGGACTAGGATTTACCGTTCTACGTTCGACGGTACAGGTCGCGCATCATAAATGCTGTCTCCGTAGACCGATTCAGCGATAGCTCGATCGACTAGAAGAGCTCTGAACTTGCTATTTTCATCTATCTGTAGCAAAATAAACTTGTGTTAAAGGCAAACTGTCGTACGACTATTACACCGCAGGAGCAAGGCTCGGCATACAGTTAGTGTGATCATGAACATACCTTTTGTGTGATGAGCTGTTTAAACAAGGTATATTGTGAATCCGTAGGCTGATTAAGGACACTGCAAAGAGTCATGACCCCTGCGGTCGTGCTCTGCGAAATATGAGAGTTATGTATGGCACAGATTCTCCTGAAAAGATGCTTCTGCAATCTACATTGCAGTATATATAGGAATGAGAGGTCGAACGCTCTATCCTACCTTTCTAACGATCGATTTAGTGGTCCTGCCAACAGGGATGGAGAAGGCTATGCAGGCCGCACCTTTGATAATGTGCAAGGCACTGTCGAAGTAACACTCATATTTCGTCATTTTCTATTATTTGCGATTATGTTATGGGTCTATTGATTGACATAGTGGACCAAATAGTCCCCATCCATGCTAAACCCGTTGGCAGCCACCTTTCCGTGACAAAAGCCGGGATTATCTAGATATTTCAGGTGTTTCTGGCTGCCAACATATACAAGGCAATGATGCACACCATAATAGGTGGTTAATGCGATGTCTTTGACCACTTTTATCCATGAGAGCGTTCCATCGTTAGCGCAGGTGTAGAGCCTTCTCACTGGCCAGCGCAGCACATTCTGCCGTTGGATATCATCACAAAGTCATTAATGGTAGAGCCAGGATTTGTTTATTATCGCAAAAAGGAGTTGACGGACGACCGATTTGAAAACCTTGCGGTTAAGTCAACGAAAAAAAAAGGACAAAAGCAGAATGCACCAAAGGCTAAAGCACGTGGGGAACCAGAAGTCAAGAAAGGTTAGTTACAAATCGGAATATTTGACTATCTTGTGTCAGATAGGGTGCTCTGTGGATGTGGAGGGCATCTGCATAAGTGTTTTAGCAACTGCATGGGTTGTGGCAAGATTTTATGCGTAAAAGAAGGTGCTGGACCTTGCTTCCACTGCAATACGTTCGTATTCGCTGTTTGTGATGCCGATATGGTCCCAAGGGAGTATGCTGATGACCCGGAATTTCAGAAAGGTATGTTACGTTGCAATGTCACATTAAAAGCACAGCTATTGAGTTACGCGATCGTTTGCTGGCCCAGGACGATGACTATGCCGCGCAATCGCTGAAAGTACACGATCTACATACAGATTGGTTCCGTGAAGCGAATAGTGTCTTCAATGAGAACGCTGACCAAGCTCGCTTGATGTATTACCAAGAAGAAGCCAGAAAACGTGCCGAAGCCGGTAAGTTAACCTTTGATAAATGCATATAGATCATCATTCTCAGCGGTACAGCATGTTGATATAGACCTGAGCACTGGACAAATAACCAGTTCTAGCAAACATAATAAATAAGTTGTTTCAGACTATTTGGTCGGCATTAAAACTCTAGGTTAATATAACTCCACAAGGTATCCTCTACAATAGGCCAGTATTGCCTCTGATACATCAGAGCAACCAATGTAGGAGGAAGCGTTATGCCCGGTAGGAGTCGAAGGGCATCTCACGGGCTCACCAAAAAAAAATGAAATCTAGAGTTATATAAAGAAATAAATTGGGGAAGGCCACAGTTTAGTGCTAAACGAAGGTTTTTTAACCTTTACGTGGGGAATTGTAAAAATATAGATGCGAGGACGGCATTCCGTCGTGGGTACAAGAACGACACAGCCACACCTCCCCTACACATTAAGGTTTTTAATAGCTCATACTGTAGAGACAACACTGATTGACAACCATGGATGATAGAATAGCGCAAATTCGTGACAACGAAGGGGTCGTTCATACCGTCCGCTCGCCAGAGCTCGGTTATCCCTGCGGCAAGTTTATCGCAGATTATGAGCTTCTAGATGATTCTAAATGCTGGGAAGACATCGAAACTGAAATAGGTGTGAGTGATTCCAGCAGCGACGGCCTCTTTAAGATACGCTCGGACCATACAGGTATGCCGCTGGTCGTACGCCCTCATCGTTGTTTATAGATGACGTGATCTCGTGTTACCTAGCACACTTTATATCAACCGGAGAGTACAGTTCTAGAGGGATATATATAGCATCGCTCGCCATCAAGCATAATCCAGCAAACTACTCAGCATGGGCATATCGCATGGACTGTTCCGAACGCCTACACCTGTCTCTAGAAGATGAACTTGGTGTGTCTGTGTCTATTTATATCATACGATTTTAGATTTCGCTCGTAAAATCGCATTCGAAGCCCCGAAGTCATACCAGGTAACAGTGACATGGGTTTATGCAAAACTCGTAGGCATGGCAATATAGACGACGGTTGTGTCAGCTACACAACAACCCGTACAACGAGATTGATTATGTCAAGTTGGAGATTGCGAATTCGCCCAAGAACCATTGTGCGTGGGCATATCTGTACGTTTTTACAAACTGCTTATGAATGTGAATTAGGTCGTGGCTAGCGCAACAATTTGATATGACAGAGGAAAATGTGCACAAGGAACTAGAATTTCTAGCATTTTTGTTAGATAGCGACATATATAATAACACGGCTTGGGTCTACAAAAGTTTTGTGCTGAACCACTTTGGGCACATGTTCGATGAAGCCTTTTTCATCAAAAGTCATGTAGATGACCTCAAGAAGATGCTTAGCACCCCTTGGAATGAGAGCCTATCGCAATATTTGGTTAATGCCATCTCTATGCTCTCTAATATACACACTGGATGCCTGAAGTTGGATAGCTGCGGAGATGCCTGTAGGTCTGCCTACCGTTCTCACAAATGTATCAGGTACTGGCGACATTGACGATTGTGTAATCAAGGCCATTGATTCATGTGGTCAAGTGACGACGCCAATAATGATGCTTAAGAGGTCCATTGTGTCTGATGATGTGGAGATATTACAGGTCAGTTGATAGGGCTTGGCATATATAAAGGACTTAGCTTAAGGAAGCATTGGAGTTAAACGATCCACTCAGACAATGAAAACTATGCACATGTAAAATGAAATTTATTGGTAATATACATATAATATTGATGGCTTTAAGTTGTTGCGTTAGTGCAAGGAGAGTTTTAGTTATCAGACTCAGCCAATGTTAGAGTGAGAGCACGGCGTCACTTGAAATTTAACCGGATAATATACAGAGATGAACGTGTGACTTGTGCTGCATTGACTTGCGTTCGGTGCAGGGTTGGAAAACCTGAGCTTTGCAGGCATTCCAATTGGCTCAACTTCGTTTCTTGCGCGCTTGTATCAGGATATCCCCGTATCGAAATTGAGCCGTTCCCTTTATTAAAATCATCACCGAAGAAATGTCAGTAGTTGGTTGATGTCTTGTAAATTGCGTAATGTTGTACCGTCTAGAGATAACGCGCCTTCTCAGAAGCCTCCAGCTGCAGTCGCTCCAGCAATGGCAGCAGTTATAAGGGCGTCCTCCAAGTATGGGTTGAAGCCTGTTGTCTCAAAGGCATCGGGTTCTGAAGAGTGAGCCTTGACAAGGTGGTATATAAGACTGAAGTGACGCCAGAAAGTCTTGCGAACCTTATCAAAAGTACCGCAGGTCGCTTCATGGGAAAGCTGTTCAAGTGGGTATCCTAGAGCTTCAAATACACTCCCCGCAGTGAAAATACCGGTGCCGTCTATTCTGCTGCTGCTGTCGTGTAAACTGTTAGTGCAGTAATATTTGATGATTTTGAAAGCCTCGTGCGTAGGCGCTACCATGGAGACAAATATACGAGCACAAACTGAGGGGTCTTTTGCACAATCTCTCTCCCAGGTAGCAGTAGGTCCATATGACGAAACGTAAGTCTCGCTCTTCTTAATATGTGAGACCATATCAGAAATGCCGATGCAAGACTGGGCTACATGGCCTAAGAACACCTCGGGTAAGACCTCCGTCTGAATTGGTTTCTTAATGTGCAGCTTAACCATGAGGGGGTCATACCACTTGGTGGGCACATGAAGAGATCTCGGTTCAGATCCCATAAGGTGACTCTTGGGACGGCTACCCTCCTCTTTAGTGGCATCAGAAGCATCAACTAACTCAGCCTCACTAGAAACAGTTGGTGCTACGCCGACTGCCGGGGAAGAGTGCAATAAAAAATCGTAAACAGCCTTGGCAAGAAGAGTAGCGGCTCCGCATTTCTTGATAGCTGTAACCCAATCGAGGGACTCCTTCAAGCTAGTAGGGATTTCGGTTAATGCAGTGTGAATCTCCATTTTCGAAAGTTGGAAAGTCAAGGTTTATGTTAGATTATATAATGCTTTGTTTTGTTGTGTTATTCAAGTGTTGATGATGTATATTGATCACGTATTCCTCGGAATAGAGCGATATAAATATTAAATATTAATTTCAACTGACCACAGTTTACTCCCGCGAACCCTATAACGCCAACGTTGCATGGTACGGCAACTTGCGTCGCCGGACCACCTAACGTACCCACCTTCTTCCTGGTTACTGAGCATGCGTAGTTTACGCTGGATAAGTATAACTACTGCACCCAATGGGGATTTTCTAGCGTTGAATTAAGTGGTTCGACTACATCTTTGGTTGGCTCGTCGGATATTCGCTAGACGCAGAGACTACGAGCCTCCGCGGTCGAATGCAGGACCCCAACTGCCACTTCTCCATTAAAAAAGCGGTGTTCAGTGCTATCTATTGCGAAATATACCGGAATTGTACAATGTAATCGACGTTCGTGTTATATGCGTTCCTCCGGATTAACGCGATGTGAAGGCAGTGGCCTTCATTCACAATATTTTCTGCTCAAATATCCAGAGCTCCTGTGAGTAGCTCTGAGCATATCTAAACATGCCATAGGTCACGTTTGAACTGAGATTGTCAGCAGGAAAACCCCTGTAATACTCATTACAGCATACCCAGTGGGCGACACTGTTTTGTATACTGCCATCCCTAAGCTATATGCTAGGGTGTTTACTAACCATACGCATATCTATCACTTGAACGCTATATAAACACGGATATCAGGTGATAGCTAAGTGCGGGTCCACACAACTCCATAGTATTTTAACGAACCATTGTCTTTATACCGGCATTAATCAACCGAAAATTCATTAAAAGTACTTGATTGTACTAAGTTGTACTATTTGGTAACGCGAGATATATATTGAAACTACGATCGAAGCCTTGTATGGCAAGGTTCATATTTTTATTCGCATAGGCGGTACAAGCCACAGTGGAGTTGACAACTCCAAAGCAAATGGGTACCCCATATACTAGACATGTCGTTTCCAATATGCTTATACAAATAACGACAAGGTTTTTATGTCGCAGAAGATACACACTACCAATGGATGCGCCTTCGAACTCTTCACCTACACAGGCCGAGTACACTGCAGGAACACTCACCGTTGGAAACTCTCATGCCCAGAATTTGAGAGGAACATATTAAGCAAAAGGTTGCACATCAGTTTGCTCGGTGTAACACACGTGCCTCATCTCTCCTCATAGCACATCAGTGGCCGTGCAAGGCTAAGTGCCATTACGTCAATGATCCTACTCACAGACCAGCGCGGAAGCAAAAAACAAGTCCCAACAAAAAACAATGTAATTGTAAGACCATTGTCCAATGCACACGTACACTGAGTGTGTTACACAGATTTGGATTCACATTTTCCCACTTTAGTGCATTGAACGGACAAGCGTACGATATAGGTACCAAGCAGAAAAACGTGAAATGGCTACGCAAATGCAAAGACTTCTCCGCTCAACTCAAAAATGTCGTCGATGGCAACCCCTTTGATGAACTATTAAAAGCAATTTACACCTTTTTCCTGTGCATCCGCCAACCCTTCCTTTACTACCTCCTCACCTTCTGGCTACTCGCCCTCAACTACCTAACATACTCACTCACAATACCACTTGATGTGTTCCATCTACGATTGCACTTGCGCACGTCCCTATTCGATCCACTAGTGCTACTTAGCAAATACAAATCACCGGTGGCTATCACCTACTTCGCACCTTGAATGGACTGTCTACTCACCTCTTGCCACCCACCAGTCTATTCTCACAGAAGACAATGGAACCCTGTCATCTGTGGTATTTTAAACCATGACAACTTTCACGCTACTATCATTGATGTAGTGTAATACGATATTTTAATATTTATAATAATCAAAAATGTTCTTTGATGAGCTTAATGTGACATAATCAACACATATCTTACTTTTCTATTATTGAGGAACTAACCTCAACCATGTTGTTAATTGCTATCGATAGCTATACGAAGGTATCATAAGATGCTTGAAATCATTTGCATTACTATCGCTATTGCCAATTTTAGAGTCTACAATCAGCCAAGTAACACTCTATTCGATCTACTTTTTTCGTTGTTTATTTGATGTCCATCATCGCCAAGGTACAGAGTCTATCTATTTCCACTAATATGACGGATTTTCAAAGCATAATACGCTGTTCGCTTGTTCACATTGTACATCATGTATTCGTCACGGCGTCATGTTACTTTGTCGCAGCCACGGGAAAGAATTGGCGTGCTATAGTGACGATGTCGACTAACATATGGTTAGATTTGAAGCTCGACAAGCCTTATGTTCTTTGTAGAGCACGTTGGTAGGCTTAGCATAAACATTGGTGCCGAACCGCGTGGTGAAGTCAGAAATTCCTGAAGACAAACTCGATGCACTAGCTGAAAGATCAATATTGCACTTTATAAATGCCTAATGATGTAACAAGTTATAACACTGCGTTGCTCTAACGCCCAAGTTGTGTTCGAGCCCTGTGATCTTGGACTATGCTACAAATATAGCACACTAAATTGAGATCAAATCATATATTGTGCGGTTTGCCTTTATGTGACCGCTTTACACTGATTTTTCTTTTGGTGTGAGAGCATTTTATAGAATAACACTCCCACCACCTAGATAGGGCAAACAAAGAAACTCCCTCGAGCTTACAGCTACTCTGCCGCCTCAATAATATAAATGCATAGAAGACTATAATGCCCTTTGGGCATGAAAGACATTGAGATATTGTGTGCATGATTTTTCCCCCTGGAGTGAGGAAAACCCCTAAGTGCAACACGACAATGCGACGTATCAATGTGTCACGTTGTGTGTAGATGATCGTAAAGATTACTCGAGTATACGTTGTACTGTCGTTGTATCCATCGCATTGCAGTACAGTCCAGGCTATTTACATATTCAAAACCAAATGTTAAAACTTAAACAAATCAGCTCCATCACTGAAATGGTATGCGACAACTTGCCAGTGCGTTCCGCAATAGCTGCTTAAAAATTACGATCTTCATCACTAAAGTGCATTTCAAGAACATTCTAATAGAAATCTTCATGGTGTATTCCAGTGATAGAGATAAACGCCGAATGTAGCGCTGTATTATTGGTATATCTCATGTTGTAAACCACCCAATGTCTATTATCCGTCGTCTAATGTAAGTATATGCTATGTCAAACCAGAAGCACTCACAAAGGCGCAATGCTAGACCACGATGGCAACATAGTGACGCATGCTTTAGCCTGTGATATGACAGTTGACAATTACATTCAGATGTTACCTAATCTGGTTTCACAGGTCCATGGGCAACCCGGACACTTCCCGAAGGTTGTTGATGAACCGGTTGTCTGCGAAGCTCATATTAAACCTAAAGATCCCGACAGTCTTCTTAGCATTTATGTCTCTTCCGATGTGGAAACCGGCTGCCTTCAAGAATGAGCCAACCTTCTTGGTGGAGTCAGCAATAAGGTCGTTCTCCGAGGCAAAAAGGGCAATGTGCCTCAGAGCGCAGGTTCCCGCTGCCAACATAGGGGCAATTCCAACAAAGATTTTTGCGCACGTCTGTGGTTCAGGTGCACAAGACTGTTCCCATGTGGCGGTAACGTCATATGAATGCTCGTAAGTCTTACTTTTCCAGAGTTTCCTCAGAAGTTTATCATATTGATCTGCAGAATCACTAATTGCTTTTATGACATCGGCGTCGCTAATATTTCTGGGAAGTATCGGCTTTGGTTTATGACTTTCGCTTTTGTCGGCGATCGGCACACCCTTCTCTTCCTTATGAGAGGGATGTTGACATTCTATCGCTTCTTCAATCTCAGTGATAGTAGGAGGTGATCCTACCTCAATTGGGTATTCTGATTCGTCTGGTAACAGTTTCAGAATGATACGAACGGCAGGCTGATCGGAAAATCCGGATTGCCTTAGGTATCGTTTAACTTTGAGTCTAATTTCCTTTATCAATGCCATGAACTCATCATCATAGGACTGTTCTGCAAATAGATTGACTACAGCTGCTCCCAACTCTTTTATTCCACCAGATGTTCTGATAGCCACAAGCCAATCAATGGCCTCTTTGTAATTGGTCGGGTATTCGAGTAGGGAAGCGTGAACCATATTGAAACAGAATACTAAAGATTATTAAAAGGCTATCATGCACCCATAAGGGCAATAAGAGTGTTAAGTTCGACAGAAACGCGACGCGGTAGGTCCTAGACCCGCTTCGCTCTCAAATGATGTGTTACGACTGTATACGATAACATACCGCAAGCTAACGAATCGCGGCATCTTTTACCTCAATTTTAACATCACGTTAGGTGTGCTGGTAGCGTAAAATATGGAAAAGGCGCGGCATTACAGTACCATTCCTCCCCATCATGCTTCTGGATAGAAATCTCATTATTGGAGCTTCTTACAACATTGATTGTCTGAAAATAAGTCGATTTTATGGTACGAAATCTCCCTACTGCTCCGGTTCCTAATAGACAGTTGTTATGCATATGTTTTTCGTCGTACTTTCGGTGGTGATGACGCGGCCGCATCGATATTTGCTGTGTTGTTGACTGTATAAACGTCTTATATAAATAGTGTGTCAATATTTAGTCTCAGTAATCACCTGTGTGTTAGTATGCAACGGCGCTTAAGTTATTTTTTACATATACCAGGCAACCTGCCGATGAATCTAGGTATTATGATCTATTGCTTATGAATTTACGGTCTGATGCCATATGTATCGTGAAATAAATGTATATCGGTGATTCTGTGTGTGTTTAAGGCCGACTGCCACATTTGTCAAATAGCTTTGCGGCGAAACGTAGTTAACTGAGAAGGCGAAAGTCCATCTTAAGCGTCTCTTACACACCACGTATACGAATATAGTTGCTAGGGTACTGCAACATGTGTTGACCCACTCTAATAGCTGATGCTTTGTTGCAAATGAAACTTCCGCATGATACGCAGATATGCCACCATTGCAAAACAGGTAACTGATGATTAACATAATTTTGAATTAAAAGGCGAAATACAGATGTTCAGTGGTATTTGTGTCCACTGTGCAATTAGGCTCTTGACCACCAGTCATATCTCAATAGACAGCGATAGCATAGATCACACGTAGTATAGTGATGAATGGGAGTAGAACGACTACAACGTCCAGTAAGAAGTATTTCATCATTTAGTTGTGCAGCCTTAATCTCGATAGTAAATTTGATCGGTATTATATAACTCTGATTATATTTTACATGACCCAGAATTTTATGGGTGGCCCAATCAAGCACGTCACATCGTTGAACTTGTATCGCAAAATTATGAGTTTTAACACGTGCAATGCCATTTAGGTGGTATAGAAACCACGTAGAATACCACTGTTTAATGAAAACATAAATATGGTCCAGACGAAGAACCGATGCCTGAAGCACCGGAAAAATTTCCCACCCCGGCATATCTGCTGCGTGAGATGCTGTAATATCACTACGACCTTCTATAACATTTTATTAGACCATTTACAATCATATAACAACGTTAACTAGAGCGAGCATTCAATTTTAGAGGGCATAAATCGACCCTTCGTTAGGTGTCACAAAAATCATGACCATCATCATGATATATCATATAGGATATGATGTTTACGAACAAAGTCTACCCCCTGAAAGCTATTATTTTCAATCGATTAAGCTTTTGATGTACCTCTGCTATACCAAAATGCCATGTTTTGAGTGATTCCGTCATCCCCAACACGTGTCCGGACCGACCTTACCTCATGAATTTTCAGCCTCATCAAATGCCGGTTCAACAGAACTGCGAATTTGTTGAATTAGTACGTGATATATATATGCAAGATAAAAAGCGACACTAGAATACATTATGAGGTCAGAATTTCCTTTTTGGAATAGATTCTGTGAGTGCCTTGACCCAATTTCTGTGGAGTGTATAGTTGAGGAAGATAGAGACGCAGGCTGTAATGGATAACACATGGCTCTGTGTGAGTTGCACATATTCTTTGATTGGCAACCTTTTACACTTAGCACCTATGTGTTTAGAGCGATTTAACGCTATACCCTTTAACCTGTTGCGATCTACTATGCCACCGATGACGTAGATTCCATCCTGCGATATGTCTTCCAGCACTTCTTCGGCGTCCGCCGATAGATAGACAACCTTTTCGATGTCGAACAGTTCTTCTACGCTCTTGTACTCCAGTGTACACATCCAACTGTCTGTTCCTGATATCTTGTTGAAGGACTCCGCAACATAACTCCCCTCTTGTATGCCGCAGATGACCAAATTTACAGGTTTCTCGGCACGCTTGTTGAAAGCATAGCTTTGCATGAGTTGGTTAGCAAGACTCTTAGCTTCCTTCTCGTTTTCATATGAATCAAACTCGCAGTCTATGACCAGAGTGCAATTCTTTCGGCATAATGCCATAAACGCATCCCGTTTATCGCGCTTATTCTGGATACGTTCCGGGGATTCGTTATTCATCATACAATATATATCTTTTGATGTAGGTTTCCCTTGCTATGTGCAACCTTACCACTGCTAGCCGCCTCTACACATTTACGAGATTTCTGTTTTATAGTTATGATGCGATAGATTTAACGCGTTTTCTTAAAAGCAATAGCCATTCTCCGGGGCTGCGCTATAGTTTATACCACCGCCGCCGTACTCGGTGTTTTCTTCAAAGAGAAACTGCGGTACCGTAGAATACCGTTACCCTGTGTGTTTTCAAAAACATGTAAAATTACAAAAGTGCCGTTTAAAAATATTGTTTTCAGGATGCAAGAAATTGCCTTATCTGCTGTGCAATCCCTTCCACATCCATCTTTGCCAGGCGCTTTTGTTCAGGAATTGTGCCATGATGCATAAATTCCTTAGGGTATGTGATGCACATGACATCTGCCCGCTCCGGGCTCTTGGTGAGATACTCTAATACGGCCGACCCGAAACCTCCCTCTATACCATCTTCAGCAGTGAATATCGTATGATGTGTTAAAAGAATACGGTCGATCATTTTCGTATCCAGCGGGTTTAAAAATCGCATGTCAATCACGGTGGCGTCTAGTTTGAGTTGGTCAGCCGCTTTCAAAACGTCCAAGACTATAGGCCCGAACCCGAGAATGGCAACTCCGCTGTTACCCAGGCGAATCGGTCTTGACTCCAATGCCTTATTGACACCTAGCATTGACAAAGGGTCCGCGACTTCTCCATCCGTATATTTGAAATATTGCAGTAGCTCCTCTTTCGAGGGTACGGATGCATTCGGGTACCTAATGGCCGTTGGCTGATCGTTAGTGTTGTAAGCTATCTTGGCCATCATCTTGAGCTCAAGTCCATTGCTCGGTGCCATGATTAGCATGTTGTACATCATTCTGAGGTAGCAGATATCGTAAATACCTTGATGCGACGCACCATCCCCTCCGACGTATCCCGACCTGTCTACAACAAACCTTACGGGTATATGCTGTAGAGATACATCGTGTATTATTTGATCAAGGGCCCTTTGCATAAACGTCGAGTATATACAGCAGAATGGTTTTGCTCCGCTAATAGCCGATCCTGCAGCAAATGTGACGGCATGTTGTTCTGCAATTCCCACATCAAATGCCCTATCAGGATACTTCGTTCCCAATTTACCAACGCCGGTAGAACCAGGCATACCAGCTGTGATAGCTACCACCGTTTTGTCGTTATCTGCAAGTTCTATCAGTGACTCTGCAAATACTTCTGAGAATGTCTTTGACGCAACCGCTCCAGTGGCAGTAGATTGTGAAGCCGTTTTGGGTTTCAAGGAGTGAAGACGGTTCGGTGCTTGCAGCGCCTTCTCACATCCCATCCCTTTCACTGTTTTTATATGCAGCACGACAGGTCTCTTTGTACCTTTGTCGTTACTAGGACTCATTTCCTGCTTGAGGTAAGTTAGCACCTTTGTCAAATGTTCCACATTGTGGCCATCGATAGGCCCTATGAATACTGGCGTTCCTTCCTTTTCGAGTTTGGTGGCCTCGAATTGTTCAATCGCCTGTTCACCAGTAATAGGTTGTTTCCGCGTATTCTCCATCATGAAGTATGGTAAAATAGGCCCAGTTCCATTTTTTGCTGGCATTCCTGTTGGCAGCGAGCTCTGTCCGTTGTCGTTGTAAATGATGAGTAAGGGTGAATTAATGGTGCAGGAATAATTGAGTGCCTCCATAGCCATTCCCCCAGTGAGACTACCGTCCCCGATGACACAGACGTATGACTTATCTTGATGCTTCCCCATGATGACATCACCCTCGTATACGCCCTGAAGCGCCCCAATGGATGTTGATGAGTGCCCAGCCCCGAAAAGGTCATGTGGGCTTTCATACCTACGCAAGAACCCAGAGAGTCCACCTGGTTGCCGGATCGTATGCATTCGGTCCATCCTCCCAGTAACCATTTTGTGTATATATCCCTGATGTCCTATGTCCCATATGATTCGATCTTTGGGTGAGTCGAATATCCGATGGAGCACAACAGTGAGTTCTACAACTCCTAGGGAGCTTGAGAAGTGTCCTCCCACTTCTTCCGCATTTTTGATGAAGCATCTTCGTAGTTCTTGACATACTTCTGCAACTTTGTGTTCCTGTACCTTTTTCAAGTCGTCCGGAGAGTTGATGCCCAACTGACAGTCTTCAGTGGCATCCGAATCCACCATATCTACAGCACCTTTGGGAGTCCTTTCGCTTGCGAATCGGACCCATTGTACGTTGGAAGCTGCGCATCTGGAACACGGATGTGTTGTGATAAACGCCGTACTTGGTGCCGGTACGATTGATGCGTATCCTAGATCTTGGTTTAGTAAGGTCAGCGTAACAAGAAAAAGCAATATCCCTTTGATATCTGCATACGTACCCATTGAGTATATATATTCATTGTATGTATTGTTAAAATATCCCCATAGTTGATGCAATCCAGCGTGATATGTCGTCCGGCCTCTGGACATCCTCCCACCTTTCAAAATCTCTTTACCAGCGCCGATTATAGCACCCTATACAAATAATACAAATTAGTTTGTTTCCATTTGAGCACGTTAATTGGTGATGTGTAAGTGAGCTAACCGTCTCCGCGCGTTTGCTGTGTAGGCCGCTCAGTGTAACCCAGACGCCAATGCGCCTATTACGGCGCCTTCGCGCCTTTGACAGGTGCTTCATGCACGCCTGTATAGCTTCATCAGCGCTGTATAAGCTGCATAGCGTTCGGACACCATGGAATTTTGCCAAATGTGTAAAGGTTGGCTATGGAAGCAGTGCATTCCCCGAACAGTCCCAGCCTCGTGAGGCATCTACTAGCGGCAAAAGGCTACTGTTTGGTCTGAGAGTTCATAATGCCAGCGATTTAGTACGTCTTGGAGATGAAGCAGTCACAATTAGCACTGCCGTTGTTTCGTCGGTGCTGAAACAATCTGGTAAAGGAAAATCGAATAGCAGAGACCTCCTTTATATCATTGACCATATTTCTAACACTTTATGTTTGGTGGCTGACCCATGCGAATTGCTTAGACACGCCCACCCTAATGAAGCATGGCGCAATGCTGCCAATGAAACCGTAGAGAAGGTCTCAGCATTTATAAGCCGTATCAACATTGATGAGAAGCTTTACGGTATAATGACTAGTGCCTATACTGCGTCACAATGTCATCTCAATACAGAGGAATCGCTGGTACTTCACCATATGATCGAGTCCATGCGAAACCAAGGGGTTGGACTACCGCCATCATCTCAGGTACGGCCACAGTTATAGGCTCTCAACTTGTTTCCATAGGCATCATACCTGGAGATGCAACGCGAAGAGGCATCAATATCATTTGAACTGTCCGATAGCAGTACTTTAAAACATCTCCCGGCGGCACCTATCAACGGTAGACTGCTCCCTCCAAGTGCAGGGATGTATTCTTATGTCCTACGGTAAGTGTAGCATTCCTATTACTTAACCGTTTCAGCAATTCATCTGATGAAGATGTGCGTCGCCTGGTTTGGGAAGCCCAGTCGCAAAGCGACCCAGCAGCTTTAAAAAAGCTCTTGCGTCTACATCACATTCGAAGCTCTATAGCTCACATTCGTGGGTTCCGAAACTTTGCAGAATGTGCACAGAGGTACGTGCTTCATCTACTTTTAAGTTCATTTCTCTCCATATGTGTTGTAGGGAGTGCATCTTGAACACACCGGCGTCTGTAGAGGCTTTCTTGAGAAAATATGCATTATCTATAAAAGCTCAATTACAGTTGGAATTGAGCGAACTAGTGACTCTGAAGCGTTCTCATGTATCGGGAAAGACGTCTTTACGTCCGTGGGATTTGGACCACTTGATGGGATTAGAGCGTGATAAGTTAGGAGTGCAGTTACGAGTGGGTTCTGTGCTGTCATATTTTGAGCGATTGATGCACGATCTATTTGGTATAAAGCTTGTTAGGGATACTTCTGAGCCACTATGGCATCCTTTGGTAGCGAAGTTTTCCCTGGTAAAACCCGCTGCAACAAATTCAGACGGATCACTTGCATCCGGTAGCACAACCGACCAGACGATTTCATTGCATACTACAGTGGGCTCCAACGAGATGGAAATGGCGCACCTGTACATGGACCTGTTTGCCCGGGAGGGTAAAGTTGGCTTATGCGCACAGTTCACAGTGAGGTGTTCCAAACTGATAAAATCGAATACGGCGGATTATTCGGCAACTGGCAACCTTTTCACCGGTACTTCTGGGGATGTGGATATTGGTCAGTATACTACTACGGTGTACCCTGATGGATCGCATCGTCAGGTACCGGCTACGACAATAGTATGCAGTTTTCCTACTAGTAGCCATCATTCCGACTTTTCCAGCGCCTTGTGTGGCACCTACATCGACTTATCGTCTGCTATGACATTATTTCACGAGTTAGGTCACACTGTACATGCGTTGTGTAGCCGTACCGATTTGCAGCATTTGTCTGGTAATCGTGGTGGTGTTGATTTTGCCGAATTTTCTTCACACCTGTTTGAATTATACTTCTTGGATGGATTGAAGGACATATGCTCTATCGAGGGTCTTGACGCTTCATCTTCGGCTAAGGCTCATCTGTCGTTTCATAAGTACCGCGCAATAGAAACTGGTCGCATGATCCTCATGTCGCTTCTCGACCTTAAATTCTACAGTTCCTCTGTTTATATGGATGAGGGTTGCGTCACTGAGCTTTACAATTCCATTGATATATTTGCTGATGAGTTTGAGTCTGGAACCGTTTCGCAGTTGCTAGGTCTCCCTGCGTTGAGCAACTTTGAACACTTGGTTCCATATGGCGGGACTTATTTCTGTTATCTCTACTCTAGGTATGTTAGCTTATATGTCACGATGACTACGGTGTTGTGTAAATTCTTTTAATGCTGACATATCTGCAGGGTACTTGCTATAAAGGTATGGCGTTCGTTTGAAGGCAGGGCTCGCTCCAGATCGACGGGCGATCGTTTATACGAGTTCTTTGCAAAGGTACGTGATCATCTGACTCTATATGCTATATTATGTTTAGGGTTCGACCGATGCGTCCATCGCTCCGCTTAACGTTCTGGCCGGCCGTGACTTAACATCTATGGAAGACGAGTTATTCTTCGATTAGTCCAACCGATCATTGCAGTTACTGTGCACAGAAACGATCGCCAATATACACCTGTGCAAAGAATTCTGCCAACGTTCCAGCCTAGGTGTGTTACCAATCGGTTTCACAGGCATTGTTTTGGGACGCCACTATAGCATATGATAGTTGTAACACCTCGCAAAATTTGCAAAATTACTCTTCAGTTATTGTTATTGTGTTTGTACCGTATGAAGCGGGCGCTGTATATCGCCGGCTTGCACTAGGATTCCTCCACTTACAGATATCCTTTATTGGCACAAATATAAACTCTTTACCCCCTTGTGCAATGGTACCACGCCATGGAAGACTTGGGAGTAGTTTCCAAGGCCGTAGAGACGGTCATGAGTGCCTGTTTCAAGGGTAGCGTGGCTGATCTCCGTGCCGCCGTACGACAGTTACTCTCTGTGGACTCTCCAAAGGATCACATACCTCCAGAAGCTTCTGAATCGCATGATGATGGCACTTTCAATTGTTTAGAGCTGTCTACATTGGAGTCGCTGCGCGATGCTAAACAACATAGTGTCGCCCATATCGCTTCCGCTGGAGGCAACTTGGACGTTTTACAATGCCTTTTGACAGCTTTACCAGCATTGGCATACTTCGAAGACGAAAATGGAGAGAATGCTCTTTTTTATGCGATCCGTGCTGCCACCGGTCGAGGTGAATCAGGTGTTAATAACTCAAACTTCTTGTCCTGTGTCCTGTTGCTTCTGGGACACTGCGGACCTGACTGCGTGAGCAAGAGCGGTGCCAGCGCACTGCATATAGCAGCAGAACTGGGAGCACTTGAGGTATGCCGTCTGCTAGTTGAGAACCATGCAACTGTCAATGTTTATTCGGAATACGGCACCCCTCTGACTGTTGCTGTGATACGGGGTTACATCGATATCATTGAGTTCTTATTATCGCATGGTGCTAATCCTGATGGGCTACCTGATGCTGAAGATAATGACGAGGACGTTGTAAAATGCCGCTTCCCTCCTCCATTGGTATTTGCGTGTAGCACTGGTCAGGAACACGTTTTCGACCTGTTGCTTTCAGCTGGCGCTAGCGTTTCGGTATGCGATGCTGACGGTTGGACCCCTTTACACTGCGCTGCTGAATCGGGTTCAGTGTCTATAGTAAAGAAGCTGTTGGATCGTAACGCGGATTGCAACGTTAAGGTACAGGGGAAAACTCCCTATCACCTTGCTGTGTGGAACGGCCACAGCACGGTTGCAGCTTTACTTCGTGATCTTACTACGGATTTGGGTCCCGTTGATGTATGCGATAGTCCCGCACCGACTGCAGAAGAGCCTGAAATTTTATATAACAACTGCGAAACGGAGTTTCGAGGCACCCGTGAGGAGCTTGACCTTTTGGTAAACAATCTTCGGGAGGAGGGCCGTTTACTAGTGTGTAACAAAGATTACACCAAGGCTTGTGAGGTATATTCTCGTGCGATTGCATTAATGTCTGGTGCCACGGACTCGTCGAGTGAAACATTATCTATATTATACTCTAATCGCAGTCATACTCACCTGATGACAAAGAAGCTGGATCTAGCACGTACCGACGCCGAAAAGGTATGTTCTCGTTTTTGTGGTTATTAACAAATACAGTGCATCGCGCTTAACCCATCATGGCCAAAGGGTTACTTCCGTCTTGCTGGAGTCCATAAAGCATCTGACAATCAGGTGGACTACCTGCACTGCTTGTTCCAGGCTTATTCACATGACCCGAGCAATACTGGCCTACGTGACCTGTTCCAGCGTGAGTTTGAACGTTCGCGTAGCGCTTCCGCTTCACGTTAAGTTACGTGTTATTTATATGTGGTAGCAACTATTTTCGTCGATAGGAAGGTAGTGTGACTTCGGGACGTTTAGAAACCGTAACAACTGGTTAGTAGGTAACCTTACAGCGTATTTAATGAGTTTTTTTCTAAGTTTCATTTAGCAACGTTTCGTTCTGAGTGACCCCTGCGTTTCATTTTCAAAGCGCCATGGGAGTCAGTTTGCGCCCCGTCGCACGTGATCCACTGAATCCTTGGCTTATATGTGTTCGGCTTTTGGATGTACGTTACCGGTCAGTGGTTTGTGTAAGGTTGGCTTAATACTCGGCCTGGAGCTTTACAATTTTGTTCCAGTGTGCATTAGGTGTTTGGAAAGTCGTTAAAAATTGTTCTGTGCGTGTCACAAGATTGCATCGTGTTATTCTAGAGTGAATAGTTGGTTCCCGATATCACTTCAGTGCCCTACCGCGGCATAAGGTAGACCCACTGGCGGCATTCTGAATGCATTGCAGGCTGCTTCTGCTGTGACAGAAAATACTTGATTTAATTTTGGGCATTAACAACGTGATTCAGGTAGGTGTGCACATCAGATTGAGCCGATAATGTATTGCTTAATATTGAGGTCGCATGTTTTGTTATAATCATACGTCATTTTTGTTAATATTTTCATTGCAATATTTGCTATAATAATTTTGAGTTTTGTGTAACGTGTTTTTCAGGATGATGGTTACCGAATGTTTGGGAAGCTGTTACAACCAGCTTCCTCAGCCCGAGGTGGTGCTGAGCCCTGAAGATTCGGAATTAAACTACTACCTTTGGATGCCCGGAGTACAGTATCAGCCCCGTTTACAAAGGAAATTGACGGAGTTGCGTTCCATTACTGCTGAATCTGAAGTCATCTCTGTGGACGAGGTCGTCGAAGAAGTGGTGAGACTATCTTACATTTTATTCCGTCGTTGTTTGAGAGCTTTGAAATGCCGTTCATATAAAGTTGAAAACTATCCGTTGGAAATTGATACGCGTTTGGGTGATCACAGGGAAACTACGCGTGATTGATGAATAGCAGCTCATTTTTGCTATGCATCATCAGTGAGCCTAGGAGTACGACTACACATAGTGGATGAATGACCGTGATAGGGTACATCTACTTTTTGTGTCGAGGCTACAGGTTTTCCTACTATTTACATATATATCTTTTCAGTGCATTGTTGATCTATTCTCTCTCTTTCTTTTATATGTTTTGTCTCATACGGAGTTAGATTGCCAAGGATGAGCTTTTCGTTAAATTCAATGAGGGTGCTACTGACGGCATGATGGATTTGAAGACTGCTGCTGAATTCATTCGTGAGCTCGGTGCTACTCCTTCTCAGGCTGAGCTCGTCGAGTACAGCGCTACCAACGGCAACGCGTTGACATTTGAACAGCTCAAGGAACTTCTTGCTATTTGCATGTACCCTAAGGAGGACGCCGCTTACCTCCAGAAGGTTCTTTGTGGATTATCGAAGGTAAGTGTCTATTTTTTGTTTGCGCATTGTTGTTCAGGACCAGGAGAAGATCGAGTTCTCTCACTTAGAGTACATCATGGGTAACTACGGAGAGCCATTGACAGCTGAGGAATTGGCCGCCGTGAAGTCCACCATCTTCAACTCTAACGAAAGTCTCGCTTGCGGCGAGTTGGCTATGAAGATTGCGTAATAACTTATATGCAATATCGTTATGTGACATAACGCTTAATATATTTGCTGTGAATCTAAAAAACATTTTTTTCTTCGGTTGTGTTGTGCGTCTGATCAGATGCGGCACACGTAGTGCTGGCTTTGGGTGCGAAAAGTTGTTGCTGCTGTCCAACACATCACGTTTGTAAAAATGAATCTTACCGAACTCCCAACAATGGAAAGTGAGTCACCGATGATGGCAGAGTTTGAGCGTCAGTCACATGTGTCCGGTATGTGTAGACCTTAGTATTAAGCACCGTGCGTGCTTTTTCGTTTCCCTTTTTTTTTGTTAATATTATTCTCAGACCGCAAAATTCTTAGGAGCTTTTGCTTCCTTTCAGGTTGTGCGATGTGCGTAGTCAGCGCACTTAACGTTCTGAACATCCTCTCCATTGGAAAGCCAGCCCTTTATCTACTTAACCTCGTACAAGGGTTAGTTCGAAATCACAATCCATGAGTTAGTTCATTTGTGCTTCTTACATTGATATGTGTTCGGTGCGTTTGCATCAACACAGGATGCTACACTGTTACATTGTCGTATATTTTGTAAGGTCTCATTTGCCTATTTTCTCATCATTCACACCGTGTTTGGTAATCATATAAACCTTATTATGTATAATCTGCTGGGCTTATGATCTGTTACGTGTACATTGTTAGTTACAGTGCCTTGATAATGTCAGTTTTTATTGTATAAGTAGTCTGTCTAATGCGGTCTCTCAAGGGACTGATTCTACTATATTTCTATTAATTTGTTTGCAGATTGTTTGGTTTCTCTATTATGGTCTTTGAGGGTGATGAATATTCTTCTCTTGCTCCTTACGCCAACATTTTGGATGTTTACTTCAAGTTCTTGCAATCTTATTTGGGACGCGCATTATTCTTCGCTCTTGTAGGGTTGCACTGCGCTATACTGACTCAACTCTCCGTTCTTTACTACCCTTTGACGCTGGTTTGGATCGGTGTAACATCCTTCATAATAGCCAATCGCCAACGTGACAGCCTCCCGTGGTACCAGGAGTAACTAATGTTCATTGCCTAGGACGTCATCATTCCTACGTACAATGTAATTGCTCTGTGGTAGTTACTGCGAGTGACTGGGACGGCGTGCATAGGCACTGTAATGGAAACTGAGGATGGTATATCAACTGCTCTAACCATTAGTCATTTTTCAGTATTACCTAATATTATACATCAAACTTGATCGAGCAGGAACTGTAACCCTCCTCTGAATGTTTCTAGATGTTGCATTGGTACTTTATGTCTGCAGAACTTTGCTGCGGCGTACATGTCCAATAGTGCGTAGTTGGCGATGGCGTCAGTGAGGCCACCGGCAACCAGTGTCAATATGAAAAACGAGACGGACTCGTCCTTCGAGTCAGCTTTGTTGAACTGTATTGCAGTAATAAGGTGCTTAAGTTTGTCCTGAGGCCAGCTTGTTTGTGCCATCTAGCACGATGTTAATATACATTGAAGAGTTACAATTTACCATTTTAAGAGCTTCGCATGATGGTATGAGGTTGTAGTTGTTCACTTGTCGTTTTCCATCAAGTAGGTTAAGAGTGGAGTTTATATTCATCTCCTTTCTAAGTTTGAGAATGCTACTCTGGAAGGCGATTGGTGATGCAAAGTTTAGCTCCTACCTGTACTACCTCTTCCTGCTTCTGGTAAGTCCTCTGCAAATGCGTGATTATACGCTCGTTGAGGTACTTAAATGCGAAGTTAAGTGTCACTTCGCACATGCTATTTTTAGAGCACTTGAGCTCGTCATTCTTGTCGGCAAGATAAGCAACAACTGCCTTTTCAACATGTGAACACAGTATACTGCAAAATTCATTCTCGTATCCAGGTACCTGGATTGATTTGAGAATCCGTTTTGTATCTCATCTTTGCCTTACCATGACAAATGTATTTTTGATCCTGTCCAGCGTCCCATATAAAGCATCGTGGTACTCAGCACTTTCTTGGCACCACCTATGAGTTATCATATCGTTTACAAATCACAAACTCACCTGTCCACCACCGCTTCTACGTCATTCAGGTCGAGTACGAATATATCTCTGCAGGTTGGTTCTGCGTGCATGAGGTAGTCGTCTATAACGCAGACTTTGACTCCCTTTTGCATATCATGGAGTTTATCCTCTCTCAATATGTTTGCTGCGATATGGGTTTTAAACCCAAAACCGGTCGTGACCTTTCGGTCAGTGACCTCTACTACTTGGCCATTTAGGTTGAGAAAGTGTCCTGGTATTTCCGTTTCCCTAAGTATGTGACACTCTGCAATTTTGGTCAATCGAATTCGATATGTCTCTTACCTATGAATTCCCGTGATATATGTACATTGACGAGGGTATGTGCCACTGGTAGTAGCAGTAGTCGTTGCTGCGAGTATTGGTCAAATAGTGCGCGATAGAGATCTCCATGTGACTTCTGCAAAACACACATAAGCGCATTTGCACCTATTTCATCAAATTTCTGTTGCATTTGTCCTTATAGTTCGGCATACTTTGTTATCATTTGACCTAGACAGATCCTAGTGTCATGTCGGCGAGTGCTGGTGATGCTTTGCCACAACTTAAAGATATCGCAACTAGCATCACATTTTTGTATATTTGTGACATAATGTATTTATGGTCATGTGTGTAGGAGTTTCGGCGCTTAGGGGCGTGAAGCAGGTAATTCAATCGCTATGAACCTAGTGTTGAGGGACCCGCATCTTTTGTCGCTTCTCCGCGACGTTCATCGCATATTACCCTGCGTTATCGCTTGTTGTGTGAGTTTTCGTAAATATTCTCGGAGCGCACGGCGCTGCTGCCACCAATGTCGTTTCTGTCGTGTGAGCTCAAGTATTTTAGACGTAGCTAGTCTAATAAGCCGTGTTCTTGCGAGTGGTTATCGGGAATTAACAGTGTTTGTGGTACTGGACAATGAGCGTCAGCTTTATTCGACTTTTGTGTTGGATTATATCCAATCGCTGTATGCGCTGGTGATCCAGACTTGTTCTCAATACGGGGTAAGTTTATATATATATATATATGTATATTTTCATCTTATTGCCTACAGGCTGACTGTGGATTGTGTATTCCTAATGATGCGGTGGGAGTATTGAACCCCAATACTCACAATCTAACCGTATTGCCGGTATACGACTGGCGTGGTATGCTGGATCGCGCATCGTTGTCCTCTGTATTTTCATATCAGGGACAGCTGCGGTTCATTTCAGTTAAAGGAGCTCCCTATATGTGCGACGACTTTTACCAGGAGCTTTCTGAACGTGGATATAGTATAGATCCACATCGGAAGTTGGCGTCGTGTCAATGTTCAAGTGCAGTCCATCGCAACGGAGACGTGGGAACCCTGTATCGATTCTCATCGTCAGAGTCCGTGACTTCTAACGATACTTGGGAGGTAATCTATGAAGGCTCCACAGTGGACTTAGATCGTAAGTCCAATAGTACCTCACCGTGTGGTGAGGTTGACCCTATCTGTATATCAAATCGCCACGAAACGTTGAAAAATGACGACAATGTTTTACTGCTGGTTGACGATAAATCAAGTTATGGCGCCGACTCACAACCCAAATGTGATGCCCCTAAAAATGGAACCATTTCGGCCGCTTCTAGAGATCCGCAAGATCAATCTGGTCGTATTGAGAACAACGCTGTGCATTGTAACTCTGTTACCGACCATTACAAAGAGCATCGACGCGTGTCGCCACGTTTTGAGCGTTCTACATCGATGCCTACCCGTTCTGCTATTAAAGGAGACCCTCGTTTGACGTTTGAGCATTTACAGAAATCCGCGTCGCTTCGTAATCCGGATGATTGTACGATAATAAGCCAACTTAAAGAAATGGATTGTTTGGCGTTGTACGACCCTAGTAAAGAAGGTGCGACTCCTGAGATTATGTCATTTGACAATGTCATGTGTTGTGGAACATTTGACTGCCTTCATTTTGGTCACAAGTATCTCCTGCTTTCTGCTTTCTTAAGTTGTCGTCGATCTATTCACATTGGTATCACTGCACCTGACGCTATGCTGCGATCTAAGAGCGACTATTGTATGATTCAGAGTCTGGAGAAGCGTCGTGAAGTTGTTGAACGCTACGTAAGCATACTGCAGCTTTTATACGGTCGGTCTAACATGGACTTTCCGTGTCCTACGAATATTTCGAAGGGTACTTTGGTGATGAATTACCACAATTGCGACTTTTTTTCCTATAACACCGTGCCTATGACACTTCGAGAATGTAGCGAATTGTCTTGCCATGAATTTACTTCTGAACTGCTACCCACGGAACCTTCAAGGGTCAGTGATCGTTTGTACCCTTATGTCACCATTTTCGACCTTATGGACATGTATGGCCCTGCAGGCATGCTTAAAGAATCGTTTGCACTTGTGATATCTCCGGAATCGTTACCTGGTGCAGAGAAAGTAAACAACCTTCGGCGTTCCAAGGGCTTGACAGTATGGCCGCTTTTATCTGCGGCATTCGTGTTGCATCCGGAACTAGATCATCGTCGAAAGAATGTGAACAAAGTGGCATCTTCTTGGATACGCAGAAGTTTGAAGTCTATTAAGTGATTTATCTTATTCGCCATGACTGTATTAATGTTTTGACACCCAAATCAATATATCTATAATGGTTTTATATTAGTTTCTGGGCACTTTGATTTCTAACTAGCTGTGTCACATGGACCAGGGGATGATTACGTTAGGTATACATACACATATCATTCTTGGAGGTGAGATTGCGCTAGAGCATCATATGTTTCGTGCACATAATCACATTATGGCATTGAACTCTACTTTGTATGTCTCTAGCCCGGTGGCTTACCGTTTCACCCCTGAAGGCGTATTAATTCGGCTCTGGTGGCTTGCAGAGATACCGCCTATCAGATATAAGTACTTTGGTTTAGCAGTGTGCATTACATTTAGACAACACACTGCACCGTATCGGTACTGCGTGGCACCCTGGCTGTTATCGTCTGGATGACGGTTGGCAGCCTTTGGCGCGACAACTAGGATCTTTTGACATCGTTCTGCCTTACGATTGCTTACTTATAAATAGTCTAGTTGAAATATTTGCTCCAAGTCCAATAGTTCCTGTTGATGGTTGTAAAGTGTAGTATCGTATAGGTGTGTTAGTAGATTTATCGAATCTTCAACGTTTTTTCTGCGTTGAAATTAGGCACATGGAAGTTTTTGGTAATGTCGGATAAATTGTGGGTATTTTATTGGTGCAAGATAATCTAGAAGTTGTCTACTCATGCAATGGTGTTGCATGAGGCGACATCCCTGGTGCTGGTCACCAGTACTCCTTGATGCCTCCTGTACCGTGGTCACAACAAATATTTCACACGTGTATTACATTATTATAGTAAAATATTGGTGCTAATTTTGGACTACTAACGTCCATTGCAAGCCCCTGACTCTTTGGTGAGCTCGTTATAGCGGTCTGGCAGGTTTATTTGCCCCCTGTGGAAATTTCCCCTAGGGCCCGCTAGTTAGTAGCTGGATTTGTGTTGAGGTGTACCTCCACACAGCATCGTATTTTGATTAGCGACATAATTTGAAGGTCTCCAAATTAAATTTTTATAAGCAACTCGCTGTCAAGATGAATTCTGAGCACAATGAGCAGCCGGTATGTTTTACGTTTTATATATGCCGTTCGGTTAGCGTTTTGGTGGTTGTATGTTCGATATTGTTTCCATATGGCGCCGTATACATTACTAAGCTGTTAATGTGTTGTTTACTGTTTGGTTTACTACGGCCTCGCGTTTCGTTACGACCGGGGCTACTGTAGTACGTATTTAACACATTGCTGCTGTCGAATATATTTTCATTGGGTCTGCATTTTTCATCGGTTTGGACAATTATGCTGTGAAATATTTGCTAGTGATACCACAGTGATCTAATGGCTATTTTGACCGTGTTTTGAGCGCATATGCTCAAAGCGTCGCTATACCTCTACATATTATGGTTATATGTATGCCAAAGTCGTAATTCATGTTATATTTTGTGTCCTGAATTTTTTTGAGGTTGTTATGTTGATATATTTCATTAACGTAACTTTTCCCCACTTCCACCGTGTTTTGTGACGCTATATACGTTTATGACGGCTATATGGGTTTAGTTGTAATTTCTGTGCGATTTTCGTATTGTTTCTATTTTGACAGCCGGCTGTTGCCCACCATTAATCTCTCCACAGACTGAACCCATGTTGTGTAAAAACAACTGTGGATTCTACGGCAACGCCGCCAACGATAACCTGTGCTCCAAGTGCTACAAGGACCAGATGAAGTCGCAGAATGTTGCTGGTGATTGTTTCGCAAAGGTCCCCTACATAAGCCCAGCCGCGCCTGCCGAGACAGCTGTCACTCCCTTGGTTGACAAGGAGAGTACACCCCGTGAGGAGGAAACTGTTGTTTCGGCTCCTGAGCCGGTCCCTGATAGGTGTCACCAATGCGATCGTTTGATTGGCGTTTTGGGTTTCAAGTGTCGGTGCAACCACTACTTCTGTGCTCAGCACCGACAGGCCAACTTGCACGGCTGCACTTTTGACTTCAAGGGACTTTTCCGTACACAGCTAGCTACAAAAACGCAAAAGGTTGTTCGTGACAAGCTGGAAAGGATTTGATCTGTCCGTCTACGCGTAGTTGTTACCAGGATCGTTTTCGATGCAGTTTTTGTACAAATGGAGTACACTTCTGGTGGGTATCAAGTGACGTATATATGCTTTATTGGAGCTGTTGTATCATACATTTTCATCGACCTTTCCTATTTATCACGGGAGCCAGGTGTTTCTTACGGCGCCCCGAAATGAGGCGGTTTCAGTGGCCATTGGTGCGGGAACTGTTGCTGGACGTAACATATGGTTGTCATGTTAAGTAGCGGTGAAGCTGTTTTTTTGTGTGATTACAACCACAGCGCAAAGTTTGGCCGGTGATGCATCGATAAACTTGGACCCTCGAGCGTGGAAAAATACTGTCTCTGTTCGATTTGACGGCGTTAATGAACGCCGTTGTAACTCATCGAAAAAGATTATGGAGCTTTGGAGCCCCGCGTTACTTATGTGCTGAGAGTGTATAGAGCGTGCTCTGAAGCAGCGCGCCGCAAAAAGAGCGACACTCTTCAGTTCCTGACTTATAGTGTTGATGACCTTTTCTTAATACAGAAATAGATGTATAAATGTGTGTTTTTTAAGATGTGACGTGATAATTGAGCTCCCTCGGCGTCGTCGTCCGATGTGCGGTGGGCGACTCTTTCTCCCACGATTCCAGCACATAAGGAGCACATATCGTATTATCTCTAAAGCTATTATATAACATGCTACGTTTGTGTATTAGCCTTTTTCGGCCTTGTGTGATAACGCATGCCGTTGGGCACACCGAGCTCGGCTTGCTGGATGCGAGCCCGTGAGACCTCTCTATAAGGTGATATGCGTGATTCGAAGCTATTACAAATAACTTCAGTGTATTGATGAGTGCTAGAACGGTCCAAGGGTGTGTCCTATCGGTACATTGCCGTGCTCTATGCTGTACCCGGAGTCGCCCGCATGCCAAGGTCAAAAGTTTTGGCGATAAATCCACGTCTAGATCATCCTTCCATGAGAATTTTAATGTTAGAACTCCATATTTTTTGGAATCCTCAAAAATTTCGTACCCATGTATGGATTCCAACGCTGCTACCTCCACATAAGATCGAGCGTCAGGGGTCACATAAAGTAATTTATGTCGCTCGTAAGGTCATAATTTGTGTACTATATCCCTGTACAATATATATCATTTCATTCCCTGCTCCGAAAATTGGTGTCGCTCTGTAAGTTTATAATTTTCGCGGTAATACTGTTGGCCACGGGACATCGGCCGCTGCTCCGGCAGTGTTACAGATATACACAATAGAGCTTGCAGCTTGTATATTATTTGACATGATTTTGTATTAATACACATCTCCAAAGGCCTATTTGCTGCGTTTGCCCCAATCAAAAACTTGACTAGACTTCAACGGTTACAATGGCGTCTGACGGCTCCCTCAAGCAAATAAACTGCCTAAGCAACTTCCGCTTAGATATGGAGATTGAGAAGACGTATACTTTGAAACGTGACCCTGTTAACAAAGGCAAAGACCTATCGGCGAAACCTTCTAATGTAAAATCGCCAAAATATGACAACAAAAACGTTTCAAACGAGCCTTCTGATCTTCACGAAGCCATATCTTCGAATATTAATAAGATATTGAACAACACCTCACTCTCTATTTACGGTGGTTCAAGTGGGATATGGATGAACACCTCGAAAGGTTGGAACGACACGCCGTTTAAAGATGACGCTTCAACATGTCGTTCTTGTGCATTTGAGATGATATTCTTACGTTCGTTCAAAAATGAATACAATCACGTTTACAAGGGTAACCACGAAGCCAGTCGTTGTGGAGGCCTCACTGTGCTGAGCCCTGTTGATATCACCACCTTATCGGAGCGACTTATTGAAGAAGCGCTCCGTACCGCTGTAAAATTGCAGCCGCAGGAAAAATCTGAGCCATCTGCTAACGGTCAATCAGCGTAGGCCGTGGATTACCATCGTCCCTAGGGTTATTAACAAGGCAACGCAGTCCTCGCAATCAACCAAGAAGCCCTGGAAACTAACACCAAGACGTGATACCGACACCATGAGAAAAATATCTGTGCGCCAAGCCCGTAAGGGAGCGCTGTCGGCATCACAAAGAAGGGTGTGCCATTAAATGGTCCCCCTAATAGCTCGCCATTGTGCGTCCTTCGTAAAGAAACGAGGGGGTTGGCCGATTTGCCGCAAATACACAAAATCATCTTATATGTGCAGCAAAAGAAATGCCCTTTATAAGCACTTCATCGAATGGGATACTTCTTGCACGGGCATCTCTGCACTCCCCATCGCAACGTACACGTTTGCTAATAATACTGGCCTAGACACGTTGTCTTTGAACGGTATCTTCTGGCACCCACAATTCATACCTCGTCGACACTCATTCGCATCTCTTCGACGAGTCTTCGTGCAGAATGATTCACCCGGTCAACTCTTCTTATCTGGAGCGCAGCGTTCACTGGATTGGCGTGCTCTGCACGCAATTCGGTGAAAAACGATGTCGCCATGGTTTATATCTGCTTTGAAAATGACCAACTTCATGTCATTGAGATGATGTATCTCATTCACTTCGACTCCAGAAGAATATGCAGTTCTTGCGTCTTCTGCAGTTGAACCAACATCTTGCTAGGACAAACTCGACAATACAGACAGACACTAGTCTCCCTTATTTTCTAATATATTTTACATTCCACATACTCGTTAGACGAGGTTTTAGAGATTGGATTTCTTGCTCCTCCGGCAGTGTCTCAACGGCTGGGGGATTCCACGGCACTTCTAGGCCATCGAAATGTTACAATAGTTATTTTTCGTTCCGAAGATTAAAACAACTTGGTTATAATCGCTTGTATGTCTGCGCATCGCCTTTTCAGGGGCGTGACAGGACCTAATCGACATATTCCAAGATCCTCCAACCTTCTACATCAATCTTGAGGAATTGTTCTCTTTTATATCAAAATCAAGAACACAACAAGATAACCTATTTCGTTATATCATGTCTAGAGGGTATATGTAATGAGCAATAGGTATACAATACACACAACAGTGGTATTGCATTCGTACTACAACCCGACGCCCATCTTTTCATGGACTTGCAGGCAGCACATTACCAAAACACCGTTAAAAGTGAACTTCCTGTTATATTATAATTCATATAGTTATTCGTATTTATCTTAAAATTTAACACATCACTACTGGCGCTGTTTAGAGTGATATATTTAAAACTGTGTGAAGGGGTCCGTTTCTTTTGGGTTTTCCGCAGATTTTCCGCGATAATGCTGTATTTGTAAGATTGTTAAACCATTTATTTATGATCACGTGGCGATAAACGCTTTCTACGTTAGTGAGCCTTAATTCATAGGCCGTTCACACAGTACCGCCTCGGTAAAATTTTATATGGTTCCGTTTTGACACCCCCTGTCAGTGTTGTAAGCGTGGCTCGTGATAGGCTACAGAAATTTTACGTTTCACCGTGCCTTTCTTGCCGCCAAACTCGCTGAGGGTCGCGGTCAAGTGCCTCTGGCCCCATAGCTAGGCTCATGCGCTTATTATCGTGGAGACCGTATGTCTTGTTTTCACCTTTAAAATTGCCCATTTTCTGTACCCACTGAGCCAGTGCTACAAAACCTTCCGGGGAAAGCTGCTGTGGTCTTACGTCCTCTAGTTCTGGCGGTAGCCTTGCTATTTCAAGCTGGTCTAGGCAGTTCCTCAGACTAGTCTTCAACATCTTTCTTCGCTGGTTGAATGCATCCCTGAGTATTCGTTTGAGCACTAGCGGAGCGCAAGGCGGATTGGCTTTGTTTTTAAAGTCCAATCTTATCACTCCGGAGTCTACTTTTGGCACAGGGTAAAATGCATGGTTGGGTATTTTGAAGAGAAGCTTAGGAATTGCATATAATTGTAACACTACACTCAAAATGGAATATTCAAACTCTTCTGGCTGAGCTACAATGCGCTGTGCCACTTCCCATTGTGCAGTTACGACAGCCCTATCTATGACCCTCTTGTAGTCTACGAGGCAGAATAGAATTTGACTCGTGATGTAAAAAGGAAGATTACCTATTACCCATAAATTGGTATCTTTCTTATTACTGATTGCGTCGTAGTCTACCTGCAGCACGTCGTCGTGTATAACGTCTAGGTCCGGAATGTTCCGGCTGAGCTGACTGATAGCCCTGGCATCGATTTCGATGGCGGTCATTTTGGGGTATTTTTTATACAATATATGCGTAAGAGATCCTATTCCAGCTCCTACTTCGATCACTTGTCTGCCATCTGCAACACTTCTTTAGAAAGTTATGGAACCATCTTACCGGCATGTCCTCCTTCATCGTTATCAAACGCATTACAAAGGCGTTTCATAATATTCAAATCACTAATGAAGTTCTGTCCCAGACTCTGCTTCGGTCTGCGATAAGAATATTAGAGATATCTAAGTTTAGGTCACGTACCTGAACTCCCCTGCTGGTAGTCGTGGCACATCGGCATCTAGATCGCCACTGTCGTCACGTTTCCACCTTTTAGTTACTTTCTTCTTTTTAACTTGCTTCAGTGGTATTATTTCAATCTTTGAAGTATCCTTAAGGCTCCTAAGCGGTTTCTTTTCGACAGATTCCTGCCCATTTGCCTCTACGTCCATACATAGAGCAAAATTGGCACACCTTTGCCTTCTTGGTAATTGTAAATTAAACGCCAGACCTCTAAAAGCACTAGACAACGATCCATCAAGTCGTTTTCCTTTCATGAACAGAGCGTTTGTGCCAGGAGCGCCGTTAAAAGGCCGCCAGAAGGCGGCCTGGAGCACCTTAAGCCCCCGAAATACGATTAATATAACTGCAAAAAGCTGGTATAGTTTACATTTCATTTATTGGTTATGTGATGTTATACCCGCTCCGATGTGTATGATCGCTGTAGGTGTGGTAGCATCGCACATTGATATATCTGTCCTGGCGGTTGGTTTTCACACAATATTGTGTTTATTTTCGTTGTGCGAACTCCAGTGGGAATGAGCTTATCGTACGCAAGGCACGATTGGAAGCCTTAGGGTCCACTTCCGATGACAAAGCACCTGCGATCTCTTTGATGTAAAGTGCTGCGCTCGCCAGAGTCTTCTCGTTTGGACTCCACATATCTAATATGAACATGTTTCCACTGGTTCGTAGTGACGCTACCAACACATCTCTGTTGGCGTCCAGTGCAGACAGTGTTTGTTTGGTATTTGTTTTCTTGACAGCGAAGTACCTAGACAACACTGCTAGAAGATCGTACATTTGTAGTTTATTCTTTGGCACAAACGATTTATGTATCGTGTAGAAACCAATCTTTCCTTCGTTTTCCATAATACGTTCTAATTCCTTTTGAGGTATATCTGCGGGTCGAAGCAGGCTGAATGGTCCAATCGGCATTTTGAGCAAGATTTCACGTTTAGTGCCATCGGATTCTATCAGATTCACTATCAGTGATGGCATAGAGTTTGACCAAGTATCAGGTTTGCACCTAAATGTCAAAGTAGTTGAGGTCCTATTGAGTACCTGCACAGCTTCTGCATCTGACCCTAGCAAACCTATGAATATATCGAGGTTCTGAAGGTTACGTTGCACTTCTACATGAGCATCCACGGCCGTTGATCGTGGCAAAGTACGTATGCTAAGGTACGCTGTGAAGTGTATACCAATGAATAGGGGGTCTCCCTTGGCAAGGTAATTGCCAAGGTAAGCAGAGACCCCTCCATCTTCCTTGACCCTCCACAAAGGTTCGGGTGCCTGTGTATCATCCCCTGGCGCTGATTCTGATGTTGTAGTCAATCGTTGTATTGTGTTCCTCTTTCCTTCTCGTTCCTTCTTGTTAGTTTCCCATATAGGATCAACTTCCTCGACATCACTTCTTTTGACAAACCATTCGCACAAAGTGATTTTTTCATGCAAGTGTAAATGTTTGAGTTTGCTTGCAAGTTGCCGGCAGTCCATTTTGGTGAGACAGCGTTCTAGAAGAGCACTGTAGGTCTCATAATCTTTTACCTGATTTTTGCGTGTTTCTTCCGCTACATCCACATCTCCATAGTGGCTGCCAACCTGCGATGCTTCCACACGTGAGTTGGATGGCATATAGTCATTATCGTTTAGTTCCTGTCTACTTTCTCTTCTATCGAATGCCTGGCTGCGAGTTGCGTTATGAGTAACGTCATCGCCAGTTGGCGTGTGTCTTCTATGTCTCAGTTCTGACCGTGGTGCATTATGTCCGATATCGTTGTGACGCACATGAACACCTTCCATTGAATCTCTCCATGCCCTATCCTCGCTCCATGATGGTTTTACCTGATGAAAGGCATCATCTATGTTAGTTTCGTATCCGATATCTACTACATCAGACTGTTCGTCATATGTTCGGCGATTGCGTTGTTTTTGAACATTTTTATCTTTCCGAGATCCTTCAGCGACTATTGACCGTGCCCTACCAGCACTGCATACACTACCTGTCCCATGCTTACTACCATGTTTGCTTTCATTATCATCATTTTGGTCATAATTTGGTGCTTCTGATGAATGTGATTTTGAATATGTAGCATTTTTTGGCAATATGACCATCGCTGACGGTATGTTGCTGTCTTGTCGTGTTGGTTTTGTGTACTCATCATTGTCGATATAACTTTTGCGTTTACCTTGTGTCCTGTTATCATGATTTTCATACCCAAAATGTGCAGTTGTCATATGTTCCCCTTCTTCTGGAAATGCAACCCACTCATCCAGCTGTCTGGACCCATTACGGCTATATGCTGGTGTTTTTGCTCCCACGCTGACTTCATTAACCCCCAATAGTTCATCGCATTCCGTTATGATCGCCGACGCTTCATGTACTGCGTTGGCGATATCTTCGAATGCCGAAGTTTGGCCTGAGTCTAGTGCTTCTATTGCCTGCTTCCCTAGATCCTCCGTTAATGTCTTGCATTTTTGATAATACCTTTGATATTTCTCTTTTTTCAGATCTGTAGTGGAATGAGACCATTGATGTATGTGTAACAGATAAAGGTAGATTTGCATATTAGCGTACCGGGTATGTCACAAGATAATAGTGCTTATGTGAGGAAGCTCGAAGTACCGAAGAAATGCCATTCACTCACGATTAGTATGCATTACTGTTTGTGAATATGTATACAGTGGAGGGTCATGAATTTCGAAGATTATCAGAGCTTCTCGTATCCTCGCATGTCGCAACACCATTCATTATTATTTGAAAACTTACCCTTATTTCGAAGTAGTGCACTTTTCAGCCGTTTTGCCACTTTCCGCAGTAGCGCAAGATTATTATCCGTAAATTCACCTGCTTCGGATGGCGTCTTCATTGTTGATCTCATGGATCCACGCCCAGCGTGTAAATAAGCGTACTGTACTTTTCCCGCTGCCATTTGTGCTTTATACTGTGAGCTATTGAGGTGAGTGAAACCGGTTGCGTATCGTATTGTGAGTTAGATGCCTAGGACCTATTGGTGGTCACGATGCGTACTTCTAAATGTGCCGCGTTGCCGGCCTTCTACTTACAATTGTAGTACACATCACGCTGTATATCTGGAAGCTATGATATACATAAGTATTAGACACATTTTCGTCAGAGAGATGTCTTTGGGTTACAAAGGTTAGACTATTGGACGGTACAAGTGCCACCTTTTGGGAGGACAATCTCAACGTTTTTTGTACAACAAATGCATCACATATTTTTTTTGGTAGTGAACATCATGGGAAACCCATATATGTCAGAGATTCGAGATATATGGCTGATTTGTTGCATGATGTGTGACACTTTACACAGTGTTTAGTAACATATCCCTGCTACTCTGCGAGTTGCCAATATATATCACGATAGCGGAGTTGCAAATCACACGAAACGAGGTTGAACCGTGACGCATTATTTACCATCTGTGGCTGCAGCAGCGATTTACGCTGCCTCACTTTGTAAATTAGCCCACGCAGCGGTTGCGCCTGACACAATATAAAAAATTTTAGCAATAACCGTTATTTTGCACAACTTTCACAAAGTGATTTACGATTTAAAAATGGCTTGCTCTAACAACTCTTGCGAAGGACGCCAATCAACCCTGTGCTGCGGTGTCGACTTCACCCGTTGTCTTGACTGTGAGTTTCCAAGTTTGTGTGACTATATAGATATGCAGCTGCCTGTATGGCCATATTCATGCTCATTATTTCTTGCGGGTTCCTTTTTATGTTCGGTGAAACTATCCGAATGATCGACCGTACCAGCTTCGCTCGTGAGGAATATGTGAAACGTTTTTTGAACAGGATCTTCCCTTTCAGGGTGTGTTCCAATTTATACATATCTAATATACACTCAGCATGGATTTGATTTCAACCTTACTCACGCTTTGCTTTTCTCATTGACTACGCTTCTCATTAGCTTCAGGTAAGTTCTTAAACCAGTGTTTGCTGATATTGTGTGTTTGGCCATGGAACATGGGTTCCGATGTTTATTGCTCGGGGGCATTTCAACATAGTTGTTCGATAGCAATTGAACCTAGTATGGCGGTGAACACATGATCTATATGCTTCATATTTATATTCAATATGACTGCCCACCTGTTTTTTTGAAAGACTAAATGCCAATGCAGGGGTGAGTACCAGAGGGAACATGCGTCTGCAACGGAAGAAACGGGCTCACACGCTAAGTCCCACTGATTTACTTGCAAACATTGCGGAGCGCACTAATACACTCCACTAATGTTTTGATCTAGCCCGCATATGTACATTGGTTGTAGAATTTAAATGTAGGTCCCTAGAACAGTGTTTTCTTATCACATGTCCATTTCCTTGGATGTGGACAACCCAAGTGTGAGCAATACGTTTTCCGGCGTGTAGGCGATGCCCCTCAGTTGTGCGTCGGTGGTACTCAACGCTTTGACGAGTGTCACTGCACCCGTTTCGTTGAATTGTGAGTACCTCTCCATATTGGTTGCGAATGCATCCAAATTTTGAGATGATGCAACGTCAGTAGGCCATTGTCGTGTGCCTGAACAATATGCCGTTATTACAAAGGGAAAACGTACCTTTAAGGTCCCAGAGTGATATTGTCGTCGAGTCTGCTACAGCAAGTTCTGATGTCCCGTGGTTAAAGTCCATAGCTATCACCGGTTCTTTGTGTCCCAATAACACCTGCATCTGCTTGCGCTGGCACAGATCGTATATAGATACATGCTGGTTGTTGGCAGCTGCAAAAAGTCGACCGTTATTGGCTATTGCGATGATATTGTTGTAGGAGGTGTTATAGGTCGACCCGCAGGGTGTCGCGTCCAGCACTATGGCGCAACCAGATGTCCTCAGGTCCCAGAAACGTATCTTGCCATCGGTACATGGTGTCACCAATAGTGATGAGTTTGGGTGGAACTTGACACCTAGGCAATCAGCTTGCGCTGTCCTAAGTAGTCGGAGTGGAAAGCTTCGATCTGTAGCCCATACCCTTGCAGCTCCATCAGCTTCACATGATGCGAAGTAGAACCCATAAGGAGCATATGCAAGGTCCATAATGGCACTATCGGCGCCCCTGTAGACACAACGTGTGGATTTAGAACCCATCAACCATAGTCGTACTTCCCCGTCAACACCCCCGGATAGGAGCACTTGACCACATTCCCCAAATTCTAGGCTCTGAACAGAACCATCGTGACCATACATTATACCTTCTCCCGAGCCCATCCCTTCTTTATGTTGTTCTCCAGCACGTGCATTTGCAACGTTACCCTTGTTTTGCATGAGTCTTGCGACAATGGTCCCTCCAGCGCTTTTAGATACACTCCTTGCGGCTATACTTTCACCTAGTACTGGTGTGATATCTTTCATGGCATTAGCGCATTCGGATGTCACGAGGTCCCAGAGAAGTATCCCACCATCATCGAGACCTAGGGCGGCAAACCTGCCATCAAAAGCAGATATAGCACAGCTTGAGCTCCTCAGGACATTTTGAAACGTGTAACTCAGTACCATAGAGCTGCCTTCTGGCACCCTGCATTCACGCTGGGAATGAAACATGCCACGTAACGACTGATAATAATCTGTTCCCTGTTTTGGTAGCGGTACTAGTTTCTCTGGTTCCTCTAGGATGGCAACTTCTCCCGTGATAGTATTTGCCATACCAGAACCGTATTCTCCATTTACATCTTCAGCTAAAAGTTCTCCTGGGAGCCCTATTGGTAGGTACGGTGCTTCTGCCTTGGCTAGAATGTCGATTTGTTTTGACTGTTGTACTTTGAGTTCATTGTCGAAATCTCTAATATACAATCCGTGGAACGGCCTTTTAGATTTATCCACTATAGTGGGATCTATTCCGTATTTTGCGATAAAATGTCTCCGGAATAGATGCCCTTGTGTATGATTAAAAGTCTCTCCGTCCAGAAACTCTACCCCCTCCTTGATAACATCGTCTATTACCGAACCCTCATTGTTGTTCATCCATCCTGTAATAAGGCGCATGGCCCTTTTCGATAATACCACATAGTACTTTTGTTGCATGAACACTCGTTGTCTAATAAGCGGTGAGTTTGCCAGCTGATCCGGGAATAGGAATTCAACAATTTGCTTGATGAAATGCCCAAATTTACTTTCAAATACGACTGTGAATTCCTTCAAGAAACGCCGACCTGTTGATGATTACCTATCTTGATTGCTTTAGCTTACCGTGCGCCGCTGAGATGCGAAAGAGCTTCACGTATGCCTCAAGATATGCCACAAAACATACATCAAGCAGTTCATCTCTTGATCTATTTAGGCTACTTAGAGCCCATCCAATCATACGTTGTAGTTCATTGATGTATGTTTGGAATAATTCTTCGGTTTTGTTTACCTTCTCCTACGAATCATGTTATAACAGTATATAGGCTTGCAACCGTTACCACCTCTATTTAATATATGTATTATACCACTCGATATGACATGAATTTTATTGTATAACCTACCTTTGCTGGATCACTGTTGGTTGTCGCTTCTTCGGTTTGTTCTTCCGACGTCGCGACAGGTCCATCCCTTGGCCGTTTAAGGGCGCTATCATTAGGTTTCTCTTCACTCATTTCGATGTTGATATATGTGTACCTAGAAGTGTCGACTTAGAGGTGACTGCCACCCTACCAAAAGCGTCTATGCCTACCACTTCTGGCATGGCGTTCTTCATTTCAACTATGCCACACCGCTATAAAACTATGTATATATGTGTTTTATAGAGTATATTTATATAATTTACCCATACTTGTCTATGATCGACTGCAACTTTTCGGCAGTCGCGTCCATGGCATTGTCTTCTGAATCCTCTGATCTAACGATATGTAGGTAATCTGTGAGATCAGCGTTATAATATGGCGTGATATGCACGTCCTCCTTCCCTAACAGAGCATTGACAACCGTCAAAGCTACTGGAATTTCTTCTACCAAGGGTACAACAGGTGTCGCTTTGACCCTGGGTAGAATCACTATACCGTTTCCGTCTCTTATTTCTTGAACGTGATCATCTGCAAGCCACCCTCTGTGCATTTTAAGGCTCTCGTTGGTCTCTTGCTCGGCCATAGTATTGTATATTTGCATCAACCGTCGTACCGTTGGGTGATCGCATTGAGCGAATGAGTCGAATCTTGCCATCGGTGTGACATCTATTGTCATGATATAGAACACGTACTTGTTTTCCGCCGCAGCTCCTATATCGGCGCCAGCTTGGATGAGGTATACAGGTTCCATTTCAAGCGACATCCCATTTTGTAAATTACTTTGAGGAACTATTACGGCCATATTTAGTCCTGGTAGTATGGGTTGATCTATCACCAGTGTGAGAACGTGTAATCGCCTTTTATGTTGCTCTGTATTTTTTGTTTCCTTCATTGAATCTGTTGTGATACCGGCAGGTCCTGCGGTAACCTTGTCATCCATGATTATCATTTTGGTGTTTATGGTCATCCCGTTTGTAAGTTGAAGTGTCGTCATTTTGTTTTGTTCATCTTTTGTTACCGATACAACGCTAGTACCTAGCATGAACGTGACCCCTAGTACGGCACCTACACGAGTGAATGCCTGTACAACATCGCCAGTACCATACATTGGGTATATAAATGGCGATTCTGATTGTCCATAGATGCCTATAGATTGAGCATATTTGAGTAGACGTTGTAGTCCTTCTCTTTTTGTCCATGTTTTTACATCTGCACCTCCTAGACATATACCATGACTCAATAGTTCCACAGTGTTCTGCGTACATCCATTTGCGTTGAGGAACTCTAACCAGTTTGTATCCGGGTCTGTTATGTTATCAGCATTTTCGTTATTTTTGTTTGCGTTTGACTTTGTGGATCCTTTGAGTGCCAATGACTCGAATCGTGTGATACATTGTCCAGCGGTTAAGTTTGTTAGCATTTGCATCAAAGTTCTCTTTTCGAGTGGTGATAGTAGTTTTGACCTACATATGGCATTTCTGTTATTTGGTGCATCTTGTAATGTAATCCCATCACTCTCCAGTGCTGGTTCATGTCCATAGAGTATTGGTCCATTTGTTTCTGTGAAATGTATATAGCTATGTCCTCCTGAGTTCAGTAGCATATCTACCTCTGCACTACGTCCAAATATCATTTTCGGCCAGACATCCAATGCGTATTTACTACTTTCAGCACAGAAATGGTCTAATGCTTGTATAGCATTAGTTCCCTGTTGTGTGAACGGGGTAAATTCACAAACTATTGCCGGATCTGTGTCTACTTTGTTGTACATAATATTCATAAGTTCCATTAGTCGTTTAAATTTTGTTTCTTTTGTCAATCTTTGGCTATCATGTGCCTTGACTTGTTGATTTTCCAAAATTTCGTCATCATGGTTACCAATAATTATATTGAACTGTGTTTTCAAGTCGTCCTTTGTATTTAGACATTTGACCTCTGGTGCTTCGAGAAGTTGCTTGATCGACAGTGTGCGATTTGCTTGGCCATAACATTGGTTTTTATCTATCTGCAGGACCTTACGACCGGTGTACGCCAGGCAGGCTGCAACAATTGCTCCTGTGATCCCGGTACCCGTGACTACAACATCCACATCTAGGGTATCCATGATTAATCATTATACTGTATCACTATAGGGTCGGGATAACTTTTTTTTCAAATATTAGCAGCGTTTTTAATGTGAATATTTCCCGTTATTTAGGAGTTCATCATGTCATTGTCACTTTGACATATCTATTGGCAATTTTTGCCAAACTATAAAATTATAAATTGTACGTTATTTCGATATGCAGTTCAAGTGTTGTTAAAGAGGCTCGAGTGAGGTGGCAATGTCGGCTAGCCCTAGGACCTACCTCCCACACATCGCTTGTAAGATGCTGTCATAGCTACACACTGCATTACTAATATCATCAATGGTAATGTATTATAAGTTAGGTATTAGTGAGAGTGTCAGGATTCCTTTGTTTGTAATATGATGCACACCGTTGTATCCGTGTCTAATATTTGTTCCTGTTATCTACATAGATTAAAATTTTATAACTGAATGACACACACACACACATAATTCTTGAGAGTATTGACAGCCTTTATATCTGTTTTAGGAATCATAATCCACTGTTGTTTCCCCATGTAGTACGGCGCGACTCGTCATCCCACCGGGGGCAAGAATAACGCACATCATCTTGGTGTACTCCGCAACACATTTAAAAAAGGTTGACAAAGGATGTATCATATTAGCTGGAAATTGTTCAGCCAATCTCGCTAGGGATTTGCCAACTGATTAGGTAAGTCAGTTATACCTCTATGTTATTTGATTGATCTGTTGATTTCTTGAAATATAAAATATATCGATTTAATTAATGCGAAGCTAATGTGAATGATAGATGTGTTGTAATTGCATGAGCGTACCATAACCCGCGTCATATGTCTGTCTAATATATATAGTTGGTAGCATAGATTGTTTGTTATTGGCATAACGGGAGGAATACATCCATTCATTACTGCTATATTTTGGTGTGTGTGTACCTAATGGTATTTAGTAATAGTTGTGTACATGGAAGTGTCCTTAATTGCCGCCTCGATTCTCCGGTAGTCGATGCGTTGAGCAATTCGAATTGTATCCCTTCATTTTTTGTTAATGTGTGTAAGTTTATATACGACATTGGATTTCCAGCTCCTCTCTATATTCCTGTCTTTGCCATACGGATCATGCACACAGGAATCAAACGTGTACACCTTGTTCAGATTTCGTTATATATACCCGTATTTGTGCATTTATAGAGACTAGAATGATCTATGGTGTCTCTTTCAACCTTCACAGCGTTGCAGATTGGCCACAAGGATACAGCTCCTTTGTCTACATGCTGGAGACCAAATTGAATCATTTTATCTCATGATTATGTTTTAATGAGATATGCGTTTACAATCATCCCACGCTACAGGTTTGAAAATAGATCACAGGGTTATACAAGAGTCGACGGTTTTTGAAAATTGGTGGTAGCATTGCACTACCGGACATTACGGTTAGGCCAACATACATATAGGCCGCCGGGATTATCCCTTTAGGTCCATGTTCTGATTAGGATTTTGAATACCGCTCTACAATAATGGCGTTGGGATTATTGCGGAGTAGACCTCTGCATACGTCACTGCGTTCTGTTCGCAACGCAGTGATGGGATCACCTGCAATTTACAGCACAGCATTGATAAATGAGCTGTTGGAACTCGAGAAGGTGGACCGTCATTGGGAGATCGCTTTCCGACGTCGTTACCTTGCAGGTAAAGAGGATGATCTACGTTCTATTGAACGTTCGTTAAAATTCTGGGTAACACAATGGGAACTCGGTGCCGTCCTAATAGGCGCATTCATACTCCAGTGCCTATACGGTCTACTGACATTTTCACCACTTGCAGTTGTCATAGCAATCTTTGCGGTCTGCTGTCTCCTACAGCTGCGTATGCACCGAGACAAGCTCACGCTGCATTATACCTTCGTAGCGCTGGGAGCTTATATCATATTGATGACCAACCTAATAATCGTGTACCCAGATCAAAGGGTGATATACGGAGGACTCACAGCGATATTTGGAGCGGCGTTTATACACCTCATCGTCCTTATGGTACTAGGTCGTCACAGTGTGGACCAGAATGTCGAACGTTTTGCTGACTCATGTCTGCAGTTTAGGGTACCGTCCCTTTTGGAAGTTCAATCGATGGTCATTGGTTTGATCATATTTTTAGGCATATGTTTTACCACTGTGAAATTGCACTACCTTTCATATACTGCCGTGGTGACTGTGATATTCACGATATTCTCGCGTATCAAGTTCGGAATACGAGACGAAGAATATGGAGAAAACAGTTCCAATTTCTTCGAAGCTAGCTTACCTGTTGTGAGATGTCTAATTAGCGTAATGTTCACAGCAGCGGCATTATGCGTATGTATTGCCAGCCTTTTCGGTAATCATGTGATGTCTGTCACTACTCAGGAGTCATTTAAAGCGTGGGAGCGTGAGAACGCTCTTGAAGGCGAATATACATTTGCATTCCAAGCTCTTGTGTACCTTCTATCTGCAGCCTGCGCGATTATCCTTATAATAAATGTGATGCTGCTTTTCCAAAAGATGCTGGATTCACCATATCTCGCTCATGCGTTGGAACATGCTACTCTATTCATGGGTAAAGCTTGTTTAGGGCATCGTGGAGACATGCGATATGAATATTATGCCTATACATTGGATCGTCAAGGACGGGTGATGTCCGTAGAAACTATTCGAAAATCACCATTGATGGGATACAACCGCTCCAACATGACCTGCTATGATGTATATCTTTCTATGCAAAGGCGAGCGCTCCATGCGCTTAACCAACGGTCGCTATACTGTCTAGTACCCATCTCACGTCTATATAGCACTAAACGTGACAGTAGTGCGTTGGTCCGTGGTCGTCTCCATCTTGAGCGTTTGGCTGAACAATTGGATGCATTGGTAGTTGCTGAAAGGAAACGTCGTCACGAGGAACGCCGAGAGCGTGAACGGTTACGACGACTGAAGGAAGCTATGGAAAATCGACCTTCATTCACGTCTACATCTATACCTGCTGGAGTAGGGTTACAACTGCCACCGATACTCCATGACAGTTTCCGTGAAGCATCTGATGATGTAAGGTCGCGCAAAAGGTCTATGTCGATACCTGCTGATTTAACACTGGGTAACGTTGATGAGATCCCCGCGGTATCTCGTCATTTGGAAAGATTGTATGAACGCCGTTGCGTAACCACTGCTATTACGGACGACTTCTATTTACGTCGACGTGGGATCATCGATCGTGTACGTAGTTCATGGTTGGAGGCAACGCCAGAATCATTACCTTCCTTCCACATGTTGAAACCCACAAACACTTGTGTAAACCGTGACCCTAAACGTGGTGACTTCAACTTTGACAAAATCGATCATACTCTTTCTAAGATATTCCGTGGACTGGAGATTATGAATGCTGATGAGCCTCTCACAGGGCCATCACCGATTAGTACGCCAATAATCCAGCAATATGGTGATGCCATGCATGACGATGGATTGAAACATATTGATGTGGATAACAATGTTTTGGATATTGATCATGAGTTGGTGACCTACGATTTGTGTGCCGCTGATTACGAGTACGAAGAACACCTTCCTGTAACAATCGACATTGGTGAGGACACCCCTTTGGGCATGGATATCGTTCCTCAAGAGAGTGAAGTAGTCCGCATTGATTTAACTGAAGAGCGTTCTCGTGGTCCAGCTACACCAGTAGCAGACATAGAAATGCAATCACCAGGATCTATTTCAGTTGCTATGGACGCCCACTCACCGGTGCAGTACATTGATCTGGGTTCTACAAAGAACGCTTTCTACTCCCCTGATATATCTAATCATCCGGCTAAAATTGCAGGTGAAGCTACACCTGCAAACTCCCTTGGCAAATGGTACTGGTTAGATAATGCCGTCGATAATGCCCTAGGAGACAGGGCCATTCCATATACCGAGACCCAGCGTCAAGTATCTGAAGACGATGCTGCGCAACACCGTATGAGACCCATAGAGGAAGTGTTAGAGGGTGAATACTACATAAACGAGAAAGGGCAACTTGTGGTGAAGAACGATAGCCGGTATGTGCCTGTGCGTTACCGGGGTGTACGTAATGTGCGTAATTTGGCGAAGTATTTCGACAACGGTCGTCAACAAATGGCCGGTGATGACACTGGGGCCCGGTCATCGGATAGTGATGATACAACCCCGCGTGGTCGGGACTTAGCCCAGGTTGTAGACTCCCCCGTTCACAAAATGATGATGATGGTTAATACAGCAGCCAATAACGTGATTCCTGATGTCACATCTCGGAGTTGTGGTTCAATGCGTATACTAATACCAGAATCTATGGAATTAGGAGTATCTCCAACAAAGGTGTCTAAGCCTTTTGAAACTAACTCTCTGATGTCATTCGGCGACCAGTTGCCATTGGCACGTCCCAACGTCGTATTGACACGTGAGTACGAGGTCTACAAGCCATTTGACCTCAACAACATCACCAAGGAGATGTCTGTGCAGCCCCAATTGGTGGCGAATGCGGGTCCCACTGTTGCTGTAGAACAACCTTCGGAGAGCGGAACTGGCGATGTGGTACCCGCTGTAGAGCCATCTGAAGAGACTACCCACCGTGAGCATTCTGTCGGCAACAGTGACGTGTCTACTGACACCATTAACCACATGAGCCCACGCACATTACGTCGACTCGCAGTTGCACGTCATCTGCCTCTTGCCCTAGATTCTCGACATGAGAAGGTCTTCTCTGTATGCCCTCAGCCGCGTCGTGACGGTTCAGTGGTATCTTTGGCACAGACGAAGAAATCTGATTACTTCATTCCTGTAGCTACACCATCATCTAAGCCTAGGCATGCCAAGTTTGACGGCAGTAGCGGCTGTGATTATGGTAACCAATATCTATACAGCGCGGTTGAGTCTGTGCCATCACCCAAGTCGTCACGAGCAACCCGTTCAGCAGCCACGACTCCAAATCGTCTCATAACCCCGCGTCAGAGCTGGAAGAATGAATTTGACTTTTCGCCTATAGCGGTACACTCTGGTATGGATGTACTCCTTGAGCTTATGCAAGACATGGTGATTGAAGACTCTGCAGTTGATGACCGTGATTCCGAGGTTAGCCACGATTTTATTTTTGGTCGGTAGATCGAGTTGTAATCGCACATAAAACAGATATAACATTTTAAAATCTTTCATAGTCATAATATAAAAATAGATATAAACCTGATATGATTACCGTATATTGTATCGATGTTGATTTCACATATAACTGATATGGATCCTGGATATCTAATGGATTCCAGTTAGGATCCACCGAGCGATTGATGTGAGTGTGTTGGTAATCACGAGATGGTGCAGAAGAAATTGGGTTGATATCATGTTGTATAGGGATTAATACCAAATTTACTGTCATGCACGAGATATTTGTGAAGGTATCTTTATAAAATCACGCATTAGTTATGCGATGCAATTGTCACCTTGAATTGTATGAGGTCTATGCCTTGGTTTGGCAGTGTCACGTAAAAATTGTAAATAATTGCATTTTGCATCATGTCATATATGACATGTTCACTGTTCATCGGTAGAATCCTGTTCGATATTGTCGAAACACTGCATAAGTCTCCTGTCCTGGAGGAACTCTTTGAAAAAATCCACCGATAGAAATTCATAGAGGCCAGCTACTATTATAGATATAACGAGGTCACGTGCACTCTTTGGTTCAGCACCGTTACACAGTTTTCCGTTCATAAGGTTCTCAACCATCTGTTCCACCGTCATATCAGCCTCTGGTATAGCAGGAGCTGGCTCAGGACCTGAAGATGCAGATTTCAATTCATCACCCTTGTCTGCGTTTTCCTTGTCATTTTCAGGAGAGACCTCATCTTTATCTTTATCTGTGTCTGATGCCTTTTTGCCCGCTACTGTACTGGCAGAGTCGTTATCCGTCTTAGATGGCGATGATACCTTTGCCGACTTAATATCTGTCTGGTCACTCAAGGCAGTTTCTTCCGCACGTCTGCTTCGGGATGTTGTTGCTGGTTCTTCTAGATTGAACGTTACCCTAGGACCTGGCCTGGAGGAATGTTTTGGAGTTGCTAGATCGCTATCCTCTTGTGCCTTTCCAGCACTACTTGATGTCGATTTACGTTTCTTGGAGGACTTGACTTCATATTTCCTTCTGAGGGGTCCCAAAATGTCGGCCACAAGCCTATCCTCCGGTAAAGCTCTACTTAATGGCACCAACAAGGATAGAGGCGGATTATCCATCACCGGCAGCCGAGCTAAATCACTGAGAGTGAACTTTTTATCTTCCTCCTTGGCTTCAGTAGTATGAGACTGAAGTGTATCACGCACTAATTTGCAAATATCCTCACGAAGAGAATCCAAATCGTTTAAACGTTCTGATAAATCTGTCACTTCCATTGGTCGTTTCCCCGTAACAACTGTTGTAACGTCCTCGCCATTATCCTTTAAGGCCTTACTTTGTGCCTGTATATGTTTTACAAGTGAGTGCATGGGCAGGAACGGGACTCCATAGCGTCTAGCTCTTTCTAGCAATGAGAAACCTCTTTGTCTGCTCCCTAGATCTATACCTACTGCTGCCAATGCGTTACGTTTATTGGCTATCTTGAGACCGATATATGAAATAAGATCCTCGTATAAGAGAAGTTCCTTTTTAATCTCATCCTGTGACGGGGACCACTTCGGCTCTTCCTCTGATTTTTCGCCATCTTCATTTTTAGAAGGCTCAGCAGAAGCACCTTGCTCGTCACTTTCTGCTTCTATAAGCCCGGATGCCAGTAATGAGCGTCTCACGAGTTTACGGTGTGTTCGTTCATGGCTATCTCCATACAGGCAGCTTAACGGCCTGGTGTTTAAGAAACACAATTCCGGCGAAGGCAACGGAATCGCTGGAAGCAATCGTTCCGGTTTTTGTTCGGCGCTTATGCTACTATCGGCCTTTTCTGTCTGGGAGCCATCATGGCTGCACGGAGTCATTATGCTCTAAGGCCTCATGCGAAGCGCCTTTAGCAGCCCCGAGGCCATGTCACACACATATTGTGTACATACGACCCCTTATGATCCTAGGTGTGGCGCTTTATAGGTACCTTTTGTGCACGCGACACTATCAACTGCCACTAACACCTCCCAGACTCAAGAGTTGATACGTGGGATGAGTCACACGCGGTGTCTTTGATAACCATTAGGTTATAACAAATTACTATTTTTATGGTAGACGACTATCGGAGTCGTAGCCGCGAGTCAAGGCGCTATGCGCGCCGGTATTCTACTCACGGCAGTGGGCGGGATTCCTACGATGAAGATCGGCGGTATCGCAGGTCATACGCATACGATCGACATGGTCACTATGACAGTATTGACGCCGTACGCGACCGTCATAGCTACCGTGATGAACGAAGCCACGAGAGAAGGCACTCACGATCTCGTGAAGAATCAACTGATCGGATGAGATACGATAGATCAGACAGATATGATGACGGTTCGTACAGGGATAGAAGACGGGATCGTCGATCGGACAGAAGGGATGACGATCGTAGAGGTGATGACCGCTCGGTGACACGAGACCACAGGAAAGGCCGAGCTACGGATCGACCAATTAAAGAGGTTAGATACCATGACAAGAAGCATAGAGACAGACGGAGGAGCGCCAGTGCTGATAGTGCATGTAGTTTTGGTTCCCGTGTATCGTTTGGTCGCGATAGAGAAGAAGAGGTGACGGTGAATACCGAACGTGAGCCTTTGGACGAAGAGTCATTGCTCCTAAAGTCTATGGGTTTCACGGAGTTTTCCACGACGAAAAATAAACAACATCTAGATACGGACGTATCTGGCGTGGCACAACGCTCAAAACGACAATATAGACAGTACATGAACCGTCGTGGTGGTTTCAATAGGCCTCTGTCTCCCACCTATTAACAAAAATGCAGATAATAATCATGACATACATACCTTTCTGTCAATTTTCGGAATATATAGACCCTAGAATTCTAATTAACAGAATTGTTAGAGCTCAAAAATAAATGTTAAACTACAACGAAGTCCCGGGGGGCATAGCCTCACCCTGAGACCATTAAGAATCCATGGCAGTAGCTCTCCCACTAAACGCATCGTCAAGCATCAGCTTCCGTTGGCAGCATTCCATTACATACTCCTCTATAGTTCCTTCACAGAGAAGTTTGTACACCTCAACGGGCTGTGTCTGTCCGATACGGTGGCATCGATCTTCTGCCTGTGCGTCATTATGAGGGTTCCAATCCTGATCCATCAAAACTACCGTGGAGGCCACGGTAAGGTTCAGACCTATGCCACCGGCCTTGGTGGAAATAAGCATCAGGGTCACACTCTCATCGTTGGTAAAACGATCAACGACGTCTGTCCTAGATGCCGGATCATATCCACCGTCTAACCTTAGGAATGATAGATGAGGCTTATTAAGCCTCAGGCATTCCTCCAGTAGATCGAGGTACATGGTAAACTGAGAGAATACCAATGCTTTGCCCTTCTTGGCCTCAACACCCTCAATGATTTTAAACAGTTCATTCACTTTGGCCGATGCCATAAACTGTTCCTTCGGGATCATGTATCGTTCTAATCGTGGCTCAAACGAAAGTAACGATTCTAAAGAACGGTGTAATTCAAAATCACTCCAGCTACGTATCTCTTTGTCCACACGGTCTATAGGGTTCTCCTTGAACCCTTCCACCTTTAATGCATAGAATTTGATCAACTTTTTCAAAAGCTCCTCCTTATAAAAAGCGCCACCGATTAGCAGCGGGTGGTTACATATTCGACGCATCCTGAAAATAAGCGATTTGACTAGAATATCGTCACGACGACCTAATGCGTAATTTTTAGAACTACCATTGCATACATTACGCATATCATTTTCGGTCACTTTGTACTTTGGGGCCAGCACATCACGGTTCTGCTCAACCTTAGTATCTACCTCTTTCAAGTAGAGCTCAAGTTGGATACCTGTCATTTTGCAACGTACCACAAACGTATGTTTAGGCGGAAGCTCATGCATAACAGTACGCTTCCTCCTGCGTAGGATGAATGGTGCAATAAGCCGTTGGAGCACACGGATTGATGGATCCATCCTGGCATCAGACTGTGACCCTTCTATGGCATCCAGATCAGGGTCTTGACCAGATTCCGACTTCTCCTCATCAGAGGTATTATCGATTGGATTTTGGTCACTTTGGATCACAGGTTGCTGGGTCACTGCATCTTGCGAAGCTTGACCTACCAACGATGTTCCCACAACATTTTCAGAAGTATCTTCATCAGACCTGGCCGTCTCGACCAGTTGTGTGGCATCACAATCATCGGCGGAACCGGTCGCGGCCCCTTCTTTATCTGGAGTTATTTTGCCGTTACTCGACTCCTTCAACTTCTGCGCCATAATAACGGCATCTACAACACCTTTGCATTTACGAGCACGTCTTCCTGTGGGTTTTGGTTTAGCAGCGGGTTGAGAACGTTTATAAGCTTCTATTTCAGCTGGTTCTACCAGTGACGCAAGGTCGGGGAACTCCGCGACGGCATCGTCATAATTCGAGATGAGATAATTGATTCCCGCATTAATTTTGATTTGGTCATAAGTTTCAGGCATAGCGAATTGTATAAGGTTGCCTAATTCACTTTGGCTATTTTGTACTGGTGTACCGGTGAGGAGTAGCCGGTGTCTAATATTGAAGGAGACATTTAGTCTGCGATAGGCAATAGTTTCGCTATTTTTGAGCGCATGGGCTTCGTCTACCAACATGTACTCGAACTCACGCAGCCCACGTAGAAGTCGGATATCCTCTTTGGAAGAAACTGTCGGCATTGTGGAGATAAGTATCACAAAAGAGCCCTTATTGACATCTTCTACGACATCACAGGCAATTTTGAACCTCATGGCAGGTGGTCCATGGTATTTGACTATATGATTCTTTAGGTTGGGGGCCCAGCGCCCCAGCTCTTTACACCAATTATCTAGGACCGAGGAAGGTACCAAAATGAGAGACGACCTCTTACTAGTGCCATCTCCTTTAAGTGTGGACTTAAAGTCTTTAGGAGGTGCAGATATATCTGATTCATAAAGGTAACTAAGGAAGACTCCTGCCTGTGCCGTCTTACCGAGACCCATCTCATCTGCTAGGATACCATTGGCATTTTCTACGGAATGTAGCAAGGACAACCATTGCACGCCGCATTGTTGATATAACTTTAAATTCTTGAACTTATCTGCTGCCTCGAATACCTTCAAATCGGCGTGAGTTCGGATGAATGTGCAGCTACCATGCGCTATGGCACCTCGTATCTGCTCCTCGCCTTCTCCCGAGTCACCGCTCATGCCAGAAACAGCTGCTTTAATCATATTCTGTAAGATATATGATTTGATGTCGTTTTAGACATACTTTTGAAATCTTCAGGAAAGAGTCAAGCGCTTCTAGGTTCTCTATTATGACTTTACGCTTGCGCTGCTCCTCACGGGCGAGGCGTTCAGCCGCCGCGGCTGCTGCCGCCGCCGCGGCGGCAGCTGCTTTTTCTTCTTCATCAGAATCTACGACTACATGAGTGATAGGCATATGAACTGTTCTGATAGAGTGATGGAACTTTCACAGACAGATGGCTACAATGACAGTGGTTAAAATAGACAAGTGTGGAATGATGACATACCACTATCTGAACGCTGCCTCTTAAGTTTACGTTTCTTTTTTGCTACTCCCTCCTGACTAGGTGCCTCGGCAGCGGTTCCTTGCGACTGGGTACTCTGTGTGTTACCCTGTGCAGACGCATCCGCCTTTCCGTTGGCAGAGTGCGCTAATTCTCCCAGTTCATCGATAGCAACATCTTCAATTACGCTATTACGGCTGCGCACACCACTAAGAAATACGCTCGCAGTGGTCACCATGTCAAGTGGCACTAACGCGTTGCGGTACACGCGTCGGAGAGCTAGCTACTGTAATACCGCGATATGTTACATAACTAGCCACAATTTCGGAGAATTGCTATGCCAGCATGGCGCTGTCTCATAGACGCGCTAGAGTGAACGGCTAGGAGTCACGAGGGTCAAGGTATCGTCGGGAGTACGCCGTGTAGACGCCCCCATAACCTAGGACTGTTGCGCTGCAGACACATATCATATAGTCAAGATGAAGCCGCAACAGACAGTGTTGGTGTTCAAGCCGTCGCTGAAGAAGGAAAGCGACCGCAAAGCACAGCTCGCCACCATCCAGGCGTCTCGCGCGCTGAGCGAGGTCATAAGGACAACACTGGGTCCCCGTGCAATGCTCAAGATGATGTTAGATCCAATGGGAGGTATCGTGATAACAAACGACGGTAACGCCATTTTGAGGGAGGTAAGGCCATACCATTATGACCGGCAGTCGCGCGACACCAAATGTGTCTGTGTAAAGTAGCCTTCCATGGCAAATGCGACTTGTGACAACGATTCTTTATTTCATTATGTGTGTATGAGTGAGAGCGACCTCAGCAACCACTGAGGTCGCTTCTTCACAGGCAACCGCCGTGATACGATGCCACATGTGTCATGTCGATACCTCGACTTATCTTATGTACAGATCGATGTCGCAAATCCAGCTGCCAAGAGCCTTATCGAACTGAGCAGGTCACAGGATGAAGAAGTAGGGGATGGTACTACCAGTTGTGTGATACTCAGTGGACAGATGCTCGCTAATTCAGAGCCACTGTTGAAGCGCGAGATACACCCCTCGAAGATCGTAGAGGGTTATATGGAGGCGCTAGAAGATGCCCTGGCGGTCATGGATGCTATCGCCACAAAAATTGATCTGAATAATGAAGAGGCTGTGAAGGATGTAATACAGTCAAGCCTTGAGACAAAGTTCTCAAGCAGGTGGGGAAATCTTATCGCCTCCCTTGCACTTAGCGCTGTACAAAAGGTCAAACTCACAAGACCAGATGGACGCACAGTTATAGATATCAAGAGATACGCCAAGGTAGAAAAACTACCTGGGGGCATGCCGGAAGATTCAGTTGTTCTTGATGGTATACTCGTAAATAAGGATGTGACACATCCAAGCATGGCACGAAGGGTGGAAAACCCACGTGTACTCATATTGGATTGTACACTTGAGTATAAGAAAGGGGAGTCGCAAACAATTGTAGATATCTCAGATGAAGCCGGATGGGCCAAGCTTTTGGAACAGGAAGAAACTGAGATATTCAACATGTGCCAAAATATTATACAAACCGGATGTAACGTTGTAGTCACGGAAAAAGGAGTCTCTGACCTCGCTCAACATTTCCTGTCCAAAGCAGGTATCAGCTGTATAAGGAGGGTAAGAAAAACAGATGCCAATAGGTTGTCCCGTGTTACCGGAGCTACTATCGTAAACCGCACAGAGGAACTACTACCAAGCGACGTAGGTACAGGATGCGGACTATTTGAAGTCAAAAAAATAGGTGACGAATACTTTTCGTATTTCATTCAGTGCAAAGACCCAAAGGCATGCTCAATCGTTCTACGCGGATCCTCCAAAGATGTACTAAACGAAATAGAACGCAACCTCCAGGATGCTCTAAATGTATGCCGAAATATCATGCTGGAAGGAAAGCTGCTACCAGGAGGTGGTGCCACGGAAATTGAAGTGGCATGCCGCTTAGCAGCGAAACTTGATAGCAAAGCGGGTCTCAAGAGATGGTCATATCGTGCTGCTGCCAAGGCCTTCGAGGTCATACCGAAGACATTGGCACAGAACTGTGGTGCCAACCCAGTCCGTATCATTACAGAGTTGACATCAATGCACGTTGCAGGGAATGTCAACGCCGGACTTGACGGCGAGACCGGAGAGATATGTGATACTATGAAAAAGAGAATATTCGACACCTACACAGTTAAGGCACAGATATTCAAGAGTGCTATCGAAGCAGCGTGTATGCTACTACGTATAGACATGATCGTTTCGGGTATCGGTAAGCGCGAAGAGCCCTCAACTGGCGAGAAACTGGCAATGAACGAAGAAGCATTGGACGCACAAGGTTAATACGCTGTTCCATAAGTGCTCACCGGGGCTAACTGCTTCGTAACACTTACAGTAATGATTTTATATAGTCGCGCAAGCTAAAATTACCATTATTAAACTGTATTGTCGTATGACTCCGGTTGGTCGTAGAGTGCCCCCTGCTCTATAGCTTCCCGGTGTATGGGATCGCTCATAGAGTTCGGGAAGGTAGGCCTTCTATCGTTATAATCTTTGAATTTATCCCTCCTTTCTGGGTCCCACTTTACAGTATCGGGATCCAAATCAGGGTTGAGTAACAGCTTCTCTACCACAAGCAGGCAATGGAGATTCAATCTTGTCTCTTTACCAAAGGGCAGCTTAATACCAAGACGAGTACACGCATCGACCACTTCTTTAACAGTTTTACCCAGCTCTGAAGCGACATCCGTTATTTTCATGAAGGTGTAAAACGATTCCACCTCCAATGTATCGGCTATATTGAGAAATTCAATGAGGTCCCACATAGCACTGTATGAAATTATACCACGCAGAGGCATCTCAAGTGATATCGGTGGCTTTGCACCTAAACGACAGCAAGCATCACCTAGAAAATCCAAACTTATCTCATATCGACGTGATACTTCAAGTAAAGTTGATTCATGGATTCCACCAGGAAATGATAGGTACTCACGTTTCAGTGCCTCGAGTTCATGCTTGTGGGAAGGAGCGTAAGTTGGATAGGGACGCTCAACATCATGTTGTAAGTTAAATGTTCGAGGTATTATATCCGGGAGCCTGTTTATAGGGTCCTGCATAGCCTTCAAAAATGCCGTATCATGTACAACAGGGGCATTACGCATCTCTGCAGCCTCCTCAGGTGTAACCACATGTGCAGGATCAACGCGGTCAAGATCCAGATAACCAACCTGTGATAATGATAGAAACAACAAGATATGTAACATACCGGGTCATCATTAAAACGGACAAGCTCCTGTTTCACTTTTAGTCTATTAATTGCCGTCATCAAGTCACAATTCCAACGGGTACCCGAAATTGTTTTCACCTAGAAATAAATGAGTTTATGGGATAGATGTAAGAACGGTATAACAAGTAGGTCATGTATTATTATAGCAAACGTACCTTCTTTTTCAGTTCTGCGATACGGTCACGGGCATGTTGTGGCAGATTCTCATTAGTTTCTTCCAGAGGCTGAGAAACAATAGCGCCATATCGCCATTCTTCAACTTCTGCCAAAGCAGACTGTAGCCTGCTACGTGCAGCCTTCTCACCACCAGATGTACGGTAACCACGGGCACGTAGTTCCTCTTTAACCTCAGTAAAATGTAGCTTGTCAACGTCCTCAACAGATAGTTTGGCAAATCCCAATTCGTTACGCGGCTGTTTACGATAAAATGTATGCTTCATTTCTTCACGTTTAGCACGGGCCTCATGTGATTGACGACGTAACTCTGTAGTTTCTTGTAAACGGATAGCACGTTTCTCCCTCACAAAATCAGGGTTATCAGCAGGCTTTTCACCTTCTTTAAAATGAAGTTCCGGTTCACCACGTTTAACACGCTCTTCATTAACTAATCTTAACCATATTTCATCCTCAGGTATCGGAGCTTTATCCGCCGTATAATCCTTTATACGGATCGATTCCTGCAATCCCTTTTTATCCTTCACATTAGGCATCTGTATTATACCGGTTATCAGCTCAGATGTTGAATTTGCACGTGCTGGTACCTTTATGGGCGCATAATCGTCAAAAAGGGGTTTGATAGGTGGCACCTCAGCTCTCATGCGTTCAAGCATCTCATCACTAGGTTCATCCTTTGCACCATCCTGAGGTGCCATAACAATGTTCGACTCTGCATCAGCAGAATTGGCCGACTCTGCAGCCTGTTCTGCTATCAAGTCTTTCAATAATTTGGATTCTGGCTCCCTATTGGCGGCATCGTCATTAGGCCTTCCAGGTGGAAACATCGCCTGGGTCTCAACATGGGTTTTAGGTATCTCCATAGCGGCGCTACGTTGAACCATACGATTCAACTTGTTGTACAACTGCTTCTCACGACGTACCTCAAGAAGCTGACGTTCGATATCATCCATATCAGCATCACCGTCACCCTCAAGCATCTCTTCGAAAGCGGCGGCATAATCCTTAGTTTCGAAGTCTTGGTTATAGTACGGCTTATCTAACAATCCTTTGTAGTCAATGTCTTGGTAATCACTGGTTTCAGCAGAAGAAGGCACGTTCCGTATGCCAAAATAACGAATCACATAAGATGAACTACCGACGTCACACTGACGGGACGTCAAGTAACACATCGCCGACAGATGAGTTATATACCGCATCTCTTACATATCATAGCATCTCTCCGTAAAAACGCAACGACACCTAAGCTATATCAAAAGTCGATATATTAACATAAGAATAGACATGTCTACAACTACAATTAGATAATTAACAGTAATAATACAATAATATCAGCTATAGCATAGCCCCGTTCCGTAAATATTCATGTGAAATCAACAGAACAAAAACATGCCGAGTGTATATATGAACAGTATAGAACTGTGGAAATGCGATTACAGTTTTACAGTGTTATTTTATAATGTATTGGATAACCAAATTATAATCCGTTACAGTCGGCTTGGTACGAAGTTACACCCCGACGAGTTACGACATCAGATTCGTGACATGCTTCTAAAGAGGAAATCTCAAAAAACTATTTTGTTATCTGTTTACTAAACACATTTTATTTAATGATTTTATCTTCCTAAGAAAATTTCCCGGGCTCGGCTTTTACGGACATTGTGCTAGGTATACACCCCGGGGGCAACGCTACGTACAACACATATTGTCACCCAAGGAATTGTAAATTTAATTCCACCAAATAGGTTGGATATTTATTGCCAACCAGACCCAGTGTGCTGGACCAAATCATATATATTGTACGACAAGCATGATCACCGGATGAGACTGTCAAAGGCGCTGTATAAGACTATCCCGCTACCGCGCTTTACTACAAGCCGGCTATCACGCAGGGTATGGATATGAAATCAATATGCAAAACGTCACTTTGATACAGGATAACATGGCGGAACAGGAACGTGCCACGTTCTACTACTCCAATATGTTCTGCGTGGCGATCACCGCACTGCCCATTGCTTACCTTCTAAAGGTAAATAGATTCATAAAAAGCAGTCACTAAGATGTCGCAGGCAAATTACTGGAGCTGCCCGGAACAGGAGAACCTTCACTATGTACTCAAACACAACGAAAGTCACATCACGGCACCGAAGAAACTGAGATTCTAATCATATATTGTCATAAAGAACCATATCAAGTGCTAATTTCACATCTTACAGCCTTAAGTAATTATATCCTTGTCAGATAGCATCCTTATGAAACTTAGATTCGCCCCCAGGGCTGAGGCAACGTGCCCGAGTGGTTAAGGGGATGGCCTGCTAAGTCATTAGGTCTCGGCCTGCGTAGGTTCGAATCCTGCCGTTGTCGCCATTTTTGTAACAATAACCTGGTCCTATAGGAAGTATAGCACATCAGATACATTAAATGATGGACATTTACTGTACGCCACGATTTCCCCCTTTTTTAAGGACATTTCCATCTCACATGTGACTAGGTAGCAAGAGGTGAATTAAAGTCGGACCAATGTATACATGTCTACCCGAGTTATATACAAAAAATGACAATCATTGTAGTACTATTGAGTAGTTATAGTTCCATTGAGGGCACTCGGGAAAAAACATATCGATATTCAACTGTTTACCCATAGGATGCTATGCCCATAACAGTGGCGGAGTAGTAATATCACAATATAAGATGGCAGATAGTATTTTAGAGTTCCACAATAGTATAACAAGCGACAGTTTGATATATCTGGTTCAATTGTGTCTATTCACGCGAATAATGTAGTGTCTAGAAACCAACGTCGGAAAAGCATGGAGAGTAGACACCTGACCTATTGCACAGTATTCAATCATTTTTACATTATATTCTAAAGGGCTAGAGCAACACAAACTGGGATGTTTGTATAATGCTAGGGTATAACAGACGTCCACACACCCACACACACATGAGCGATAACCGAGAGAACGAAGCAAAACCACGTGAAAACATGTATATAGTAAAACTATTAAATTCAATGCTCTTTACATAAATATAGAAGATGGCAGAGGTGACATAAGACGCAGACTCAACGTAACACTTTTTTTCCTCAAGCAGCCATCAAACAGAGATGCTAACCTTTTCCCACTCCCCATTACACACTGAACCCAGAACCCGCAGAGGTTACCAACACTTCAAACTCAAACGTAAAAGGCAGTTATATCGAAAAGCGACACAGAGGGTAATATTAGGAAGACGACCTTGCCCCCCCCGCACTACCCACAATAAATCTGCCGCAGAAAGCGGCTTACAAATATAACACGCAACACCAGCGAAGATTTCAAAGTGAAATGCTACGATGAGAGAAGTTATTAGTATACACGTTGGACAAGCTGGTATTCAAGTCGGTAACGCTTGCTGGTAAGTTTCTACGCGTAAAAAGAGTGGATTGAAAAATAAAGAGAAGCCCAAGAGGCTAAGCATATATCAATGCCATATAACGTATATTTATATCGCACACATTTTTTGATGTGTTACTGCAACTGTGTGTGCATATATCGCAAGCGGTTGTGCGCGAACAACCAGTGGTGTATAATATTCATGCAACCAACAGTTTCATAAACACTCAGGGAATTATTCTGCTTGGAACATGGCATCCAGCCGGATGGGCATATGCCAGTGGACAAGCAAATCCATGGTGATGATGCCTTTTCCACATTCTTCAGTGAAACTGGAGCTGGAAAACATGTACCAAGGTGCTTGTTTGTAGACTTGGAACCTACCGTGGTAGATGAGGTACGCACAGGAACCTACCGACACCTATTCCACCCGGAACAACTCATCACCGGGAAGGAAGATGCCGCTAACAACTTTGCTAGAGGACACTACACTGTGGGAAAGGATATAGTTGACTCATGCCTTGACCGTATTAGGAAATTGGCAGATAACTGTACTGGACTACAAGGGTTCCTTATGTTCAATGCCGTAGGAGGTGGTACAGGATCTGGTCTAGGATGTCTAATGCTTGAGAGACTCTCGGTGGATTATGGAAAAAAGAGCAAACTCAACTTCTGCTGCTGGCCATCACCACGCGTATCCACAGCTGTTGTAGAACCATACAACTCAGTCTTGTCGACACACTCACTCCTAGAACACACGGATGTTGCCGTTATGCTGGATAATGAGGCTATATATGATATTTGCAAACGGAACCTTGACATCGGAAGACCAACATACACAAACCTCAACAGGCTTATTGCACAAGTTATATCGTCACTGACAGCATCACTACGTTTTGATGGTGCACTTAATGTCGATGTGACCGAATTTCAAACAAACCTTGTGCCATACCCTCGTATACACTTTATGCTCTCATCTTACGCACCAGTTATCAGCGCGGAAAAAGCATACCACGAACAACTATCGGTAGCGGAAATTACAAACTCGGCATTTGAACCCGCTAACATGATGGCCAAGTGCGACCCTAGACATGGAAAGTACATGGCATCCTGTATCCTGTACCGTGGTGATGTAGTTCCGAAAGATGTCAATGCAGCCGTCGCTGCCATCAAAACTAAAAGAACTATACAATTCGTAGATTGGTGTCCAACCGGATTCAAGGTTGGAATCAACTACCAGCCTCCCACCGTGGTCCCAGGAGGTGATCTCGCAAAGGTTATGCGTGCTGTTTGCATGATATCAAACTCTACCGCTATCGCCGAAGTATTCAGCCGTATGGACCATAAATTCGATCTCATGTACGCCAAACGTGCATTCGTACATTGGTATGTTGGAGAAGGTATGGAGGAGGGTGAGTTCAGCGAAGCCAGAGAGGACCTTGCTGCACTCGAGAAGGATTACGAAGAGGTAGGACTAGACACTACCTACAACGAGGACGCCGAAAATTATTGAGAAACGATGAACGAAAACAATACAACTTTTTACACAATATTTACTTAAATGCGAATACACCAAAAAATTCCATGAATACGTAAAAGCATCGACTCATGGCCTCACGTATACACAATGTTGTATATAAAGTCATCGCTTATAAGGTGCCGTTTGCATCACTGTTGACGGTATACCACCTATTATCGTAATAGCAGGCTAGACAACGTTGATTATATCGTTGTGGAATAGAACTAAGCTATAGCAGAAAGTATGGATAGTTTGTATCATATAATTGATCTGATAGCCGCAATGTGCTTAACAAAAACACCCTGGTAGCCTGCTGAAAGGCACCCTTGGAGATTAGCTATGTTGACCAAAATTATTTGACCAAATAACGACACACACGGTCAATTATAGTCATATAGTTTAAGTATTTCCGCAGAAAAGATGATTGTAGCTGGCAATTTCGTCCGAAAAGAGCTCACAGTGCGGTGGCCAACGCCTTATGGGGGGGTAATTACGTCACGGCCAGAAAACGACGGGAAGACGTTATCAGTTTCTAAAACTGGCATATCGTAATATCTATAAGCCATGGCTATCAGGAACTTCAGGGGATTAGTCCACAAGAGGACCAAAAAGTTTCGCCGCTTCCATTCCGATCGCTTTAAGCGTGTAAAGGTAGGTATTATCATTAGCTGTACATCACGGACCCGCGTCGGTTACACAAAATGAAATGTTCGACTGGAGTTAACGTCTAGTGGCCTGTGTTTTAGAACCAGAATGTCGCCACGGTGTTGGGTCGCGAGGTCACACCTTGGCCTGCTACGGGCCAGGCTTATGTCCCTTGCCATGGCCTTGGGTTCCCTAGCGCAGAGACATCCAGGTTATGTACGGCGGACTACCAAGTCCTCGTTTCAATGCTGCCGGGGATGGCCTATTATGTGCTATACATCTGTCAATCTGGGCACTCATTTTTTCGTAGGAGAGCTGGAGGAAACCCAAGGGTATCGATTGTAGGGTCAGGCGCCGTTTCAAGGGCACCGTACTCACACCCAAAATCGGTTATGGTACTGACAAGAGGACACGCCACAGACTCCCAAGCGGATACTACAAGGTCCTTATCAACAACCCAGCTGAGGTTGATGTGTTGTTGATGCACAACAAAACACACGTGGCGGAAATCGCGCACAGCGTATCTGCAAAGAAGAGACGTATCATCGTTGACCGTGCAAGGAAGCTCGGCGTTAAGGTTACAAACGCTAGTGCCAGGCTCAGAGTAGAAGAGAAGGAGTAACTTTGTGTAATTAACTCGTCACTTTATTTCTATGTACGTGTGAGCCACATATATATGTGCGACTAGTTCATTGGGGCGCAGCACCTTGGTTGGGTCGCTCCCACTGTGATGGGAAGACAGTCCAAAGGGCGATTATATAAGCAAGTTCCACTTGCTGTGTCGAGGTAAGGCCGCATCGGTATTGCGCAGTGACGTTGCGACATCGGTGTCACTCCTCATCAGAGAAAACGATCTCGTCATCAGTGTCCTCCATCTCTTTCATACGACGTTCTCGCTCCTCCTTCTGCTTAGCTAAGTCAGCTTCAACGTCATGCCGCAATTGAGCAAGTTTCTCATTCTCCACCTCGGTCTCGTCTGCCAGACGCAAAATACCGGTATATATCGATTCACGTTCAGACTCTTCAGGCATCACAGCCTCATCCAAACGGAGAAGTTGTAGAATATGTGACACATCAGTGCATGATAATATCGCGTCCGCATGGAAGAGTAAAAACGCAAGACCGAAACTGAAGATATATGATTCACCACGTGACATTACACGCTCCATGTAGGTCACCACATGGGTAAAGGGGAGTACGTGCACGTTCATACCGATGAACCATTTCGAACAGAAGGTCTCCGGCATCAACAAACCATCCATATGCTCATACAGCTTCCAGTTACGCTCTTCCAATAACTTCATTAACACCCTAGCATCACGTACATATGCCTCTGGCATACATGAAAAGTAACCACGCATCTGGTTCTCATGTAGGTGAACTATTAAACGAACAACGTCTTGGGTAGATAAAAACAATGATAGAAAAGCGACAACAAAACCTTCACCCTGGTGGTAGTCACCGACGTGGGCGAAAACCTCTTGAAGGTTGCGACAGAGAGTGCCACGGTTCTCATCCGATATGAAAGTACGTTCAGCGTCCAAACGAAAAATACGCTCATTGTCTGGTGTCACATCGAAACGAGCTGCTCCTAGAGGCTCAACAGCACCGTGCGCTGAATGAGAATCCCAAAGGCTGCAAGCACTAAGAAGCGATGTTACGAAACTCATAAATGAATTCAAAGCATCACCAGAACCGCTTCCATCGCCCAGCAACGCAATCACCCGTGGAAGCAATGCTACCAACTCCTCGCGGGAGTGGAGACCGCTACGATTGAAAAGAGACGACTTCCGCTCGGTTTCCCAGAAACTAATGCTTATCATTATCAATCAACTATTTGAAATGCCATAGAAGGATGGACGTGGTGCGAAAGCAGCGTGAAGTCAGGCCTGCTGACACTCGCTCATACACATTAAGATCAAATCAAATAATAAAAGAAAGATAACGGATATAGCCTGCTAAATATGATTTCTACAATTATTCGAACTTTTATGACGAAGGTAGAATATATATATTTATAATCAGCCTCGATTACCGTTTGAAGACACAAGGGTGCCAAAGAACTATCTAGCAAAGTGTAATACATCCCCAGTGTGTATTTAAAAAACAACAAAGTGTCTAATATATATCGTGCTGGACACAGATTCTCAAATGATATATCCAAAAGTACATTCTTACTTGCTTCTATTCACTATGTTAAAGCAATTCAGTAACTCGGGCCGAGTATTCGAACCGCCATGTAATGATAAACACCTATAAACATTTGTAACAGCATACTGCTTCGACGTACCCCGGTTTGGAACCGAACAAATGCTAATGCCGAGGGTTACATATATAAGGTAATAGAGTACTAAACATGGTAATTACATGTATTGTATAAATTATACAGTAGTTCCACTATTGTTTGTGGGAGTGAAGCAATTAGGAATCAGGAGCATTAGTGCTATCCGATGTCCCGATGCCTTGGAATAGTGCGCGAGCCATCTCAACATGTTGTTGACTGGGAGCTGGGCGCTCAGGTTTACGCCATACATAACCTTGCGGTTCGGCAGCTCGAGATGCACGTGAACCGCTGGAAAGAATGGCAAGGTCGATGGACGGTTCAACTGGCAATGACTGAGACGTGGGTTCATCAAGTGGTGTGGACCGAGATGTTGTTTCAGGTGCTGAAACAGGCTCAGCAACTTCATCAACACTACTCTTGTTTACATAGCCTGAAGGACCCCAACTACGAGGAACGTCGGAACACATTAGCTCCTCGTTGACCAAATCCTCCGTCGTCAGAGTCTCCTTATATTCGGACATCTGTTCCGATTTCAGAGCATAGGGCTCGAACCGCAGCTCTGGTACGGGACTCAAATGTTCGGGCTCCGTTACACTAGGCTCTTCAACAACAGGACGTTCGTAAGCCCGAGATCCAGATAATACACTTTGTTGGACATAACCTTCCAAAAAACCAAGGTTGTTGTCATAGCTCTCATATCTCCATTGGAGCTTAGGTTGCAAGCTGCAAAGTGCACGTATCTCCTTACACCGCTGTGTAACTTCGGTACAATTGGAACCCTCGAATTGAGATAACGCACAGTCCACAGTAGAAGATATCTTATAGGAATTCGCAATTATAAGACTACGCATACAACCCAAAACCCAGCAGACAGTAGAACTGCTCTGGCGATAACGCAGTAAAAACTGTAACAACACGTCAATATATCCCTGTAAAACTGCTTCAGATAATATATCTTTCTTGTTAACTCGTGGTGTTTCAGCTTCAGTCTCCTCGGTTCTCTCAGGGCTACTATCGACGGATTGCGATGTAACTTCGTCCACTTGGGCAATCTCATCTTCATCAGTCACGTCCGCTGCATCCTGAAGTTCCTCACTTGATACAGGGGTAGAAGTGCACGTGATACCATCGGTAGGTTTATTGTTAGTTTCGTCCTCATACAGTGGGAAGTTCGCGTAGACCCAACTGACCAACTTAACCACCATCTCAGGTAATAATTCAGATCGCTTCATCAAATCTGACACTCGTGATAAGATTATATTACGGAACGATACGTCACCGATGTTTTCCTTCAACACATGTACCGTACTGAACAGTAACTCGTCCTTAAGCAAGTCCGGTGCCAGCATCATCAACTCCAGGATGGTATCTACGTACCATAGAGCACTAGGAGCAAACTTTTCACAAAGTAGAGTAATCTTGCTTATCAACTCAGCACTCCAATGGCGTTCACATTTCGAACGTAGTTGGCCCAAGAAACATCCAACAATTGTAACCACGTTTTTAGAATTAGTCATGCGATATAATAGGTCGAGGGTACGCCGACGGATCATCTCATCACGATCCTCGAGACAAGAAACCACTACCAGTTGGTTCTCCACAGCATATGACATGTCAACACTGACCAGTGTACCCAACCCTGCAATTCCAGCATAACGCAAATTATTGTTATCCGAACTCAACATCCGTGAAACTGAGATCGAACACATAGTAGTCAGACTCTCACGAGGGGTAATAGATGCGATAGTCTTCACGCACTCGAAAATTATCGCATTGCTGATTACTCCAGCCGTATATGGCAGAGACTCGGCATACTGCAGCACGTTCTGAAGGCAATCGAAGATTTGTTCCGAAACCCGGCGATCGCCACGACCCATACGACCGAAAATAGAAATAATTGCGATTTGCGTCCAAGGCGCAGGTACACGATGGTAGTCGTACGCACGATTAAGACGCCGATCAATTATCTGGTTTAAAATCGAAACTAGTGAGGGTACTAGATGACGATAACTTCGGGGGTGTAATGCAATAGCGTCTTGCAATAGTGATAAGGTGCAACCCATCACCGAAGGGCGAGGGTCACAAATACCACGTTCAATGATACCAGTCAGGTCATCCACGCAAGAATTATCAAACTCGTGAAAGCGGCGAACAGCCATTATAGCGTGCTTTCGGACATGTTCGTTCTCACTCTCCAGGCATCGCAACACACATGGCAAAATGGTTGGTATCATGTCCTGGTTAACCAAATCGCAGACACATTGTAACGCGCACGATACATCCATGAAATGTGGACTCTGTAAATCCTTTTGGATGGTATTTATCAGCAGTAACATCAACTCAGATTGTGGTTTAAGAAGCTGTCGACACGCCCAGTAACCTGTATATATTACAACACTTTTGAGAGTAACTCACCTGCCTGTTTACACACTAATTTGCGTTCTTGTGCCATGTTTATCGCATGGATGTGGGCGAAAGGAGCTTCGAAACCCAGCATCTCTACGTAAACGGCACGAACCAGATATTCCTTCAAACTTTCCTAGGCAACATTATCAATATGGTCAAGGTCAACATACCCTATCCACATCTTTAGCTAAGAATAGACGCTTTAAAGAGCCAATCTCCCCCAAGACGACACGTTCCTCCTCCTAACACAAATAAGACATCGACACCGGTAGACTCACATCCTTCGACCGGGCTTCTCCTAGTGCTTTAGTAAAACGGTAGAACTCACGTGACATGTGAGGAGCACCCAGGCTTAACATTGTCATTGCGATATAGAATGATATAAACTCCACCAGACCACAACGCTGCCCACGCGTCGGCCACACACTTAACAACAGTTGGAATCATGTACACCGTTCTGGCTGTGTTTGCTCTGGCAATTCATATATGCCTAGCAAAACATAAACAAGGAAAAACTACAGGAAAACATGTTGTAATTCCACAATGTGGAGAAGGTACGGTCACACACCGAAGGGATGTTGTTCATGATACACAGGGCTTAAAGGGCTTTTAAACCATCAATTCGACAGAAATGATGATGAAGCTATGCTAACGACAGCAGCATACCTCTCAAAAAACAATCTGAAGCTATACACCGGGAATGTAAGAAACTACCAGTGGGCTGACACACAAAACTTGCAGGCCAACTATCTAACAATCGACCTGAATGATGCTATATCTCCGATAGAAACTATAGGAGAGAAGTGCTTCGCTATTAGGAGCCACAATGCACTACCAAATGTCCTCTGCGCAAGGTTAGATTAAGGAGATGTTACACAACATTATGATGCAGCGGACTGCTTGATCGCAACAAGTGGATAAACGCAATTGATGCCAGCATGTTATGCGTAGAAACTGGTGTTAAATCAACATTGCCGTTAATTCCAGGAGAGGAGACGTAAGTGTAGCACAGGGTCCAGACAATGGTGATAGGTTGGAAGAAATAGACAAAGAAGAACCATCAGGAATTAACCTTTTTATGTAAGTATTCTTCAAACGACATTCTATTCATGTACAACAGACACGATGGTCCTGCTGGAAAACCACAAATATATATTAACGGAAAGACTACAGAGGAACTCGGGAATGAACGCAACGTAAGTTGGTGCATATAAAGGTTCAATCGCTGCAGAAAGAATCGATCGCAGCAGCACATATAGAAACTGATATGGACGCACTTGGAGGTAGGATATACAAATTAGACTTAGCTCATGCCGTCAACAGAACTTGACCAGCTTTTCCCGACATTTGAATCTAATGACGGAGAACCAGTTACTGTTGAACCTATCGATGAAGAAGCACTCGCCGAGGCAAGAGCTGAAGCTGGAATGGTAGACAGCACGACACCAGAGATGGGATATTACAAACAAGAACGTGATCTCTGATGTACCATATCAATCGCAACTGTTAAACACTAAAAATCACAATCTAACAATATAATCGCAAAGGGTAATATAGGTGTTTTGCATAAAATGACATGAGGGGGATGTATAGCTATGTTCCCATATGACCAACCCATAGATGCCTGTTATCTATTAGATGGCATAAATTAGTTGAGTCGTGGTTTAAAGTGACTAATACTGATTGTATGGTCTACATACAACTATTAGAAGTATATACGTCTGTATAACTATTAAACTATTTGGTCCAAGATTAAAAAAACAGTTCGCCGTTTCCCTGATGCAGCGATTACATAGACAGCAAAACGATCGATTGGTAGCTTTACCCATTGTCTACCGCACAACGGTATATTTTTGTACCACGTCCGTGCATATTCCATCTATGTTAGTAAAGCGATGAATAAAACGTGCGACTCGCGAATAAACTACAACACATAGTCCGATGGCATTGTGAAACGTGTTTCTGCAAGCTGGTGTGACGATATCAGTCCACCTATGGGCACAAAGCAGTAACAGAGCCGTAAAGTTACACGGGTTTCACGTAATGAGCGACCGTAGTCGACCATATAGTACTTGCTGACAATATCGCTTCCGGGCTCATAAGCGTCCTCACGATTCTCAATCACCTTATCATATATGATAAGCTCATTGATTGGGTGTTTAGGAGTCTCGTAATTGGCAGTCACATATAGAAAGATGACATTGGTGCTCCAATCAAACACCTCCCGGAGGTCGTAACTGAGATTAAATTCGATAGCCGCACGGTCGACCTGGTGTCACATAGTCAATAATATGTGTGTGTAACAACCAACCTGGCCTGTTATGGTCTTCAGCTCGAACGTTTGGACGTGCGACAGCGAACCCGTCGCAACGGTGGTTGAGCGATGGTATTGGCCACTGAAATAGTTCAGCGCCAAGGCTGCCCACACCGCAAATACAGCGGTGCTTAGCACCGTGTAACAACGGATTACGGGAGTGGTCATCTTACCAACTGGCGCCACGCCGTCCCCATCTGTAGTAGTTAACTTGCGGAGTGGCACGCCAGAGACCACCCATTCACCAATGTTTAGACACGCTTGCTCACACACTTTAACAAATATTAATCAAGTGGAAGAAACACGACCAAGAGTATAACAACCGGCGTACGAAGGCTAGAAATAGAAGGGTCTCACAACTACATTATCAACGTTCAACGAGGAGGTTCGTAGCAAAGGGTGAGATATAATGGGACTAAATACCTATGTATGTTGATGTGTGTCTCTTTTGCCAGATGAAAAGAGTATGGCGGCCGAGATATGTAATCCTGGGCTGCAACAAACGAACCACGGAATCACGTCCTTCCGCAACATGTTTGAACTGCACAATATCCTCTTTAAACATCTGATCATGTAATAGGTCGAGCAACATGGCTACTAAGGTGGATTATGAAATAAGCGAGGAGGACCAGAGCAACATTGTCGAATTCAGCAAGACGTTCAATAAAAAGAATCAAGCTGAGACAAGACTGAAAAATCTAAAAGAACAAATACAGAACCTAAACGATGCAGAAGAAGAGCTTATGATCAACATGGATACACCATACTTGAATCTAGGTAAGTTCATGTTTCTGTCTATGGTTGGCATATCACTCAGGTGACTGCTTCCTCAGGGTTGAAGAACCTCAATTAACCAGCTACCTGGAAGAACAGAAAAACACCATTACTGAAGAGATCAAAGAGCTTGAGGATACCGTTGATACACTAACGTCCAAATCCTCAGAACTGAAAGCTCTGTTATACGCTAAATTGGGGAACCGCATCAACCTAGAGGCATGATCACAGAAACACGAGAGAGCATTAAGAGTTATCGCAATGTTGTACATATTATCCGATTTGTTTTATACTGATGTAACCCTATAAGCCATAGAGTATGAAGGCATATGGGCCACTGGCTCAGTTATGCTGCCTCCCGTAGTTCCACTGGCATGTTCCAACCATATTTGAAATCTTCATTGTCGGTGATTCATAGGGCTTTGATGACAAAAATTCACTGAGGTTTCAAAGAGTCGTTGATCTCAGTCTTGACAGCCTCATAAAAGCGTACGTTAGGAACGTAGACAGGCTTGGCAGTGTATAGTTCACCCGTTTGAAGGTTCTTCATCACACGGGCTCCACGCAGCGAGTTGTGGAACAACCCAAACTTAGGGATTGAAACCTCCTTATTCTCACCCATGTGCTTGACGATGGATTTAACGAATTCGTCAATTACCATACCCACATCCTTTTGTGTCATTTCAACGGTCTGGGCGATCTCGGCAATAAGCTGCTTCTTGGTTACGGTCTGTATAAGGTCAGTATATGCGTAAATAGAATTGTATGATAACGTCACAAAAATTCATTGACTACAGAAGTTTTACGACAAAACCTTGTAGACAAGCGGTATACGAGAATGGAACGTGTTAATATGCATATTTGGCACAATCAATTGGCTTTTTGCCATTACTATCAAGATTATTTAGAAACGGGAAAAGGGATACACACAGCGTAAATCACATATAGATAATGTGGTAGCCTATCGTTGTGTACAATAGCCAAAAGTATCATTTCGACAGATATGCAACGTGGGACGAATAGGAATCCTCATATTAAATGGAAGAAGGTAAATCAACTAACCTCAGTCTCACCCGTAGAGCTTTTAACTCCCAGAGAAGATTGAATACGGGCATTTTCAGCACCAAAAGATGATTGTAAGCGCGATGGTCCTGCGATGAAAGCGGTCTGTAGGTTGTCTAAGCCCGATGAAACGCCGGAGCGTACATTAGACCTATGCGCTACCACAGAAGGTACGCTCACACAGCCGCTAAACCACCAAACAAAATATACGAATCCGCCCAAGAAGAACATCGCGACACGCTATACGTATACGACGTAGAAGCTACAGGATTCTGCTGTCTGCTATACCAAAAGAATACACACTCACAAGCTGTGGGGATGAAACAGAAGCAAATTAAATGACCCGAAACGCAAAAACTATCGAAGAGAAGGCGAAACAGCTCCGCCTTGAAGCGTTGCGGTATTGTGAAACGGCGGACCGCAACCTTAAACTCGCATTGCTGGAGGCGGAGCAACGTATAAAACAGGCAAAAGTATGTTAAAATTTTTACTAGTATATATCATATTTTTCGAATTCCAGCTTCTGCATACCCCGTTTACTCATTTCAATGCAGCAGGAGTTCATGAAACGTGAGCAAGAGGTCACAAACCTATCGAAGAATTTTGCTATGGGAAGGGTCGCCAAAATTGTAGAATTTACAAAACGCATGGTCGACCAAAAACCAGTTGATTTGCACGAGTTGAAGCCGGGAGAGGTGGAAGCACTGCATAAATACTTCGTACCATATATCCAACAACTCAAGGTTGTAGAATTACGACAAAAAGAATTCGACCTTGTTAAAGAAAAAATCGAGGTCAACGCCGTAGGTCACTTCACCTGTAAACGTTATCATTTCGACCCAGAAGGTGTATATGTTATACAAACAGGAGGCCGAAACAGCAGACGACTCATAGAAGTACTAATGGACCACTTAAGAGCGTTCGCTCCTCCAAAAAACTACAAAGTTAATGTACAATAACGAACGCACTGGTGCAACTATCTATAGTAAATGCTACATGTTGTGTCCGGGTTCTCTTCGACCCTTCCACTGTTATGTACTTATATAGTTGTAATTAGTAATTATTAACGAATAAAAGATTAGTTAGCAGGATGTTTCAAAGCCACGTCCATCCCTACTTATTCTTCAGTACTGGGCGGTTAGTAGGCTCCTCCGCGTCCCGCTCGCGGTCCTTTGTCATACGCTCGAAACGCTCAATATCCTCATTCATCATTGTGTGCATTAACTGGGCAGTGTGTAAAAACGTCCAGTCGAAGATGAAGTCGTATTGATAACCTTGCCTAAAGAACAAATCCTTCAATATACGACGAAGGTAAGAGTAGTCTGGTCGGTCTTCAAAACGCAATGATCTCGCATAGTTGATGAATGTTACGAACTCAAATGGCAGTTGTTTACACAAAAGATCAACAGGTATCGCAATTTTCTTCTCGCTGATCTTGTCATACTTATCTTTCTTGCTCGTGGCCTTCAAACCCTGCCACGGTAGAGATCCACGCATAAAATACAATAATACATAACCCAACGCCTCCATATCGTCACGACGACTTTGTTCAATTCCCAAATGGGTATTGATACTCGCATACCGTGCAGTACCTGTGAGATTCTTACCTTCACGATAGCATATATGTTGCGCTGTTTTGGGGTCTCGGTACTTCTTCGCCAGCCCGAAGTCAATAATGTACACAATCGAAATCTTCTTACCACGGCCAATTAAAAAGTTATCCGGCTTGATATCACGGTGAATGAAGTTTTTCGAATGGCAATATTCTATACGGTTTAACATTTGATCGGCAAGCATCAACACCGTCTTAAGGCTAAGTTTACGGTTACAGATCGTAAACAAATCCTCCAAAGAGGGCCCCAAAAGATCCATAATGAGAATGTTATACTCACCCTCAATACCGTACCAGTGGATCGTAGGAATACCGACACCGCCTGCCAATAACTTGTAAAGCTTCGACTCGTATAACAGCTGCGGGTGGCGGCTCCGGTGAGACTCCAACTTTATTGCTACATCCTCACCTGTTTGGATGTGTGTCCCTATAAAGATATCACCGAAGGAACCGCTGCCTATCTTACGGCCAAGGCGGTACTTGCCGCCCACACGAATCTCCAATGACCTAGTGATCATCCTGGTCAGATATTCAGACTATGGTCTAAGTATCCATCAAATTGTGCCGAACCTGACTACGAATCCGATAAATGCCAGGTGCCGGCATCAACCGACGAAACAAAGGAGAACGCGCCCCGTACAACCAGAAATACGGTAACGAAACCAATTAAATGGGGCCGTAAAAGCGTAATAAACAGACGCAACGCCCTAATATCCTACTCACCAATTACACCGACATGACAGGGCGAGATGAGAATGGCGCGTTGTGCCTATTACGATGATTGGGCTGACACCCGCCCAAGATGTGTCCGACGTAATATCCACTAGTAACAATAACAAACCAATAAACACACTGTCGAAGTTGTCATACAAAACTTTAGGGGCATTGAAAACTTAAATGTTAGTCCACTTGTATGTGGAAACTCCAGAATGCGCCAATAATCGGACATGGCGCGTCAATGCCCCGGGGCGGTACGCCGAAACAAATACAAATATGAGACGCTTGTACTATCAATGCGGGCACAATAATCCTATAGTTAGGCTCAACTTTAGCACCTCATAGGAGACTACTGAGCCTGTGAAGGACATATATAACCATGCTCTATAGTGATCACACCGTTTGAAAAGCTACCTACCCGAAAACCGCTAACAACCATACACACTCGAAATATATTGATTTCAATGCATTAACTATGTTATCTGTCGAGTTATACTTTCACATGGCCCAGGAATTTTTCGCGATCGTCTGAGTCACAAGGGGTGATCTGTTGGATCAGCGCCATGCCGGGATACCAGAACTTGATCCATCATAGAACCTCAGGTGCCACAGCAATTATAAATGACATTTTTACGCTGAACTTATGTGCGGATTACCACTTGCTAGCGAAAATTTGGCCATGAATTCAGAATACAAAACGAGAAAAGTATAGAATTTGGTTCAATCATGTTTCCTATGCCCTAGAAGTGCCTCCTATGTGTATTATACCTCGTAACGTCCACCGCCAACTTGCACAGCTTCTTTCTTAGCAGTTTGGCGGCGTGATGCCATGATGTTAATGTTTCGAGGTTGCGATATCTTTGGCTTATATCGTGAAACCAGTATCTCTTTAGCCTGTGCCAGCTGTTCAGGGGTTACGGCGTAAGGGTCTGGTGGTCGTTCTTTAGTTCGTGGCTTGGCATGTAGTTTTTCGATCTCACGTTCTGGTAACCAACCCCGCTGAAGCGCTGACTTCAGCTCAACATGGATCAGAGGGCATTTGGTTACAGAGTCGATCATACATGCATAGGTCCTTAGATGGTGGAAGCTGACTAGCCTATCCTTAGGGTGGCGTTGTCGTACGGCACCAGCTGGTATAGCACTGAATAGACTCACAATCTCCCCTTTCAACAACTCCTGACGTTGCTCAGGGGTTAGATTGGGATCCGCATTGATTAGAGCATCCACCTGTTGGTTTTTCACTGGAGCCTCTACAGGCTCAACTGTAGCTTCAGACAGTCGGTCAGCCTCAACCGGGGCAGGTGTCTCGTTCTTACGAGCCACCTCAGAAGGAACGTGCTCGCCATAGAAAAAATCACCACCTCCCCAGTCATGGCGTGGTACCGGAAACGGTCGTTTGAATAGACGACAAAAATCACGTATTACTTCACGTTCCACATAATCCTCATAGAAAACCACCTGTAAAGTAACTGACGGATCACTTTTATGTAAACTACCTCGCCATCACGTAAGCGCTCACGTAAACTTTTGCGAGGTTTGGAGGTAGACTCAGGTGCCTTGATGGGACGCAATTCGATGTTGACCTTTCTACGAGGAGGCTTGCCCGTCTCAGGGGAAGCGACTCGGGTCACATCAGTGCGATCTAGAGTGAAAATTGGCGATGATAACATTTAATTTCACTTACTGTTAGCATCTGACGAAGCTGGCTCATGGTAGCGATCGTATGCCTCGCTTTTGTATTCGTGCGGGTAACGCCTATAACGGAACGGCGATACCACATGAGTATCATTTAGACGATGCACAGCGTCTTGCAAGTCCGAATACAGCGGAGGATGCTGCCATTCCACCTCGGGAGGTTTGGTAGGAAGTACTTGCTCTTCCTGCCACCAGTTTACGTCATCGCCGTATAAGTAGTATATAGGTTCAGTATCTGTAGCATCTGGTCCGGAAACTGGTGAACTGTCTCCTCCCGCAGTAGGTGGTTCGCTGGCCGGGGACTGGGCAGGACCTCCGCCATCCACCTTCATGGAGCCAAAAGTGCTACACACCTTGTTATAAAGTAAAATTATTTAGTGTGCTAAAAAATGCAGAGGGCCAGAAACCGCCGCCATAAGGTAGTGTGCACTTGCACCCTGCCAATGTGTAGCGTCAACACAGACCGTTGATGAAGGCCGACCTCACGAGTATATAGTGGACACATCATTCCGAAGGTCCATTGGTTAGGGCCAAAGAAGACTGTATGTTGTCAAAATAAAACTATATTAACATACCCTCCCTATCACCGATAGTGCGTCCTTCATGCGTACCTGACGAGCTACACTCACGCCACCTTCATTGCAGACCTCGTAAAAAAGCTCACCAGGACGTAACAATTCAGGACTGGGAACATATGTCCTTTAATAGGTCATTGAACTTACCGGAAGGTGGTCAAAATGCACTGGGAACCCTCATGGCATTGACGTTCCAAAAGACGGGAGACGTTCACTCGATAATGCTCATCTAGCGCCGCATCTATCTCGTCAAGCAGATAGAATGGAGCTGCTTGTAGACGTTGCGCAGCTAAAATGAAAGCCAGCGATACCAATGTTTTCTGCCCTCCAGACAACTGGTATAGTTGCTGCAGAGACTCCGAACCTGCAGTAAATGAAACCTTGAGGTCCAGCCCTGTAAAAGTCTCTTCTTCAGGTGAATCCACGAAACACTCGGGAAGGCAGACGGCAACGCTGGCCGAAATATCACGAGGGGCAGCTTCACGCCGAAGCAGGACCTGAGATGTGATAACCACCATATATATGAAAACAACACCTACAGCACGTATACGGCCACCTGGCACCAGCTCTTCAAAAGTAGCAGAAAGTTTTTCGTTCAACTGGGCTAACATCTGCACTAGGTTCGCATCCTTCTGGCTCTTCAAAGCCTGATGACGGATTAACCAACACTTTGGTGGCAACACCCACCTTTATAGACTTCACAATAGCAGCATTGGAACGTGACATGCGTTCCTGGCGTTCCCTCAACTCGGTAAATTCAGCTATAACAAGTTCTGTTATTAAGACGAACCTCAAACATACCGCGCAATGCACCACTCTCCTGTTCGCTACCACGGCTTGATAAATCGAATCTAGAGCATTTCTTATTAAGTTCTGCGAGCTGAGAAATCAGATCGTCCTTGTCTCCGACAGGAGAGCTCTGCGCTTCCTCTAATACCGATTGATCTACTCGTGAAAGCTCATCTTCAGATTCCTTTATTTCCAGTTTCAATCCTGAAAGTGTTTGCGACAGCTCGCGGTGCCTTGATGTGACGGCTACCAATTCCGCTTTCTGTTCTGCAAGCTCAGACTCTAACTTGTGGAGCCTAGCACATAACTCGTCACGACGATGACGTGCCTTCTCACGTTCCTCTGAGGAACGCAAAAGATCAGAACCCATAGTTTCTATAGATTGGCGAAGTGACACTGCTTTGGCATCAAGTTCCCGACGATGGTCAGTATACTCTTCCAACATCTGGATAGTAGTAATAATGCGTTTAGCCAGAGCATTACGCTTCTCACGAAGCACAGATATGCTGTCTTGCAACTCGTGTGTACGCGCTTCAAGCATGCACTTCTTACGACGGAGCTCGGCCAGGTCAGATTCGATTGATGACTGCTGCGCTGCAAGCTCGGCCACTTCTGTTGGTGATGGTGATAAAGCACGCTCGAATATCTCAATCTGTTCATCCCAAGATTTGATCTGGTACAACAAACGTTCTTTACGGTTGTCACTAAGTTTTTCACGGATCGATTCCTCTTGGCTCTTAAGATGTTGTAATGACATCTTCATTTGACGCATTTGGGCTTGGACATTATGACGCTCTAACTTAGCCGCGCCATGCTGTTGACTCAGTTTCAATTGTTCCTCGTTCAGCAAATCAAGCTCCTTATTTAAATCCGCAACATGATTATCCACGGCTGTCAGATCAGCACCTAGCTGCTTCATTGTGCAATAGAGACCTAGTACCGATTCTTGTATATCAACGTAACCTCCAGAAACGGTACCGCGATGATAGAACACTTGTCCGTCTGGAGTCACGCAGTTCACACGGCTATGGGACATACGAGAAGCCGCATCCGCGTTCTCCACTAAACAGAAATCACCCAATAGAGAGCGAACTAGAGGCCTCAATTGTTCATCAAAACTGACGCATTCGATTAAAGGCATGGCTTCTTCCCGGTTAACATTGATCGCAGCAGCTGTTCCGTCACCACCTTTATAGGCTGGAAATACTTCAAGCGCGACTATGCGGATATTGTTGTAACGTGTATCGCTGCTTTCTAAATAACGGATCAGCGATTTAGCAGAAGACATGGTACGCACCACCACGGTAAACAACTTAGCGCCGAGGGTCTGCTCCACAGCGACCCTGAATGCATCGCCGACCGTCAAGACATCCAAAAGAAGCCCTATGTAGTTATTGCGGTGTGGCTGGGAATCGTCACTCTCGAGCCAGCCTTTTACCAGACCTAGAGTGGTTTTTTGTGACAACGCAACCTTGCTGAAGTTCTTCTCAGCGTCACTATACTGCACCCGTAACGAGGATTGCTTGGTGGTGTTTACAGATAGCTCATTTTGCTTCACACGTATTTTCTCGATGATTGTTTCTAGGGAAGCAGCACACTCTTCTACTGCCGATAGCTTTGCCTGGCACAACTCGTCCAATTTTCCGATCTCGGTGTGGACAAGATTCTGGTCATTCATGCACCGAGTCAGTGATGTCGACAATGTTGCTTTCTGTGATTCTATTTCCTTGATCAACGCATGCGCCTCTTCCTTCTTCTGTTTCAAGCGAGATATCATCTCCTGTGCCTTTTCTCCAGGGTTACGTTGACGGTGTAATACCTCGCTCAACTGCGTTTCAAGGTCTTGGATACGTTGAGTCAGTGTGATACAATCGCTCTCTACACTGTTCAGATCCACAGTAGAAGAATCGATACTAGTCGTTAGAGAGCTCATTTCATGTTCAAGTTCACCCTTGGAATGGGTAAGTAAACCAATCTCCTTCTGTAGTGCAGTTGCGTTGGACTCCACATCGGCAAGTGACGACTCCAACTTTGAAATGTCAGATGTGGTCACGCCTAAACTATCCATGGACTCAATGATTGACAAGGCGCCACGTGATTCGCTAACGTCCATCTCAAGCATGTCTATGCGTCCCTGCAGGGCGTTCATAGAATCGGAAAGCTCCAATTCCGCATCTTCATGACTGGAAGCATTTTCACGAAGTTGTGAAATCTTATGCAAAAGTAGACGGGTCTGTAACACACGGCGTTGTCCGTCAAGTGCGGCCCAATCCTCGCTTGCGCCACGTTGAAGGTCCAGTGAATCTAGCTTCCGTTGGATTTGCGATAATTGAGCTTCCACTGAATTGAAAGTAACCTCGTAGTCCTGCAACAGCTTTAAGGATTCCTCTATCTTGCAGTCGAATGAACGATGGCCGATTACATCTCGAAACGCCGATAGGCGTTCTTCTGCAGTAAGGTTGCATATCTTACCAACAGCGCCCTGTTTGACTATAAAGTGTAGGTCATTACGGTATGATGCGCTATGTTTGCTGAAATGTATCAGATTAACTCCCTCAATCAGCTGCCGATAATCCTTGCGTGACATCTGTCGGCCGTTCACCAAGTATAGGTCCTTCGAACGAGAGAATATACGCTTCAAACGCAACTCATCCTTATTATCGACCATCGACTGCACACGTGGGTCGTGTGAGACGTCGAAGACAACCTCAACGTGTGAGGAGAAATCATCATCCTCGGAAGACTCGGCACCGCGATATAGGTAACAATCACGATTAGTGTGCTCCAGCGTCTCCGCCAAGGCAAAACTCACAGCAAGCAACACATTACTCTTTCCAGAACCGTTTAAGCCCACTGAACAGTCATTAAAGGTGAAATCCGCTAACACATACCGATAACATTGTAGCCCGGGCAGAACTCGAAAACAGACTGGTCCCGGTAGGTCCGGAAGCCGCGTAAGCTAACCTCCTTAATATACATCGAAATATGTATAATATAAGGTTATGGCACCGGCGATCAGCCACTAAGCCACAATAGACACCGCAGGTGTGTGGGCTAAGAATCACCGAGGAATCCCCGCAAGCTGCTGAAGAAACCCCAGTAGGTCTATAATGGTGCAATAAATACACATTAATTACTAGTGACAAAACGATCTACGAGCGATTCTAATTCGCGTGATATAACTGGCCAGAATCGAGGTCCCTCTTCTCGTGTATAAGATTCCAGCGCTTTAGAAGTACCAGATGTCATAGAGATCGATTCACATTGCTCAACTAATGCCACAAATTCCGGGTCAATTCCGCAATCATAGGCGATAGTGCGAACCAGCTGCCATATCTTAGGAGTAATGGCACGGTATATGCCCTGTAGGTCACGCAGCAGACTCTTGAACGCCATTAGAGCCTCTTTGTTGCGATCTAAGGCACAATGTAACATCATTAAGTATAAATATATACTCACCTAATCGCTTGTAAGTAGAAAGAAGCTGGAAATACATCTCGAGCGATACCCTATTCCGCGGTTTCAAACCGAAACGGTTAGCATACGTCATCGTAGCCGATGACGTGTCCGACATAAACGCACTGCCATGCTTGAGTATTAGGTCATATGACCCGCAAGATGCACACAAGTCGAAGAACCGAGCGTACATTGCAGGTTCCGGGCGGCAGTTCCAGCGTAGCATCAAATCCAGTAGGCGATCTGCAGAATTGATATCCCGACGTTCCATATCACACTCAAATGCACATATAAACATATGATAGTGACTCCATGCCTGGAATCGAGAGTCTGGGAAGACCAGCGCGAAAAGCTGCACAGCAGCAGAACCACTGACTCCGAACGACATGAACTGTCTAAGAGTGATGTATATTCCGACCACTCCGAGATCCAAAAGGCGTTTTCCTGAATCACGGAGCTCTCTTATGGTGGAGTTCAGTGTTTTCTTGACATTTGTTCCCGAGGAACCCGAAACATGCAAAAAGGTATCACCCACAGGCCGGTGGACAAATTTTATGATGCGCTGAGGGTCCATGTCTGATTGGAGTGACTCTCCGGTGTCACGGAAGATTTCCATGAAGTCATCGACTGTCGGTGCCTCATCTCGCTCCAGTGGCTTGAACATGTTCTTATTTAAGAGGACCTGGTAGTACCTGTTGGGTAGGTCACCCAAGTGCCCGATATTGGCATAGGTGCTGAAAATCGAAGAAACGTCAAGATCGGGTCTGTCTACATCGTCGTATCCTGAGCTTTCACCTTTACAGATGGGTACGTCCACTGACATGAAGATGTTATACAATGCATGTTTGAGCATAAGTGTCCTTGACCAATCTTCAGCCTGACCCGCATCGCATGTCTTCAAATGCAAGATGGCGTCTAGGTCAGCCGAGACGGCTTCAGCAGATGGTTGTAATAGCTTTGATGAGCTCTCAATTTGCGATGTCTTGGCCAGTGTAATGCGCACAAGGTCGGAGATACCACCCTCCGGTTTAACTGTGTCGGACGATGTGGCACTAGCTCCGTCTATGCGAAAGTCACAAGAGACAGCCTCCTCTGTCGTGTCGTCCATTTGTTGGCCGCAATATAGGTTGCTGAAGTACACTGACAGTGTGATACCAAATTCTCTGGCGTGTACTGCCGATGCCATCACATCGGTGTGAAATGTGCCTACATCGAGCCTCCTTAGCTTTTTGCTACGCATACATCGGAAATCCACGAAAAGCTCGCTTTTTCTAGGGATTTCCGATGGTCGAAGCGGCGTCCTATCGTATGCCGTATTGAACGACGTAAAAATGGGGATTTGAAGAAAACATAGGGGGCCGTAGAGGCGAAAGATGTTCAAGAACAGCAAGGGTATAACCCACCCATCTACGAATGTCTTGTATGCATAAATACTAGACATGTGGAACATGTGTGTGCGGAGCAAAAGTGGGTGATTCAGCAGTCCAACGAACGCATGTAACATCAATCCTATGTCGTGGCGTTCCAGGTGGAGAAATAACGCTTGATATGCCCGACATAAAGCCACGTTGGGTGATTTTGGCCACACATGACGGTATCTGAGAATATTAAGACAGCTAATATCGACTTACGCTTTCGAAAGCACATTGCAACCTGCAGCGTCTAGCAAAGCAAATAAATTCTGAGTTGCTATACGTGTGTACTCGGTATAATCTACACTATCTTTGTAGATCTCTCGAAAAATCGAGGACGCGTCCAACACCGCCTTACAGTCTACCACCTTTACGACTCCCAGCTGAAGCCTATAAAAGAAGCTTTAACCAACTAACCTCAGATGGGCTGAGATAACAGAATGGTTTTCCGGTGAAACGTGGTTTTTCATCATGCAGTGGACCGTCTTGAGGGCGGGATGAAATGCTGGAGGTGGCATAATGCCCGAGCTGTTTCCCCGAGTAACAATACGCGCCCAGATGGTTGTCACTATCAATTGCCAAAGTGTTTTGATTGGATAATTTGGGGTTATAGCGTGCACTCGGTTTCCCATAGCTGCGACAATGGAGGAATCCGAGTTGGCTGCATGGAGAAAGGCGGATTGCGCTCACAAAACCGCTGCCGTAGCACCTCCGATTACTTAGAAGCGTAAGATTGTTAAAGCTTAGCAATATCCACGTGATAAGATGCAGGGAGAATGTAATATAGGTGATCCTGACGAATGCGATAGACTCGAAGGTAGATTTACCAAAGGAAAGATCTAAAAAGCTGCTTGTTCGACTTTCTACCGCATTCATAGCAGCAGTTGATCTAACTGTTTGCACCGGCGTATGTGTATATCTAGTAACTGTGTCCTGTGTAACGGCGATGGATCTATAATTGTCGATTTCGCCTTCGCGCGACACCGCACAGTTACTGGATGCTTTAAAAAAAATATGTGACGGCAAAATTAAAGTTTAGACACAATATAGATTATCTGTATTGTGTAATACTTCAGATTAGGCTCAATGACCTGCTTAAGCCAGTGTGTCATGACTTGGAAAATATTATAGCTGTGAATTTGCGATAAAACCCGCATGTCGCTGAAGAAAGTGGATTTAAAGCATGTTTTAAATTCAGATGCCGGGTTTCGCAGCGAAATTGTTCCTATTGATGAAGTATGAATAGCTGTCGAACTGTGGCCACACCTTCGCATAGGGGATGTTGTGTCCTTATAACGTTCAAGGAACCTTGCGTACATTCAATGACCTATTAATCTTTTAAACGTCCGTGATCTGAATATTTGATGCATAGTGTTGTGAAATGAAGATCAACGAAACCATTGTCCGGAACAAAAAGGTAAAAAGAAAGAAAGACACCACTCGACTATATTGGGATTTATCCAGGGGTGAAGGTGGGTTTCTGTTTTGGTTGAAGAACGAGAGGACTATATTTTGCCATGATGCAGGTGGAAACAGCATTGGGGGATCCCCCAAATGCATTGTCGGAGGGTCACTATGCTCTTTTCAAGCAACACGAAGCCTTAGATTTGTTGGTGGAAACTGAATGCGGTATCTACTTGGGTCAGCTAAGAAATCACGTTGTGGTACCATCGGGGTTTCCACCAATGTGGCTATGCTAACATTTAGGTGCTGGACCCAGGACATGGGTCATTGTCAAGCACATTAAACCACAAATAACTTCAGATACCGTTAATGGTTTTGTTTTTCTGGTAAGAGTCCAACCAATCAAGTTGTGGAAGAGTCACATATCACCAAGACCGGGATGACTCAGATGATGTAAGTTATATCGACCATCCTTTTCATCTTACTACAGGGTGCTGGCACCACAAAACTGTGTTGTCATGTGCTACACAAGTAGTTCCTTCGAGGTATCCAAGAACGGGGTCACATTCTGACCTAGAAGGGGAGTAATGCTGGATTTTAGATAGGGATTATGCCACTCCCCACACATGGGATGGAAATGTTTCATGGCTCATGTAGGTGTTTACTAAACACTTATGATCGTTTTGGAGGTCCAGAGAGCGTTGAGATTGAATTGGCGTCATGTTGCCCTTGTGTTCATCAAGGTGTGCCTAAGGCACCAATTATGCAATATCACCGAGGGCCACGAAATGATACATGTGTGCTTGCTAATCACGTTACTGAAGTGTTCGCTATGGGATACGTGATTTATGACGTAGGAGGACCTTTATTATATTCAAGCGCTGTGTTTACAAGATGACAGCAGCTGTTGCATCCGCACAGGCATCACCATCAACTGGAACTAAGAAAAACAGTCTTTTAGATTCTCCAGAAAACCTCAAGGAGGCCATAGATTGGATATTGAGAGTGACCAATAAGGATGGACGGAATGGTACTGGAGCGATTAAATCATCTAGTGCTGGTACGTACATTTATATTGCTATGGTTTTATTCTGCTTTCAGATGGTACAAAGGATTTGGCCGAGGCGCTGAAGCAACTGCTTACGGAAGTGCCGGGACAACTTAGCAAAGATCCTAAGAAGTCCAGTTACAACATACGAGATGTTTTAACCGCAGTGATACAGGCGTTGGGAAGAGGTGGTATCAGTAGCTATGGAGGTAGTAGCGCTAGCAGGTTGATTGATCAATTGTCTGACTCTCTAGCCGCTTTCATTGGTTACAAGAATGAGAGTGGGAATGGTTGGAGGTTAGGTGAAAATGGTATCGCGTGTACTCAGACTTGTGTAGAAAACACCAAAAAGGCGGCGGATGAGGCGGTAGAGAAGGCAAAGATCTATTCTGCCAAAAAAAAACCCAAACCTGCCCAAATCAGTAAATTTGAGGAATATAAAGACTGTCTATGTCCCACTATCGTCCAATGTAAGGGTGTCTTGCCCCTTTTCTACCGTTATGGATTCACATATTATAGTCCCGTCTCTTTGAATGGCAAACATGTGAGTGATAATACGGATGACCTCAAAACATTGAAAAGGAAATGCTTGGTATTCTCCTACCAGCTCCAAGAAGTCATCAATGACGGTCTATTCGATGAACTCCTCCAAACCATAAATATCTTCATCTACCACATACGTGAACCATTCCTTTTCTACCTCCTAACATTCTGGCTAGTGGTAATAGCCTATCTGACATATGGGCTACTACTGCCACTGGACCTACTACACATTCGGTCACATTGGAAACTGGAGTACACTTACCGGGTGCTACCAATCAGTCTATTCACGAATAAGGCATTGGCACCCAGTAAGATGTGGTATTTTAAACCATAATAGAAGTCACACCATTTTCAGTGATGTTGTTTAGTACGGCACGTCACTATTAGGTGCTCAGCCAAAGGGGAAACGCTGCCGGCATTATTGCTCCTACTTTGGTGCCGTAGAACTTCAATAACCATCTTGTATTTTTCACAGCGCAGTTAAACAGAGTAACGGTCTCTCTACTCTCTAGTAGTAACAGCTAGGCATTTGACATAACGCATATAATGTGAAAACAGTTTTGAATAATAAGATTACAATGGCAATGGTTCTTATCTAAATATCATGCAGTTGTGGGTCACCGATGTCAGCTTTCTGACGGTACATTAATGAATGTCACAAGTTCAAAATTGTTGTACAAGTAGCAGCTACGCCAAAACGATAGAGTGCCTGGGCCACCAGGCCCATTTAAAGGACCCATGCCTTGGATCTGTTAGCGCAGTAAGTGATCGTAGCCAAATCTCACGGTGTTCGGGGCCTGTGAACTCGAGGTCTATGGGCTTGGCATACTTCTCGTACGACTTTAATCCATGTTTAGTTCCGCCAGTGACCTTTCCACCAACCTTGAGGCGCAATGCCCAGCCCCAACGTAGGAGAGAGCTGTCGAAGTGTTGCGGCACTCTCACGTTCCTTGGAGAGTCAGAGTCAGAGTCCGTGGTGCCACAGCTGTAAAGTTCGGCATCACTCTCCGACATGCTCATGTGCGCAGTTGCTTGTAGGTTACTGTCGAGAGAGTAGACACCGACTACGTCTTGCATGTCAACCATACCGGATGGCTGCAGAGAGGAATCGTCCCTGAAAAGAAGAACTACGTTGCCGAACAAGGCCACTCGCTTTCTAAGATGACCTCCAATCCATGCACGATTTTCAGGGCCAACACATCCTTCCATCTCGCGCATAATGTAATGTAATAAATATATGGGTGGAGCGCTCCTCACACTGCCTGCGGCATTGGAAAGCAAATTTTTCCAAAAATCATTCAGGTACGCCAATATCTCATCGGGTTTCACCTTTACTCCCATTTTGATTTTTTCCAGGGCCTCAAATAAAACGTTGATGTGATAGTCGCTGTAGATGTCTGCGGGGCCAAGGTTCAGGCTGCAGAAACTTTCCCATATGGAAAGTGCGTTGAAAATAATTTGTTCAGCATCATATCGTCCCCTACCAACTTTGGACGCGAATGCTGCTATAATCCGCGCGAAGAGCTCGACACAGACTGCGTCACGTACAACTGTGTTGCAACCCTTGAGAACATTACCTACCTCGCCCCTTGGGCCGATCAAAAGTTTATCGTCCGAATATAATAACTCCCACCATAGTTTGAGTCCTCTATGGTTAGCGATGACTTCCAAGGCCGGGGCTGCTATGCGATCTACCAGAGTGGTGACGAGGTTTCGGAATATGATATTGATTCGTTTCAGAGTACCACCGTATACGAGGACACCTTCACCCCATTCTGACCTTTTGAGCGGAACAACATTTGATGCGCCACAGCCCTTCAGTAACAAGTCCCCATGTATTCGGAAAGCATTGATGAGGGTAGCGTCGGCACGTGTGCCTAGTATGTCGACAGCCCACGCAGTGTACCCGAAGTCAGTTTCATGTAATAATTCCACCAATTCGTACAACATCTCCAGACGCTCCACAGCGTCTACAACACTTTCTGGCAAAGGCTTTGCGCCTATGTGGTGGACAAAACTCTCGAATAATAGAGTGTTTACGATAGTAACCAGGGCAGCCATTATCACATCGTCCCAGCCCTGCTTAGTCTCTCCAACCACTTTCTTGAACATGACATACTCGTCATAAGGTTCTTCATCATCATCCAAGCCGCCCATAAGCTGCTTCCACATGTCGTTTTCCTCGTGCTTGAGGTCGAACACGCGGACTACGGCACGGAACAGCCGTACGTCCAGTGCGCCGTGCTGCCCAGAGACTAGACTCACACCATCCAGTGCTTCCCGAAGTTCTCTGAGCCGCAGAATGCCATATTTGCGCTCACTGCCTTGCTCACACATAAAAGGGAGCTTGCTACGGAGCCATTCCGTCTCGGTTCTAATCCACCAGGCATTCCTGAGTGCAAATCGAAGTTGTTTGAGAATTAGAGCAAATATTTCGTTGCGTATACGCACGTCTCGAACACCATTGAGGGACAGTATGTGGTCCAGGTTGACGAAAAAACATCGTAACCGTATACAGTCATACACATCAAAAGTGCAAACCCGTTTCAGGACGCCTTCGTATAGATCCATAACCGGATCGAGATAACATCTACAGAAGAGGTCGACATCGTGAGAGGAGAAACGACTGCTATTCGGTATTTTCTCAAGCAGATCGGATCCTATGGGCACGGTACGACCCTCGACAATGTCGAGTAAAGAGTCGTGAGAGAGCCCACTAACAGTCTTTAGAGATGTCACAATGGGTCTCTCCCCCTGGAAATATGCAGCATCACCGCTAGCGCGATTATTAGCTTGGTGACTGGCATCTGCGTCCAGATATTCCGGACAGTGCCTCAATAACGCAGCTCCTCGCCTCAGATGTAGGTGTAGCACCCTCATAAATGCCGGAATAGACACATCGAGTTCCTCAAACACCTTGCGGAATGTCCGTAACCGTTGAGATCCCGTTTTACCCTGGAAGCCTGTGATTCCATCGCCGGCCTGTAGCTGTTGCTGATGGGAGCCATGCTGTACCTTCACAGTACCTCCGATCGCGACCACTAGGTCGCAAATCGACCCCTCCAATAGATCCAGGTCATGAGCAGCGCATTCGGACGCCAGGGGAGCGTCCCCTGCAGCCTCCATAGCGCCAGCACGCCTACGCGCCGTTTTGGAGCATTTTATCGCGGGTATTCCCACAAATTAACAGCCCATCTATAAGGTGTTGCTAGTGCATTTTCTGACTACGTATAATAGGTGTGCAATTACAACGCGTCAATACCGGCTGGGGTATTTCGAGACACATTCACGGTGGACTTGCGATAACTCGACGGAATGTATAAATGCCGTTGTCATCTACCGATGCTACAGCGTGGCGACATTCGTCGCAATAGGCCACGTAATCCCGATCAGTACCCTTTTCGGTTTCGGCGTGCCGTTTGTTACTTAGCTGGGCGCCAGTGAATTCATCTATAGTTGTTTTAGCGCCTTCTTTAGAACGAGGTTCCACTGTAACATTCACAGGCTCCGTGGATTCGAAGTTGCCGGTAGTATCACTGTAATCGGGTTGCGCCTAGGGGGACAACTGTCTTACATTTTACATTTGTAGCAAATAGGAGTAAAGCAACCAGGGCAACAAAGCACAGCGTCTGACGTACCTTCGGTCAGTCCTAAACCGCCAGGTTAGCTATACGCCATCAAGAAGGACACCCACCGAAGGTCTCACGCACAAAAGTAGCATCAGCCTCATCCACATCAGAGGCATAACATTCCTCGGGAAAGTCCACAGAGCCTATTTGAGGTTCTGTAATTACAATGTGTGACCGAGAATTGCAAATATAAAGCTCATATAAGATGAGAGATGACCAACGGGAAAGAGGCATTGTCACCCACCTGGTCGGATAGTTTGTCCAATCTTATACTTATCTCTGAAATAACCAGTATCGCGACTCATAGTTCAATGACATAAACACCCGAAGCCGATGACCCTCGGGGACTCCGTGGGGGGGATGCTGGACGTCGGTTCCCACAGCCAATTCCCTTAATATACATTCGATCCAACTTAGGCTCATTTACGGGTGGATTTATATTAATCGGATACCGGTCGAACATATCGTTTCGGAACCCGCTTTATCATACTATATCACCATGCCCACTAAACGCAGGAACGGAGGTCGCTCCAAACACGCTCGTGGCCGCGTACGCCCAATCCGCTGCAGCAACTGCGGTCGCTCAGTACCAAAGGACAAGGCCATCAAGCGATTCAACGTACGTAATATTGTGGATGCCAGCTCGCAGCGTGACATCAAGGAGGCCTGCGCCTTCTCAAGTAAGTCAAACTACATAAATCGGTCTCTAACAACAACATATGACATGGTCTCCATGTGTAAATGTGTGTAGTGTCAATAACTAAATATTTACATTCGATGTCTATTACACTTGATCATAATGCTGCAGCTTTCAATTTGCCCAAGTTGTACATCAAACAATGCTACTGCGTATCATGCGCTATCCACTCTCGCGTGGTACGCGTAAGGTCTGTTGAGGCCCGCAAGATCAGGACCTTTGTACAACCAAGGAGCATGCCAATGAGGATCAACATGCCACAAAACAAGGAGAACTGAACTCAGGGAACGCATAGTACCCTTGAGTTACTATCGAAACAACCTGAATAAATGTTGGAAATCAAGAAATTTTGAATAAGATGTAACAATGTACATGTGTGGATGGGCAGGATCTGCCTTGGCAAAAAGCTTACTCCCCGACATCAATACTTTGCGTAACGAACGGTGAACAAAGTAACTTATATTCACAACTCACCGAAATTCGTGCGATGGTTGTTCTTTACACTCATGCCTTCAGGACACTTGTGGTCCAGACACCCAGTCCTGCAATATATTCTGGAAAGAAATACAATTGACATACCAACATGCCGCCGTTGGGTCTTTATAGTAATCTGGGTCCAGAATACTACAGAGCGGGTATCCTAAAAGCATTGATGCTACCAGGGGCAACACTCACCATGCGGTGAAGGAGGTGTACTTATACACATGTAACGTTCTTTGCCGTTACCGCAATCTGCGCCAATGTCTCGATATCGACAGTAAGACAGTACCGCTGCGTATAGGGCCAATATCGTCCACGCGCATCACTGATAGAGGTGTTAGAATACGACCGATAGGAACCAACCTATAGTGCCCGGAATGGCTACATGTGGGTTACACACCCCCTCGCAAGTCTAACATGATGATAAATATGGGTCAAAATATAGTATAAGGGTAACTATATTGATACACATACCGATAGACAGTGCTGTCCAAGGCCAAGCGAACGAGGGCTTAGCTGAGAACAACGATGAAAATCGCCCTTCGTGATATCCGATAACACGGTAACAAAAAAAAGACACGGTATAAGCAACCACATCGTCCAATGAATAGCGTTACAGCCACACCGACACCATCATACATCCACGCATTACGCCCACACGGCACTATTGAAGCGCAGATCACAGGTGTAATAATACAAATACATTTATATACTATGAAGGGTAATGTTCCCTGGGTGGAGAAGTATCGTCCCGCCAAACTGGACGACATCGTCCTCCAGAATCATGCGGTAGCGACGATGCGACATATCGTCGAATCCTTCGATGTAAGGCAACCTATACCGTATAGTACTCGGGAAATACTAATGCAGATGCCACACATGATATTCCATGGACCACCCGGTACGGGGAAAACCTCGGCAGCGCTCGCAATTGCTAGGCAAATCTACGGGTAACCGCTACTGTGGATTCTATAACATCTGTGCAGCCCAGAAGGGATGAAAGAACGGGTATTAGAGCTAAATGCATCTGATGAGCGTGGTATGTGCCCTTTTATAAAGCGAAACTAACTGTAATCTAGGTATAAATGTCGTTCGTGAGCGAATAAAGACATACTCACGACTGAATATTTCAAGCAACAGAGTCAACCCACAGACTGGCAGGTATAGTTGTTCAATAATTGTGTTACATCACGTGTCAGGCTGATGCCTAATTTTAAAATGATCATATTAGATGAAGCTGATATGATCACCCCTGATGCACAGGCAGCCCTGAGAAGGATTATCGAAAATTTTTCAAACATCTCGCGGTTCATACTAATTTGCAACTACCTACACAAGATAATAGGACCTATATATAGCCGTTGCTCAGCATTCCATTTCAAACCTATAGCGCAAGGGGCACAAGTGGAACGGCTGAGGTTCATCTGCCAATCAGAACAGCTGGAATGTGAAGAAAACGCACTCAAGTTCCTAACACAAGTATCACAAGGTGATATGCGACGCAGTGTGACCATTTTGCAGGTATGTGACGCGCAACTCCGGATCATTGCGGTACAGTCAACTGCGAGCCTATTTAACCATGTCACCGAAGACGCCGTGAGGAACGTGTCCGGGTACCCATCGCGTCAAATCGTTGACGACATCTTTGTTGCATGCCAAGGATCAACGAAGGACGTAAGATGGATACAAAGCAACACTAACACGTACAGGTAGAAGCTATCTGCAAACAGATCATCTACGATGGATGGGAGATCGCCACTATATTCCTACAGGTATAATGTATAAAATTAAACATTAAAATGTGCGTAGATAGCGGAATATGTCGTAGAATGTGAGACACTCAACGACGTGCAAAAAGCTATGATCACCATCGAGTTATCGGGCAGAGATTTGGCGCTTCTGCAAGGTTAGCTAGTTACATTTTTAAAAGAAGATTTTTTAGGTGGACTGCAGTACTTCCAGTTGGCATCCGTTTGCTTCCATATTCGATCCATCCTTGCCAAAGGCGGGCAAAGGACAACCGCTTGAAAAGTTCGGACTATGTGCCAGTATGGCCACGCTCAACGTTAAATTACTGGTGAACAGGTTCGACTGCGATCCAACGGCAAAGGGTAAGTGTGCACATCGCAGAAATCATATAGAAAATTGCAGGGGCAGAATTCTGTGAAAGTGACACCGTCGCTACCGTAAAGGAACGCTTTTTTGCCGGGGATATCGAACAAAGTAGGTAAAATACGACTTTTTAATAATACTATTATAGAATTCAACATACGTATCATCCATGGTGGATGTTCGCTACAAGATGACGTGGTACTCAGCGGGATACGGGGCTACGAGGCCGGGGAGCTCTTGGTTCTAACGGTCTTTGTTACAAAGCGTGATACCACACCACCGGTGGTCGAAGAAGGTAAGATGGCGTTACCAGGCGCAACATGGCCCGTGCAGATAATAGACGCAACCTGTGGAAGCTGAGCACACCAGTATGGATAGCAGTACTAGCAACATTATGGTGCTACAAGTTTAAACTTGGAGATTCATTCCACAGGTTCCCACTGTTTGTTATCTACGTGATTACATTCGTTTTCCTCCACGTGATGCTAACGCGCTTAATGCGCAGCGGGCGTATAGATTCACAATGAAGCCAAGGGTTTAAAAAAAAGCCCGGAGAAAGGCAATGAGATGCGATTGGCGGATATCAGCCGCACAACGTGACACCTGAACAAGTATAGGACAGAGTATGCGGCGCGTACCTCCTTGTTGATATTGTCGATAAAGGACTCGCCCTCACGACCCATCGCGGCCACTGCGCCAGCGACGTCGGGGACATAATAACCGAATCTGAATTGTTTTAAATTATAATACGAACAAACTAACCTGTGGTTAAAGCTCTCGAAAAGTTGTTGAGCACGGCGTAACTGGTCCTCGGACAAACGGGAAAGGTCCATGCCGTCGCCGTCTTGGCACTGCCGCGCCAGAGCGCTGACCTCAGCTGCCTCCTTTTCACCGATGGTGAAAGCCTCCAAAAACTGACGTTCCTGGGATTCAAAAGCAGCCTTGCAACGTTTCACAATCTCGCTGGGCTTGTTCTGTAAATAATAATGTAAAATAGATAGAGGTAAACTAACACTACGGAAAGATGCCAAACCGTCGTTGAAAAACGTGAAAACGGGGTCACGTTTGGGCGTCTCACCAGCAATCTCTGATATAGCAGCGTTGATCGCTGCATCCTGAAGCTTGGCATTCTTGGGAAATGTCTCGCGGAAAACAGACATAAGCTCATCCACCATAGTCTTCTGTACTGAACGGGATATTGCGTTCTCTTGTAAAAGCATGTTTTGTAACCGCTCGTTCATCAAACGCGCAGACTCCTTCTTCATATGATGCAGTAACGCTGCACGGTACTCTTTCATTCGGGTCGCAACTTCGTCCTTGAACTGCTCAACATAGTCAGCACATCTAGATGTGTCCATGTAACCTGTGGAAAAAGGTGAATTACACAACTAAATGAAACATACGCTTCAATTGGTTGTAGATAGCATCCTCGCAGTAATCCTTCTCTTCCTTGGCCTTGTCTATCAATGCGTTTTCTTCCTTCCATGCCATCTCCTTAAGGGTTTTCCTGAAAGTAATGCAAATTAGCACGTAGAACACGTACTGGAAGTATGCGGCCAACATGTAGAAAACAGCACCAAATGGTAGGGTCTTGGCGAAAAACCATGCATTGCCCAAAACAGCATTACTCAAACCGAACCAGCAACCCAGGAAAATGAGGCCGTAACTCGAAATGAGGTTTTGTGGCTTTTTCAATTTTAATTCAATCAATTCTTCAGGGTTAGACGCGCGCTGCTTCAGGCAATACTTGTAACAGTCCTCCTCACTAATCTCAAACATAACAGCCAATTCAGGATAGTGGAACCGGTAGTCATCGGGGAAACCCAATTTCACGGCATCCAACTCATCCTCAGAGTAACCGTTACGCCACATGCAGTCAATAAGCTCATTTTTGGTTATATAAACGTCTTTCTCGACAACCAGACCGTTCTCACACCTGCAGATAGATGTCTCCCACCATGTAAAATTAGAACATGTAAAAATAACAGGTTGTTATAAAGTATCGACTGCCGCGTAAGCACAACTTATTTATATCAAATCAGAAGCAGTGAACAGATAGATGTCCATGTCTGTAACGACACGCAGTGCAAGTTGATTCTGTCGAAACTAAAGGTAACTACAGCAATTCAGGGTTTAATTCTACTCTATTACTACTTTAAACTTCCATATCACACACATTAAGGCCCACAAGAAACGAATACGTACCGTTTTGCAAACTCGACGAATGCTTCCCGGCGATTCTGTGCCTTTGTCAGCAGCTTCAAGAATTTTAAAAAAAGCGGTAGTTCCTTAGAAAAAGAATAAAGGTCCTCGCGAGATGGCTGCGCAAGGAAGATATCGTCATAGGTGCTGTCCGCTGTCCAAGGTTTAGTGATACGATACTTGGTATACTGGTTGCGCACAGGCGTCCAATCCCTTCCTAAATTTACATAACTGCGAAACGGTCCCCTAGGGAAGTACTGAGCTGATAATGCTGCGGCATTGGCGGCTGGCGGTCGACCTGGCACAGATGATGCGAATAAGCAACTGCGCCTTCCACAAGAGCCGCACGCGTTCGACGTCAACCGCAATAAATGCGGCTTAGCAATAATGCTTACAGCTTTCATCGCCTCGACGAGAACTGACAGACATCGCACAAACAACCGACAGATAATGTGTGACCCGATGGGGCCGCGAGTGACCGGTTATAGAACTGCTCTGGCCAATATAGCCTACACAGTAAACAAAATGGGAAAGAAGACACTATAGTGACAGCAATGAAGCGTGATGGGACCATCATGTCGCCTGTACTCAACTTGGCTGGAGGCAAATATCACACGCCTCCTCCATGGAACAGCCACAACACCTCACAGAGCTGCAAGAACATTTAGACATGGGCTAGTGCCAACATTCATCCAATCGGGTTGTAATCAGGTTTTAGAATCTACCAGGCGCAGCCTTTACACAGATGTAACACAAGATGTCACTGAGCATGCCGAAATACAACATATTGCAAGTGACAACCCTTGTCAAGACCAAGTTGAGCTGCTACGACGGGTCAAGAAAGCTGTAGAAATACATGGTCCAAAGATTATATGCTGGTTGAGGACCAATAGACAAGCACATATACGTGATGTCGACCCTTCAGTCGTTGCTCTTCTCAGGAACGCAGAACGGTTCGCCGCGTTGCACGGACTACTTCTCTCTGACGTCCCTTTGGAAAACCTTGAGAGACACCTACGTAGTGCTACTAATCTCAGAAATCTATTCTCACCCTCCTTCATCGAGGAACAGAAGGCAACACTGTACCGAAACAAACACCTACCACTTCTGAAGCACCCTGAGGAAGACTCCATCGACACAGGGAGGCATGACTCGCATATTGATGGGCATGGGGATGCATCGTGTCATACAGAAGGTGACGGAGAGAGGGTGGAGTGTCTGGGACCAAACTACGTTAACTACAAGCGGCAGGTATTGATAGAGCGTCAGAGCTTCGCGGAGGCACTGGAAACAGCGCGGGTAGAAGCATCAAGTCTCATGGAACTGGAAAAACCATCGCAATTGCCTGCTTTAAGCCAAACGTGTGAACAATGGGTACACGATATAGCAGAATTTATAAAACAGGATAGACTCAAGAATGCTGAATCGGTACTGCCATCTATACTTGACGAACAGACGTTAGCCCGCGCCACAGTCAATTTGGCCTTGCAACTTATGTGTTTTCCAGCATATGCGCATGATTCCAAAGGGCAGCGGGGTGGATTGTTACGTAGACGGCCACAACAGACTGCAGGGAACCAAGTGCTACTAGCACATGCAGCAATTCGTCTGGGTGATGAAGTAGGACGGATGTACGCAAGGAAACTTGCAGAAACTAAGACTACAGAGGGAAGTTCTGACATGGGGGGCAAACCCGAAAATGTGAAGAACATTGAACCGGCAAATCGCAACCAGCAAAGTACCTCAACTACCGCACAGTATGGCGATTCACCAAGAAAGATTGGTGAAATTTTCGACTTACCGAACCCAATAAGTGTTGGTATAAACGCATTGATGGCCTCAGCCTTTTCTCTGGCGTCCAAGGCTAGAGTCATGTCGAATACTGCCACTGGGGTCATGGATCCAACACCGCAGCTACATAGCGATGGAACGCTCACCGACGACCAAAAGCAGTGGAATAACAAGCAGAGCGCTGCAGTGGGAGGATATCTATTGCACGCCCTTGTTGAATCGTGCTATGTACAAGTTGACCTGACCACAGCATTAAGGCAGACTAACTCGTTCGCAGAAATAGATCCGTCAATGCTCTTACCAGACCTCCGTAATGGTGGATCTGAACAACGCGATGCTGCGAAAAAGAGACGCAATTGGCTTAACAAAACTGTAAGTCGTATTCGTCAATCACGTTTTGATGCTGGAAAAGTCGAAATCGCAGCGTTTGCACACAAGGTACATAGGCACGGAGTCAAGGTCTACGGGGTGTTAGAAATGCGGGAATGTTGCATGATACATCTACGTGATGCTGTAGCTAGGGGGCTTGTAAATCTCAGTTGCTTACCAATGGTTTGTGAGCCAAAGCCATGGACGTCCGTATCGTCTGGAGGACTGGGACTGCTGAAACACTATTTCATAAGGACGCAGTGCAGGCCTACATTTGATGTGCGGGTATACGACCTTTCTAAGGTCTTTCGGGTTGTTACAGCATTCGGAAAAGTTCCCTGGAAAGTTAATGGGGATGTTTTCCATCTGCTGAAGACCTTATGGACCACTGACGCTCTACTACCAGTGCGCTCGTTCCTTCCAGACAAGTCGCTAGTTGACGCAGATCCCAGCACGCTCACCAACGTTATGGAACGCGCCAATGCACTATCTGAGTGCTCTCTTTTTGAACGTAGACTTAGAGTTGCAGAAGATTTTCTTGCGGAGCCTAGGATATACTTCCCTCAGAACATCGATTTCAGGGGCAGGATGTACCCACTGTCACCACACCTCAATCACATGGCGGATGATATATGCCGTGCGCTGTTGAAGTTCGCGGAGAAGCGTCCTTTGGGAGAACGGGGATTCTTCTGGCTAAAGATACACTTGGCCAACCTCTATGGAATTGACAAGGTTCCACTGTCTGAACGAGTGGACTGGGTGGATCAGAATACTGGGATAATACAACAGATGGTTAGGGAACCGTTCTCTGATATATCACAGTCATTTTGGAAAAGGGTGGAATCACCATTCCAGTTCTATGCAACTGCGGTTGATTATGTGGCAGCTCTGAAGTCAGGTGACCCTTACAGCCATATGAGTGATGTCCCGGTGCATCAGGACGGGAGCTGTAACGGTCTACAGCACTATGCAGCTCTTGGCAGAGACTTGAAAGGTGGAGCTGCAGTCAACCTAACGCCTAACGAACGACCACAGGACGTTTATCACCAAGTGCTGCTGGAGGTCATCGCTAAGGTTCGGGCGGACTACCAGTGCAATCCCGCGGCACCCAGTGATTCCGTGTATACCCGCTCGCGTCTCGCTAAGTTGTGTTTGGAGCACGGGATTCTGAGGCGGAAAATCGTGAAGCAGACGGTAATGACCATTTGCTACGGTGTTACGCGTACTGGTGCGGTATCCCAGATCGAGGCACGCCTAAAAGAAGTGGAGACAATCGACTCCATGGGCCCAAAAACTGTACGACAACTGGCAGCGTACATAGCAGGTAAAGTATTGGGCTCGATCAAAACAGTCTTCGCGGAGGCTATGGGCATAAAGAAATGGCTTGACGATATATCAGCTGCGCACAACAGGCTGAACGTACCTGTAACGTGGATAAGTCCTGTAGGCCTGCCTTGCGAACAACCATATTGCAAGGCAGTGACAAAGGTTGTTAGAACGCCAATTCAAGCAATTAACGTAGCGGAGCACGCCCCTAGTGTAGTAGACAAGCGTCGTCAGAAACTAGCATTCCCGCCAAATTTCGTTCACTCACTGGACGCATCACATCTCATGCTAACTGCAGAGGTATTGTTTCAGCGTGGATTGAGTTTTGCGGCTGTTCACGACAGCTACTGGACGCACGCGTGTGATGTTGATGTTATGAACGTAGCTATACGAAACCAATTCGTCGCCATGTATAGCGAGCCTATCTTGGAGAATCTATACCAGAGCTGTAATAAGCGGTTACGCGGTGAAGTGATGATACCGCCACCTCCTAGGAGGGGTCAACTGGATTTGGACTCAGTACGGCAATCTGTCTACTTTTTCCACTAGAGTCAGTACAGTAGTACATCTAGGTACAAGTAATTTGTAATTACTAAGCTTTTCACGCCGGCTTTCATACTGTCTACTAATGGTATTGCACCGCCACTTGTATATATTTTTTTAATGGGCCTGCCACAGAGAAGAGGCAACAGGTCACTTTGCGGGGTAAACTCCACGCCACAGACAAGCTAACAATCTAAATTTGTCGCACTGAACAAGGCGATACTGCTGTAAATGATAGGTTAATGCAATCTTAGAAAGTTGATCCATGAGTCTGACGTGTACCAAGATGAGTTATGTGGGACTACGTTTTAACTCGCAAAAAATAAATCACTAAATTCTCCCAATGGTAACTTTAAGGCGAAAATTATCTTGCGCGGCCATTTTGGCCTGTGTATTTTGGTGGAGTGTCTTCCAACCCTGCTTTGCTCTAGGGCCTGCTGAAGGTCAGATGCACGAGGATTTCATTCATAGGCACGACCATAACCATGGCGGTCACACAGCCGTGATTGGAGCTGGCGATATCGATCATGAAGTCCACAAGCTGCGTAAACCAACCAAGGCGATGCTCAACAACCAGACAAAAATGCGAAATAACCTGGAAAACGCAAATCTGCCCGGAATGAAAGTAGTTAGTGGCACCGATATTAGAGTCAGCGTTTCGTAGATCCAAGGTTTCTGTATGGATGGTATACACTGCTGGCCATTGCAGGTGTTCTCAATAACTATGATGGCCGTACACATACTCTGCTGCTTTGCTGCTTTTTATGTGTCAGCAAACCTTTACTCGAGCGTAAGTGGAATCAAGAATCAATCTATCGCAGCTGTCTAGCACCGTATCATTTGTGGTTTTAGCAACTGCGGAGTGACTCAAATTTTTTTCTTTTAGTTGGCTTAACTTTGTCGCAGGGCATGTATAGCGCCACGTTCTACCAAAATGGAGGAGCGGTTATCATAATTATGGCACTTCTCGGCGCCGCTGTTGGTGCCGTAACGTCCAGACTTTTCGACTTCTGCCTTATGAAGTCGGCCGCTTTTACTGGTCCAATGATGTCAGTTTTCGTGTCGTTCGTGCTCATTGGAAAACGGTTGGTACCCATCTGAGGTTAAATAATATGGTCACAGCGGTATGTCGCTAGGAGCTTTCGGAGGACTCTGCGCCGGAATACCTATTGGTAGTATGGCTGAGAGCCACGAAGTTGGTATATCGCGTAGGTTTGCATGGTGAAATGAATACACTTTTATGTAGTTGGAGCAGTCATAGGACTGCTGGTGGGTGGCATTTTGGGCATCTGCCCTTTCTTCCACTGGTTAGAAATGAACCAGCGTTATATGAATAAACAACATGAGTTCGGAAGGTTCGTTAGCACTTTGGCGATCTAGAGTGAACCATGTTTCAGCTTCGCTGAGCCAGGGTCGTTCTCTACTGACAGTTACTTGGGATACCACAAAGTCGTACACATGAATACAATGGACTTCCGGTAGGACACATCTGGAACCAAGACTCACACCTTTAATGATCACATCAAAAATAAATTTTTCTGCGCATGAATCGCTTGTGTGCATGACGCTGTATCGCCGCGCAGGCACATACGTAATGTGAGTCATAAAATAGAGCGTTTTCAACACATCGGAATTACTGCTATGGATGTGCTGGATTTTATCACATCGCAAAAGGTTTTGGTGGGCAAATCGCAGAAAACAGCGGCTTCTAGCACTGCACAATCTTCGGGGCGGGACGACGACGAGAAGCGATGCAAACAACTGAAACGAGTGATCCGCGCAGAAAACTCTAAACGAAAACCATGTGAAGAAACACTCAAGCGCGCAATTGATGAATTGCGCGAGATCCGTCGCAAGACATCGCAGAAAGAAGCAGAGGGAGACGGGAAACCCCTGCCAGTGGCGTCTCTAGAAAATATCAGAGGGCGCCAAAATATGGCAGGAACAACGGACTGGGCAGATGCGGCCGAAGTCAAGAAACGCAATCGTCAAAATCGTCGATTTGTATTCTATATGCCTGCTGGAAATGCAGCAGGAACTGATGTTTCAATCGGTCGCAAGCGGTTGGAAAAAATCCAAAAAACAATGAACAAAGGTACTTACGGGTGAGCCAATACACTATACCATACATGGTGTACAGACCGCTTGAAAAAGGACCGACTGTTACCATATCTGGAGTACCCCAACCGATGGATCGGCTTAATCGACGGCGCAGATAACTGCCTTCGAAACACGTCCAGCTAACTCCTAGACACCGACACTCCAACTAAAAAAACTCCTAAAGTAACAGATTATCTATAGTTAATGTACTTGTCATATTGTTCCTGAGTAATCTTCTCCGACCACAGCAGCCGCTTAAGGTGCAGTCGGTATAACAGCGACGGTTTGAAGGGCTCGCTTGTGTATCTTGGATGATGAGCAGATAGACCCAAAAAAAGACCTAAGCCGAGGCCAAAAGTCGCATACAATCTCATAAAGCGGACTCGGTCCTTTGCGATAGGTAGCTTGAACAGCCAGTGAGTCGGAACAACCATGATGGCACCCTGCAATAATGTGAGTGAAGGTGTTACATCAGATTGAAATCTACTCTCTTAAAAGCGTCACGCGGTGCCTACAGGCTGCCGTTACGCGATACAAAGCGATCATCACCTAAATACGGCTCCTACACTCACCTGGACACCACAGTGGCGTCTAAAATTAATCAATTTAAAAGGTGTAAAGCTTAACACTTAATTTAGTTGGACGGAGCCCCAAAAATTCGTCTCAGATACGGTCAGTAACCGGCGCGGTCGTGACCCCCATCTACCGCAGCTCTAAGCGACGACGCCAAATTGGTTGGATCAACAGATGTGCTTAGTCAAAATACTGTACGGCTGTTCCAAAGTCCACGTTCGTGGACCCACTCCCGCGAACCCTTCTCCTAGACGCGCAACCTTCCGCTGCGCACCCGTCGTACTCCCATTACTACGACTTACAATACCCAATTAGCTAGCATTCGAATGCCAAGCGTAGCTAGCCCTGGTACAAATACACGGCGTTTATTAGGTGGCCAAAATGTGCCATTCCAGCGCAGTGTAGGCGTCAAAGTGATTCGCCACAATCAACTGTGACTCGGAAACGCGCCCGTTCCCTGCGAGGCCAGAAAGTTTGGATTCTGACGGTAATATGCTTTTGCCGGACGAAAGACAAGTTGTTAGCAATTAATCTGGTAATGGCGGAGGAGCTCATATGCAATGTCGTAAGACACAAATATTCCCAGGAGCTAGCACAACATAATTAGCGCCATAGCGGCGCGCCTCACAGAACCCAAGGACGCTCATATGATTTTTCGGTTCGTAAGCGACCTGTGATTGCCGCGTGTAGCTCCCGGTTGCATGCCGAACGAGTACCAAGCATCCTAGGGGATAATGTAATTGTTTGAATCATACCTGAGACGATACGCGCCAGGTGTTGACTATAAGAGAAGATATTCAGCAAATCAAAAAATGGTAGAGACGCAAGTGGGCACGGTAGTCGCTTCTTCAGCGCTGCTAAGGATGTACCGCGCAGAAAGCGCTATACTCAGCCTATGCTATGTAAAGGACAAAAAGTCGGTGGAGGGGCTTGCAGGGTTCCTGAGTAAATGTAACGTAAGGACCCTCAACCTAGTTAATCCGGCGCATCCTTCAATTTTCACACATGTGCTTCAGGAGATTGCCCTTGTGGAAAATAAACTGGAGGTCCTCCATATAGACCTGTGGTCTAACGGGGCACCTGAACTGATAGAACTCCTACAACGCGCACTTGCAGCACACAGCGAAACTTTGCTTGAACTTTCACTCAAATGTAGGTTTCAGGCTAGGTTCGTGGCCCAACTGCTGCCACTCTTACCAAGTGACATCGAGATATTGGACTTGTCTGAAAACATACTTTCAGACAGCACGTTTTTGCAGCCACTTGTGGACTTCATCAAATGCAGTGAATTACACATTCTCAGACTTGCAAATTGCTCAATTAAGAGCCATGTTGTAGATGAGTTTGTCAAACGTCTTCTTGCCAACTCTGCACCGATATCACTGGACGCTCTTGATGGACTCGACATTTCGGGATGTGAAGAAATACCGAAAACCGTCAGCTGCACTCTGAAAGATCCACCGGCAAAGACTCGGAAGGATCTGATGGGTTATTCTGACTTCGGAGTGCCACCTCATAGGGGTTCCAACGTACAGTTCCTCGACTACCTCAAGAGTTCGCTTCTGATGAGACGGCTGGTGGGTTCTCATGTACGTGTGTGGTGGCCTCCAAGCTTTGACGAACAACGTGGAGCATTCGCGGGGCGATTCTGGCCGGCGAAAGTGCTGCGAGTGAATCCCATAGACATGGTAGTTGTCGTTGAATACGATAACCAGGAAGTAGACCATGTTCCATGTAAATTCATTCAGCCAGAGTCACCATTTTTGTTCGGAGGTGGGCTTAATACAGATTTCCTGCGATCGCTTTTGGGGACCAGCTATTTCAACAGCCTATCCGACGAGCTGAAGGTGCAAGCACAGGATTTGCAGATGAATGAATTGCGACAAAACTCTGAGCAGAAGGTGAACTCCACATCGTCTGTATTGGGGTCAGAAGGAGGTACTGTTGACGCTAAACTAAGCGTCTCTCAACATGCTGACCCTAAGGACCCGTCGCAAGTTCTGAAACACGCAGCTGGTGGCACATCACCAGTTGGGGGGATCAAGGATTTAAATACGGAGTCTAAAACTGACGTAGTGGGTAATGGCACAAATTCCGCTGTTGTGTGTGGTGACGCCACGCGCAAGGATACCGTGGACGTATCAACCAACGAAATCGTAGGGAAACGTACAAGGTCACCTGACGAAGACAAGGACGATGCCAGTTATCCCGTAAGCAAGAAACTTAAATCGGAGGAGCAAAACTCTGGGAGTGACGCAAACAAGTGCGTTAATCACGTCGGCGATACACTAGATGCCAACACACCTCCTGATGACCGTGCTCTAAGGGCGTCATCTTCAGGTCCTAATCTGGGCATGGTAATAAATGCTACCCTATCACCTAAAGAATTTGTCAAAGGTGATGCGGCAAATGAATTGTGCAGGGATTACCGGTTTATACCCGCCATGCTAACGGAACTCATGCTGGCAAGCAAACGGCGAAAATGTGATCCAGGCTTCCCAAATAATCTGGCTGACGTGCCATGTGAATGCAAAGTTAACATAGAAACTATGGCAGGATTGAACATTGGGTTTAGCGGCAACGTGTTGCAACCCGGGGATGTCTGCGAATTCAGGGACCCCCTTGATTCTGACGGCAGTGATCCATCAGATTATGTCGTTGTGGTCAAAGAAGTGAACCAGGTTGAACCACTCTACAAGGTGACCTACGTCTACCAGGACGATGAGGATACATTGGATGTATACAGCAATGATGTGCGACGGCTTGTGCTACTACCATGGTACCTCTGGGTATCTCTGGTGATGACCGTAGAGCGCCATTTGTTGCTGTCTAAGCGTCTTAGTCAGCATCAAGTACTTCAGACGACGTTGGCGGACTGCCTGTTGTGCCCCAAGAAACGTGACCCCGGGATTCCATTCAAACGCAACCCGCCGAACCCGCTAGAGCTGAAACTGCAGAGTCTCTCCGAGCGTGCTTCGGAGGTTCAAGAGTTTTCCTCGACACATCCCAGGTTAACAGCTAAGAGAGTTCAACGGCAGGATGACAATGACAGCATAGAGGGGTTACGGTACAAGTTGCGCACAAAGCAGCGAAAATTGGATGTAATGGTAAATCTTTACAAATCCACACGGGGGGAGTTGGAGCAGGAGAAAGAGCTCACTGCACGTCTGCAAGCCAAGCTGAACTGCGTGGTTTGTTTTGAAAAGTTGGTTTTGCTTTTGATTAGTTCATTGGCTACAGGCGTATAAACTGTGTGCTAAACCCGTGCAACCATTTCAACTTCTGCAGCGTGTAGGTCAGAAATGTTTACTGTACAAATATTACAGATGTGCTGAAAGTTTCACTAGTTGTCCCATTTGCCGCCGCAAAATTGTACGACGGCAAATCTTGAGTGTGGACTAGGCACAGCGCGTTATTGTGCGATGGCAGAAGGCTCAGTGGCTTCGGAAACCCGCGTTCTGGTTTGCAAGGATTCATTAGGAGCCTCGGGTTCGACCACAGGTTGCTCCACAACACTTGCCAAGGACTCTGCTGCGATGTCGATTGACTGCTCCAGTGCAGCCTCTTTTGCAAATTCTTCTTGCATAAGGGCGTCGAGCTCGTCCTCGAACTGCGGGCGATTCGAAGTGGAGTTCTGTTGACTTACCTCTGTGGGCAAAGAAACCCCTTGAGTCATCGCGTCGTATATTTCTAGCTGGTTTTCACGTTGTTCTTCAAGCTGGTCCATCAATTTGTCCACTTCAGTTGTGGCCATACATTCTTGAAATCTTTTGTGAGCCGCCGCACCCGTGGACAATGCGCTCAGCGCAAGTTGCTGCATTTGTGCGCCCTCCAAAGTGATGTTTTGTGTCTCCAATGTCATTATCGAGGAAGTCACGCGTGTGGCCTCTTCCTCATAGAGCTTCTTGCGGCGCAATGCGCCCAGAGCTCCCGCCTTGTCATTCTTGCTGTACTTCTCTTTAGCTTCTGCGACGCAGTCCTGCGCGTCATATAAACTCTTAATATATTTCGGTGCGTATAGCATGCAGGTAACGATATATAAGCTTTTTCTAGCACCGCTGTGTTCTGTTTGTCTAGCAACGTCGAAGGGGAAAATACTCGGGGCTTCTGGCGCACTCGGCTGAGTATGCCACGGTCAGTGGTCACCGTTGACGCCGCTGGCGCCTATAGACACCTTTAAAAAGGGATTGGTAAACCTCGGGTTTCCAGAGAAGCAGTCACGGCGAGCGGGGCATGATGCCACTGTTTCCACAACTCAACCGAGTCCCAAAGACGACCGAACAAAACTACAGCATAACTAAAACACGTTACAGAGCATTTCAATGATCGCTGTGCTGCCACGAAGTCGAGTATATCGGTTAGTAACGCGTTGCTCCGAAATACAGATCGGTACGTACCTTTATACGCTCCTCCAATACACGTAGCCTGTCATTCATGTCTCTGATGGCTTGCTGGCCCATAGCCAAAGCGGATTGTACATCATCCTATGGCAATATGGATTTTGATTAATGTGAGCGTACCCGGTTATTGGCCGAAGGTTCGCGGATGGAACCTTTCTTGGCCCGGCGCAATAGGCCAAAAACCATGATTTCCTTTGTAACCACAAGAGTTTTAACTATGTCGATATTGCGCTGCCGTCGTGCGGCAGGCCGGAAAAGTAACTGTCGCAGCGGCGTCGCGCGTAGGTGAGTGACCTGACCGAAATTAGTTGATTAAAAGTAGTACTGACAGAAGACTTATTCATTCAACCGATTGTGAATTATAATACGTGGTTTACATGGAAATGGTACGAGAACCCCGTATAAGGCAAAACCATATAAAGGTTCTCAAACACAACAATTATGTGGGTACATAAATGATATATGGGTGTGCACAGACAATAATTAAAATAACATCGCGGCGTCATATATGACGGTCGTAGATACGGGCTTAGGCAGCCACACACACTGATGTCGTATTTGCAAAGTAACACACAGGGCCATCTAGGCTCAACACATAATGCTCCTAACCCCCTACAGAGGCGTAAGGTATGCCGCGGCGTAGCTCTCCTAAAAACTGCGACTTCTGTAAAGGAAATACGACGATGGTCACACAATGCACATCTCGATGGCACATGAAGCCGTGTACGAAATAAAAATTACAGGAAAGTGCATATAGCCAGGATCAAGGCATGGCAGCAGTACTAGCATACACCCCGCAGCGTATCCTGCGTTTCGCCGATGGCAGCCTAATGCATTGGTGCAAATGGTATGTGGGGTCGTAGTCCCGCGCCGCGCCGATGGAACTCGCGCACATACTTCAACGTTTGTTTGTCAGTGTACAACAAGTTAGTAATAAAGCCGTAAAATACCGGCTTTAAAATTTGTATCACGAAGTTTTAATTTATTTGGATTGATGTTCCTCGACTTCGATTCCGTGGGTGTTAAGGACCCCTTCAAACAGAGCACATCTGCGGATAACGGGGGAGGCAATGCTGCCAGTAGATTAGTGCATATACGCAACCAGCAGCGAAACGGTCGTAAGAGCGTTACAACTGTCCAAGGCCTCGAGGAAACGCTGGACCTCAAGAAAATGGTCCGTGCCCTAAAGAAAGAGTTCAGTTGCAACGGCACAGTTATATCACACGCGGAATACGGTTCGATCATTCAGCTGCAAGGCGATAAACGACACGACGTCGTACGATTCCTGGAACGAGAGAATCTGGTGTCGCCTGACCAGATCAGGATCCATGGTGTTTGAAAAAACAATTTGTTAATTACCTTGTTATTAGGTTGTCCATAGGTGTCATGATCCTAATGTTTTTTTATGTATCTGAACATTCTGTGTCTGAGATACTCCGCAGAGCCCTGCCGGCTTGCTTTCATTGTAGCGATTGGTTGCATAGTGGTATACGTAACCTTAACTCTAATTGTGAATTTTATTTTTACTCGATATTGCGCTGAAGAATCTTTTCTTAACTCCTATCGCAATCGAATATAACTTTAGACACAACTTGCAGGTTGCGTTATGCAGCACCGAACACTGCTGAAGCATAGGCTGAGGCACACATTACGTTATATAAAAATGACACAGTGATGCTGGCGTGGGCGTGGACCCTGCTGGCCTTTATGTGCAGGTATGCAGGGGCCGTTAGACACCAAGGCCTGCCAAGGCTGGCCTTCACAGCACCGGATGTGGTTGTTATTGGAGGAGGACACGCAGGATGCGAAGCGGCAGCTGCTGCAGCGCGAGTAGGAGCCAAAACGATGCTTATCACGTCAAGGAAGGCTTCCATTGGTTAGTCGAACATGATACGCATGGGTCAAGCGGCGCAGGCGAAATGTCTTGCAATCCGTCCATAGGAGGCATTGGTAAGGGCAACATTGTCTGTGAGATAGACGCTATGGACGGTATCATGGGAATAGCGGCAGATGAAGGTGCTATTATGTACCACCTGCTCAATTCGAGCCGCGGACCTGCCGTAAGGGGACCACGTGCACAGGCTGATAGGGACCACTACGCAACAGCTGTAAGGCGGCTGATCAATAAACAACAGCGGTTAAGTGTTGAGGAAGCCATGGTAGATGACATCTTGGTCGATAACGACGCCGTACGCGGGGTAGTACTATCAGATGGACGTAACATAGAATGCGCGTCCGTTGTAATCACTACTGGCACTTTCCTAAGGGGTAGGTGCCACAAGTCCAAGACACAGTAAGTCATATAAGCAAAGTAGCAATAGCACCCCAGGGTACCAGGTGGGCGCTTCGACAGAATTAACCAAGATTTCGAGGCCCCAGCAGACGGATTATGTAAAACCTTAAATAAACTGGGAATATCGACAAAAAGATTTAAAACCGGAACACCCCCGAGACTCAGGAGGAGCTCGATAAACTATGATGTCTTAGAGGTCCAAAATACGGATCTTGATCCGACACCGTTCTCCTACATCAACGCTGATGCAGACAATTTGCTGAGACACGGGGTCATAAACTGCTACAAGACGCATACAAATGAACGCACGCACAGGTGGGAAACGATAACATAGACTACATGCCGATGCAGCATAGTCAGAGAAAACCTACATGTGCTACCAGATTATGAAAGTGGGTATGGCAAAGGGTTAGGTCCACGGTACTGTCCGTCTTTGCCTTCAAAAATCATGAGATTCCCCGAGGTAAAAGGTCACGTTGTGTGGCTTGAGCCAGAGGGCATAGATAGCGATCTTGTCTACCCTAACGGTATGTCCGGCGCTTTCCCCCAAGATGTACAGCTCAAGCTGCTTCAAACTATACCAGGTTTGGAGGATGTAGAAATTGTCACACCTGGATACGATGTGGAATACGATTACATTGACGCTCGACTACTCCACCATACCCTCCAATTCAAACATCTGCGTGGACTATATTTCGCTGGACAGATATGCGGGACGACCGGATACGAAGAAGCTGCCGGTCTCGGACTAGTTGCAGGCTGTAACGCCGCACTAGCTGCGGTAGATGCGGGTCAGGAGCTAGTGCTCGATCGTAGCGACGGCTACATTGGGGTGCTAATCGACGACCTGGTGCGAAAAGGTACCAACGAACCCTATAGAATGTTCACCTCACGGTCTGAAGACAGACTATTCTTGCGTATCGACAATGCAGATATCAGAATGCTCAAAAAGGGGATTAAATGTGGTCTTATCAAGAATACTAAACGATTAGAGTTGATACGTGAGAAGTATGTAACCGCGCAGGCTGTCATTAACCGCCTGAGGTAGGTGAATAGAAGGTTTTTGTTTATATGGTGTGCAGGAGCGTATCCTTACCACTGCATAAGTGGGAACCTAGCCTGCAAGGAACAGAACACAAAAATGGATGGGAGATGCTAAGCGTCACCGGTATGAAGTTGCCCACGTTAGAGAAACGTGTAAATGAACATTACCCTGAGGGTAAAATGACGCGTACTGACGCGCCGCCGATGTCAGAAGCGGAACGTGAGGGACTGGCAACAGCTTTCGCAGATACCGACGATGACTTGGTTGGACAAGCTGCTAGGCTTTCAGCTACACCTACGAACAGCAACAAGCACCTACAAAATGTTGTCGAGGCGCTATGCAAATATGCGCCATTTGTAGATCGACAGGCAAAACAAATAGAACGCACGCTTCGTGGACGATCCATACCACTTCGTCCAGACATGGAATACACTAGGTAAGTCCGCTTTTCTGTAATTAAACGAAATGCAGAGAACGCTTTGCCTTCCTGTCAAAAGAGGAAGTGGAGGTGCTCAGTAAACACAGACCTGCCACCATCGCGGAAGCTGCCGATTTACCAGGGATAACACCCGCATCAATGACTCTCTTGGCTCAAAGAATCGTCAAAGAGCTGCGGTGATTAAATGTTCAAACTTGCGGAGTGCCTTCAAGCGCCGAATAGGCATGTGTAAGGAAAACATTAACATACAACCCACTATCAGTATAATTCGTTTTGATTTTTTAGTTTTAATGTATTTAATAAGTGAGATTCTAAACATAGGCGAAAAAACCTTATACCTCCCGCCAGTACAGACGCGGCGTAGATTGCCGCCGACAGGACGGCGAAATGCAAGGACTCAAAGTTCCGGGGTTCAATTTCGACATATTCTCAAGAGGAGCTGCCAAAAGCGATGCGACAGAGCGCCAGTCATTTGGTCAAGATAGAAGTGGCGAAGCAGACAGGCAATCATTCGATGCAGGTAAAGCATCGTTGCGCGAGTCTGTGCCAGGAGTACCGGATGCATCGCAGGGGAATGAGGGAGCAGCTGATGTGAACGAAGAACTTGCTGATCATGAGCTACTTTGGTCTACCCATTATACATATGATGAGTTCATCGACTCCCTCACGGTCACGCATGAAGACCGAGGGGATACGCCCAGTGAAAAACGACACTGGTCGTACCCGAGAAGGTGGATGGTGAAACTGCACAATCTGAAAATCGTCAACTGCGTTGCCGATTCGCTAACATGCTTCGCGGAATTTGATTTTGGCGGTTCGAGGTCCGAATGCCGCGTGCAAATGGGAGGAAGCGTAATCATCCTGAACCGGGGAGAAACCAAAAACTACATCCGAACCACTGTGGTACAAAATGTCACCAAGGATGTCCCACGCTCATTCAATTGTGCCCACGAGTTCGAATACAGGGGAAGCTATCTGGACCTTGAGCACGAAAAACTCAAAATCAAAGTTTGGAAGTACAGAAGGTATACTGTGAACTGCCTAGAGTCTATTTACGAAGGGCAACTGCTTCAGTTTGCTACTGGAGACGTGCATGTCGAAATACCCATGTACAAGGGACTCAACAAACAGCGCCACCTGAGGTGCCGCATATCTTTTGACCTCTATTTCCAAGAGCTTTACGATTTCGAACTTTCGTTCCTCAGCTGGAGGCTCTTGGATGTTCCATCATTCATCGAGTTACTCTATAAAGGCAAAGAGGCACCAGAAAATCTTCAATCAGACTCGGGTGCTGGGAAAGGTAACCAAAGGAACAAGAGACGCTCAAACATGTCGTTCTCAATATTTGACAAGATGACATATTACTTCATACGGAAAAGAATAGAAAGGGACTACGCAAAAAATGCCGATATCAGGAGGGAGACAAGCGATGCACTAACGGAGGAGAAACGTAAAAGCGTTGATAGCCTTGATCCTTACAAACTCCTTTTACAAAGTCAGTCTGATATAGTATTTAAGGGTAACAACATCACCCACATCAACAGCGCGCTTCCTTCCCTGAAATTGCAAGTGCATGTCAAAACCGACTCCGCTTACCGCCACGCAACGTCGCTACAGCTGTCATCACTCGTATCTAGAAACACAAGAAATGCCTACTGGGAAAACATGGGAGAAATCATATTCCGAGGTACACTGATGGATCTGGAACGCGCTGAACTGGAAGTGGATATAGTTGACATCAATGCGCCCAAGGCAGCAAGCAAGGTTGGTCGCGTGGTTCTGCCTCTGGCAGGTATCGTTGACTACCCATATCTTACGAGCCAGCTTTGCAAGCCTAAATGGTTGAGTCTAAAGGCTAGTATGGAGGGTTGGGGATCAGTGCTGGAACGTCTGAATTTTGGGAGACTGAGTGGCAAAATCCAGATACAACACAGACCCAGATATCGGCAACGTACAAATCCATCAGGACTGACGCTATACAGTTACCCTATTATGCTCATTGTTACTATTGGAGGTGTTGATCAACTCATCCTGGACGACGACAACGCCAATATAGACTCGTATGTGGAGGTCTCATTTAACAGACAGACATACCGCACATACAGCTGCAAAAACAATCGAGCACCGACTTGGAATGAGGATATACTAGTACCATTTCTGACCAGTGACGCCGAGAAAATCAGTTGCTCTGTGATTTTGCAGAGCAGCCCCGTGAGGTTCACCGTTTGGGGTACGTCCAACCGAGATGGCAAGGTGATGTACTTAGGAGGCACCGTTTTGTACCCGTACGAAATATTTTACACCGCTAAGGGGGCTTTGAAGCAGCGTGTGAAGAAGACTTACGCCGAAAATGGGCAGTACGGGAACATGTATAACTCACGTGTATTCGAAACGCGCGTGTTCCACGGGCCTCTAAAATTGACATTCCTCAACGGAGACCACCAGTCGAACCTCACCGTATCTGCGTGGCTATACCCAGATATGCCAGACGATGTCATGCCTGATCAGTTCGATGCGAAGATGGTGCGATCGGAACAGCCTACATTATTATCCTACCAAATGACACCCTTCTACGCGAGGCTAGCGGCTGACTGGCACCGTGTTGTTGAAATGAAACTGAAACCTGTATTGAAAGATGTCGGTACTATTAGCGTGGAGTGCCGGACGCAGTACCAACAACGAGTGTACCTCCCATGCCTCATCACGCCTATGCACCCTCCGACGGGAATCGACACCCCAAACGCTATATTCCACATGATTCGGTGCTTACCATTCGTCAGGAAAACTTACGATGTGAGGTTCACGGCTGATTTCCTCATGAAACTTAAAGGAGGAAATGCCTTCGATCATTGTGTCTTGCAGGTGAGTTACCTCAGGGGACTCATACCGCCCGTGGAAGCTTTTGTATGTGTCGGCACTACCTACAACGGTCGTAATCATGCATGGGTGGCAACCTTTGACCCTGATGTCAATAGATCAGTGAAGATGTGGGAGAGTACCACTGGAGAAGTAAACGTTTTGAAGCACAGGTTGTCCTCCGAGGAAGATCAAGGTGATACTGTAGCCGAACGACGACTAAGGCTCAAAACGAGTAGCAAGTTCCCATACAAAACGCTGCTATATATGTTTAACGACACGAACGTGTGGCTCAATGTTCAGGGTTTCGCAGATCCTCAGCTGTTACTCTTCGATTTGGACAATGCTGATATGTGGTATCCTTTCACGCCACAGTTGAATCATACGGATAGAAGTCATGTTCCCAGAATATCATACATAAAAGTCAACGAATATGACATGCAGCGATTGTCCAATGAGCTGCAGCAAAACATCGAAAGACACCTCACCATCCATAGGTATGCCCAAAATCTGCAGACTAGATGGAACAAGGATGAGGCACTTATCGACTTTCTAATCACTGGTATGAAACTACTACATCAAATCAACACCTGCCCTGATGCTGACACCCAGCTGGCTAAGTGTGAACTGCAGGAATGGAGACTGATGCTTAATAAAAACATTCCGCAGAGCCACCAGGTGGTGGTAGTGCCAGTACATTTCAATACGGTTGACGCGGAGTTCATTGCAGACAACATTAAAAACAACGTACCGCTGCTAGATTCACGTGAGAGGTTTATTACGTTTGCTATGGCGAGCCGAGTCATCAGTATTCCTGGCAACCTATTTAGTGTATATGTGATACTGCTTATAGCACAGAAAATACATGAACGCGTGCGAGTAAGGCTTGTGATGGAACAGGAGCGCCTGGCACAAAAGAAGCGTAAGAAGAAGCTATCGTCCTCTGTCGACGAGGACCCCAATGAAGTTGTAAACCGTGAGGATAGCCTTAACGAAAGCCTGAAAGCTGCTCTTGAAACCAATATAGAGATGGCAGGTGAGAATATGGCACCTAAGAAACAGTACTCAGCATTGGTCGATCAAATCGATAACAACATGGCCAAAAAGGACAGCCAATTGGACACACTCCTATCGCGAGCTTTCACGAAGGTTGTATCGCAAACCGTACATTTGACCTCCGAGATACCGGAATCTCAACCGATATCACAACAACAGTCGAACTTGTCATCCGAATTGCTTAGGCTCGCAAGTGATAATGGGGATATTAAGCAAACGTCGTCCGCATCTTCCCCGACGATCAACTTCTCCAATCTCAGTTCTTCGGGCTTAACTACTGCCAGGGGTGAGATTGACGAAGATCGCGGCGAAAAGCATAGAAATGAATCGGATGAACGCATGTGCATTGCCAGCTCTCCCAGCTATGTCTTTGATTCTCAGGCGCAGAGCGATGAACGAAAGGCCGACGAAGAAAAAGATGCAACACCCACTTTCACGACGTATAGAGATGACGTTGTAAACCCTAACCTTCTCAGTAGGGATTCATTCACGGGAATGAACTCACTGAGTTCTTTCAATTCCAGGCTGATTATAGACGAAGGCTCCTTTGAATACTCAGACCAAGAAAATCCGAATGTACAGCACCAACAGCGATTGTCACGCTCTAATACTAAGCATCCGGGAAATGATGAGTTGTCTAGGGATGGTGTATCACGTCTAATTTTGTCTAGTGATTCGGATTCGCTGGACCAGAGTCGTACTGCTGGCAGTGAAATGATCTCTGACAAGGATGCAAGCTACGGTGGTGTGGATAACATATCTAGTGCGCTTCAATTGATGTCATCAATGAGCAATTCTGTTAGTCTCTTGGACACAGAAGAATCTGCCGATCGGACCGTCAGAGAGTCTTCTGACGACTTCGACAGCAATCTGGTTTCGGATTTCTCGGAAGATGAAGACACTGACGTCTCACCTAGACATTGGGCCATCGAGAAACCTCTTTCACGTGGCTTCACTAAACAAAGCAAAGATATGGATAGAAACATAAAGTCCACCCTTATATCTCGAAGTTTTAATAGCGGGAAACTGTTAGAGAGCGACGATGAAAGTTCGCACAGGTACACCGAGTCTGACATGATGTTCACCGAAGATGACGACTGGAGTGACAGCATGAGCAACGGTGAGGGAGTCAGTAGTCCTGGTGGTGATTCATTTAGCGATAGCTACAGTACATCTGCAATTGTGTCGGAGTCCGAAGTCTCCAGTCGCTGTGCCACTGAGCCCCCCCTCAATAAATTCTTGGTGAGCCGAAGTGACGCAGGAACGGACTATTTGGTGTCGACCTCTACGTATTCTAACCTACAATACGCTGAAAGTGGTGCCAGTTCGGAGGCTGGCCGGGTGGACAGCATCTCGACGTCACGCGAGGACGATGTGACACCCAACGTACCGGCAACTGCCAAGCGTCCAACCAAGTGTAGAAGTTATAAAGTGGGCCCTTCGGCCGAAGATAAAGGTGATATGCTACCTCCGAAGCCTATTAGTGGGCGTCCGAGGAAAGGCGGGAGCTCTGGCGACAATGTAAAAAAACAACCAACACAAGTGTCGAGGCCTGTGTTGCCCGAACGATTAGGGACTCAAGGTTCTTTTCTAGGTCTGCAGCAAGAGAGTTCCCTGATCTCCACGGACAATGAGACGTACAGCACCGTCAGTAGTGATAACACGATGGGAGGTAAAGTTTCCTTCGCAAAGACGGCGACCTTATACACCGTCGATAATTGCGCCACCCAAGTGCCTACGCACGAATGTGATACACCTAGCCAGCGTCTGGCGCGCTCGCTTTTCGACAAGAGTAAAGTCAAGACGCGCGAGAGGGAACGTCGTGAGGAGCAGAGTTACTCGGTGTGCGATTTCAAATATGTGGACTTATTCCGCGGGTTTCTTTAGTGTATCACATATTATAAAATGTAAATCATCAAACTATGCATAAAGGTGAAGAAATAGTACTTTACAGCGACAACAGAGCTATCGTTGTCTACGACGAGGGCGGCGGAATCCGGGCGTTGCCGCAGACCCCTGAAAACGACTTACCACCTGCCGAGTGAGTTACAAAACGCTTCACAATGAGGATTGTGCAGGCTCAGGACCAGATGTCCTCTGTGCGGAAACGAAGTGGATGATTCGAAGTACACATACATCGCCCAGACGTACTTCTATCTTTTGCAGCGCAATTTCAAAAAGTGGTCGAGCAAGGAAAATGGAGGGCGTAGGAGGTACGCAACTCGCTCCTCTAGCGTTGGACGAAGCACTTCGTTGAGGCAGCCATTACCAGGCCCCGGGTCAGTAATACGGAACAACAGCAATCGGAGAAGGAGCCACAGAGAACACTCGCTATCTGATGAGGAAGACTACGTGGGAGAAAGTTTCTGTGGTATAGGCACCGCTGTGCCAGAAAACGACGTCGACGTGCCCAAGCACATACCTCCTGAGCTCCTGGTCACAGGGTACTACGCCCGTTTCTTCGAAGAACGACTAAAACTTGGATCGGGATCATACGGGCATGTATACTACTGCGTACACGTGATAGACGGTCTTGAGTTGGTAAGTTCTAGTCTTCTACACCTTAATCTAAACCTCCGGCAGGGTGAATACGCCGTCAAGAAGCTTCCCGTTGGAGATGACCGGAAATGGCTCAGGAAGATGATTCGTGAAGTAAAAGTGCGTGAAAGATTGCGACACCGCAACATAGTCGATTACAATCATTCGTGGCTTGAGATGCACAGGCTCAACGAATTTTGTTTGTATGTCCCGTGGTTGTTCGTCCTCATGGCTTACTGTAACGGGGGCGATCTTGAGGGTTTTGTTAAGAAATTTGGAGAACAGCTGTCTGACGAGGAAATATTTGTGTTATTTTTAGACATCGTAAACGGCTTATGCCACCTGCACAGGCACGGGATAGTGCATCGCGACCTGAAACCCTCAAACGTATTGATTCACTACAGTCAAAAGGATGGTGCCCTAGCACTGCTTTCTGACTTCGGAACCTGTGAAGTACTAGCCGAATTGTCCGAGAGAGATGAAACGCGGCAAGGTTTCACGGGTACGGTGGAGTTCACTGCGCCGGAACTATTGGAAACTGACGAAACTGGAGAGTTCAGCATTTACTACGATACCAAAAGTGATATGTGGAGTCTGGGCATAATCCTCTTCTATCTGTGTTACGGAACTCTACCGTACTACGATATATCACCGCAAATATGCCGTGATATGATACTTCACCATAGATGCATCAAGCTGCCGAGCGTACCAAAGCGATGCGCGGAGCTTCAGATGCTAATTCTGGCCCTCACACAGCGAGATCCCGCTATACGACCAGATTGCGATACTATACTGTATGACAGACGCATGGTCGAGATAATGCGCGATGATGACTTCATCAACACGGGAAAGGTTAAAATAGCCGTCAAACTTGCAACTTTAAGGGATGGAGAACCACCAAAGTGTGACAGTGAGTCCCATCATCCGTGCCTGATGAATATGCGCGGAAACCTCTTGGGACAATCTGAATTTCGTCGCCCATTCTAACTGCACAAACTGTCCTAACGGTAAAACGATGCAACTTGAACGGGCTTGCATCGTCACCTGACATCTATACGCTGGGTCGAAACACTCACGGCTCACCAACGCCGCCAGCAAACTCACCTCTTTGTGTCAGTTCAAAATTACAACACATCTTTAACGTAGCACTCTAAGACATAGATGTAGAGCATCCTTGTATAGCATGCGGTGGACTCAACGATGGAACTAGAATGCAGCCGTTTTTCTTCCTAGGAGCTGCCGATGTTGCATAAAGGGGTAATGGGCAAAAGGCTCGGAAAGAAGCAGTATAAGCTTCTGCGCCGCCATTGCGTCGTTTGCTTTTCTGCTGTTGCTCAGTCAGATAACTTCTTACCTTGATTGTTACATCTCCTGCAACTTAAGAATACCAGTACTAAACCATGTGTTATATTGCGACCTACTGATAAAAGTCATTGTCTCACATCTAAGCGTAATGTATGTAATAAATTGCCATTACAGCTGATAAGTATGTGATACTATAATTATTATTGTGCTCTACATAAGCTTGCCGAGAACCACCAATGAAAACAGTTCACATCATCGCTAATAATTAAGCACATAGTCACCCCTCATAAGTGCTATGATCTAGTCTATTCCAAACCCACCAGTTGAGGCCATCATATGTCAGTTATGTTGTCAAGTGTAACTGTGCAATGACACATGGTCGGAACTACACCAGGTATCCATGAACTCCACTCTCTAATCATTCCTTGCTATAGAACACCATTGCTACATCTAACCAACACAACTCTTAGTGATGCTAACATCCTTCAAAGTATCGATTATTTAATCTACACCACAATTTTGGTACCGTCACCACCCATCTCGGGGGGAGTATTTATCTTGGTTGTCAAATAACAAAAATCCAATATAGTATCCGTAACATGATAACTAATCATAATCTACAATAATATAGTG